TCTCCTTTCCCAGACAGGTTTGTACTTAACTTTGTACAGTTTTTCTGTCTTTTTGTGTTTTCTATTATACATGCATGCACGTATGTGCTTGCTATTTCAGTGACTGGACTGTATGTATAGTGCTGACAATTAATGGATCTGTAAGCAATATTTAATTTTGTCATGCAAATTCAGTGAAAATACACTTCTGGTGGTTTCTAGGAAAAAACCTGATATAATTATGCTGAATTTTGTCTTTGGATCTGATTTATTGTTTTTAAATTTTATTCAACAAGATTTTTTTGAATTCAGTATAAACTTTTTTTTTTTTGGTCATGTGAACATATTTATTAATTAATGAGATATATCAAGTAGTTTTCACATTTTGGGAGTTTGTAATTTGAATTGAGGTGTAACATTCATTGTGTAAAATAATCGATCATGGCCCTAAATCTGTTTCCTTTATAAATCTGCATCACATAATTACTAATACGTGTTACTAACAAGATTAATGCTCTGACATGAGTAGTTTGCATACATTGTACATGCACATTTACACAATCTACGTGTACATTGTACACATGTGTAAGATGCCGTATTGTGTACCCCTGGAGGCCTCAGCCGCACAGAGACTAAATTACTGTTGCCATGGGATCATTATGAATGAGACGATGATGTCAATGGCTAAGTGAATAAATGTCTGGACTAAGTTTGGGTGGGGGGAGAAGGGATGGGGAACTATTTGACATACACTGCAGAGTGTCTATTTTACATTTATTTACATTAATTAAACAATTGGGGTTAAGACTGACTTACAGAAAAAACAATTCGGCCTTCACTGGCCTAAAATTGCTCTTCTAGTGCTATTTTCGACCATGAAAAATAGATTTTGTTTTGAAATTTCTATTTTTCTAGCATTACAAAAGTTTTTCACTTTTAAATGAGCTGTTGAACGAATATAAGTGCCCAGGTTTAGTAGTGGAATATTTACTTCTGAAAGTTTGGATTATTTGGATTATATATTATATCTTTTTGTGCATTATCCCTAACCCTCCTCAATCCTCCAACATCCTCGTGCCGGTTTTGGGTGATTTTAGAGGATTGAGGATGAACGGCAAAGATGTATCGCTTTTTTTTGTGGAGGATGCATTACGTCAAGCCAGTAGGCCATATTCTGCAATGGTTATGTTCAGCCATGCATAAATCAGCCCTGTGTTTTTCTCGTATTTCGTCTGCACTGCTTCTAAATGTCAGTTGCACTGCCTCAAACCGTAGCAGTAATTGGCAGAGGATTTTGGAGGATTGAGGCAGTGGTCACCCTCCACAGACTAAATTCATGAAATAACGGATGATTTTGGATGATTGAGACTGAATCCATTTTTTTCTTGGTGGCAATTGGAGGATTTTGCAGGATTGAGGTTGCATCCTAGCCAGAGGGCCTAGGGGGTTAGGGTTAAGGGTGCAAAAGCAACTCAAAACAAAAGCAAGTTTTGCAGAGGGCTTTTTCTACTTTAAAATAATCAATAAAACATAAACTATTGAAACTTGTTAGGAGAAAATAATTGAATATGATGAAAAACACATACATGTAGAGCAGCTTTAATGTAAAAAAAAATGGAATTTCTCTGTAGTTATCTTTTTACCACTGAAAAAATTTTTAAAGCAGAAAAGGACAGCATTCAGATAATGAGACCTTCACATAGATGAGGAACAATTGATGTTCATGTGTGGTGCAGTGCATTGTGGGTCCTTGCTGTTTGCTCAGCGCTTGAAGGCCGTGAGTCATACTGTTGACTTAAATAAAGAATGCTGCTTCAGTTTGTAACCTCGCAGTGCATTCATGACTGTTTGACATTTGGTTCATGATGTTTGAGTGTCTGGTATTCTTGTACATTGTATTCCGAAGGGCTCAATGTTTCTGGTTATTTGACAATCTTTCCACCAATATTATTAAATTAGATCTTTTTTTTTTATTTGGGATTAAGTTGTTACAAGAACTACACCAGTTTATTCCTGCTGGATTAATTATGATGGATCAGTTTGGTTAAGTAAGGTTGGCTAGATTTAATTTTTTGACTCAAGAAAAGACCCTAAAAGTCATGGCCACAGGAAATTGCAGTATAATGAAAATTCTAGTACTTGCTGTATCTCCAGTAATCGAGGACAAAATTGTTAATTACAGAATCATGTCTGGGACTCTGAGCTGTAGAAATGCCAATACCCAAAGGAGGCAACCTTCCCAGAAATTAATAAGCTTGACGTGCCCGCCTGTCCCTGCATATTAACCAGGGCCCACATTGGAATGTCTGTAGATTATATTGATTTTTGTGCTGTGCTGTGCATTTTTCAAGGCGATCCCTGAATAAGCATAATATCTAACCTTGTCTTTCACCTCACCCCAGCCTGTGTGCATGTGTACACACAGTGGTACAATGTATGATGCATGCTGGTAAATGTGCATGTACATGTATGCATAGGGCCATCTGACCAACATAATTGCTTGCTATGCAGCCAGCCAGACAGGGATTATATTAAACTGGGTGTTGGCTCATGAATTTTTCGTCTCTGCACCTGAGTGTGTGTGTGTGCGGGCCGTGGGCACTCTGTATCGGATGATAATCACTCGCGCCTCTCTTGCATCGCTGTATTTTGGACCATAAGGAGTTTTTCAGGTGAGCTTGGGATTATCGGTGGTTTCTTGGCTGTTTTCCCCTCATGGATTTGTTAGGATGGTTGTGGATTTTGTAGTTGGATTTGCAGAGGTAGGTAGGACACTTTGGATTTGATTTGGAAAGATGCATTTGAGTAGATATTTGGTTCAGGTGGTGGAGTATTCAAGGACGTCTTGACTATCATTATCAGATTCTATTACAGTTGCCCTTTTCTATGCATCGGCGGCATCCTCCACAAATAAGATACGAAGGACATGATTGTACATTAGCCTGGTCTTTCAGACATACATGTAGTATCTAGTATTATAATGTTTACCAGTACCTTGATTCAAAAATGTGGTGGTATTTTTATTAGTACATGTAACAATATTGTTTCAAACCAAAATTTGTACAGGTATGCATGTGTGTGTAAAAAGGAGGTGTCCGTGTTACAGTTCGTAAATCTTTTTTTGAAATAGACTTATAAAAGTGTTGATTTATTTGAGGCCTTTTTTCTTTTTACTTTAAAAAAAAAAGTGCGAAAAAAGTCCATATTATATATGATGTACATGTATGTATTTGTTCTGAATTTAAAAAAAAATCATTTTCTCACTTGATGGAGAGATAGAATATATACCAAACATTCAAATATTTGATCATCAACCAAATAGTGGAATAGCTTTTTGCCGCTTTGAATATTCGAAAACAAAATAATTTTTTCACATACACACGCAACTGTGCTGCTACTTTATCATAAACTTGCAGCATTTCATTGTCAGGTGCTACTTTTTTTTTTTTTGAGGCTAATTTTTTTGTCGACGGCCATTCAATGTTTCTATCCTTTTAGCAGGTTATAAAATACTGCAAAACACTTCATATCTATTGCGCACCCAAAGCGCTCTGCATGCAACTTTTTGACCGGCGCGGCACGTAGTTGCATCTCTGGCAGTTTCAAATATCCGAATATTTGGTCAAACACAGTTTTGCATTTATAATCAAATACTAAATTTTTCAAAAATGGACAGCCCTACATGTACACAAGACCTCTTTCTGTTCGGAAATACTGTCTCATTTTATGTGGATGATTAATTAGTTCTTTTATGTACAACTGTACATGGCCTACAGGCTATAATGTTCATGTAATAGGCGATTGGTATATTTCAAGAGTGTACATTGTAAGTACATGTAGTTGTACATATACATGTACTTCGTGACTGAATGCATCTGATGATCGACAATCCTTATGTGGTCAGTGGACTCAGTGGAGCAATAGAGGATATCCTGTATGAGCAGACAAGAGAGATCTATAGGATGTTACAGGAAAATTGTATTCCCAAAATTGAATGGCATTTTATGATGTTATAAAAAATAAAAGAGAATCATTTAATTTTTTTATTCAAAAGTTGAAGGTCCCTTTTTATCCACCCAAGGTTACGTTTAAACTTCTTTGCTGATTACTGATGTAGATGAAACAAAAGAAATATCTCAGTTTAGATTGAGAAAGGAGATGTCTGATTTAAAGGAAAAAAATATTATCAGCTATTTTTGGTTGATTAAACAAAGGCTGAAATTTTTTCTGCAAGCTGGTTCTTTTTTTTGTTTATAAAAAAAAGTCATTTCCAAACAAAATGTATACAAGTAATCCATGTTTCATGTGACCGTTATCCTGTACCTCTGATGGCGTGTCAAAAAAAAAAAAGTTTAAAAATGTTAGGATTCTGGATGGTTAGGGTTGTGTTACAGACTGCTAAAATGGTGAATACTTTTACAATGCTTGTCAGCCACCTGGGCCCAATTTCATGGCGCTGCTAAGCAAACAATTTTCTGTTAGTAGATCCTCCGACTATTTCGTGGAGACCGCGAGCAGTAAGCACAGCAAAAGGCGCCCTTACCCCAGAGGAAAAAGTTGCTTAAATCAGTGACGTAACAATAGAAATCTCCATGCATTCGCAACCGTTAGCACATCCACGCCTTGAAATAGTGCTTAATTTTAGCTACATTTTCTGCTTTAGTGAGCACAACTTTTCTACTTACCTTGAAGCAGCGCCATGAAATTGAGCCCTGTCTATTTATGCATATCTTTGTGCCACCAACAAAAGTTGCAAATACCGGTACAATACCTTTCACAATTTGTTTTTCAGCATTAAAATCAGCAAGTGCATGCACCGATATCATGTCATGTTTACATTCGTCCCACTTTCTTCTGTGGCTTTTTGCAGTGTTCTTTTGTGCTTAAAAACTTGGTGCCTTTAGAAAGAAACCTAAAGATTTTTCACAAAGTGGTTTTTGATGAATCAATTGGAAAAATGAAACCGAATAATTAATGGAGTAACAAATAATCGTTTGTGGCCCTATTTTCATTGGCTGCAGATAAATCACAACTGAGGAAACCACACCACAGCCGGCGCCATGACGGAACGGGGCGAGATTAAAGTTCTGGAGACCGCCGACGACATCCAGGATCGTCGGCAGCAGGTCCTGGACCACTATGAGGAGTTCAAGCGCCTGGCCCGGGAGAGACGAGAGAAGCTTGAAGCGGCCCGACGCTTCCAGTTCTTCAAGAGAGATGCCGATGAGCTGGAGACCTGGATCCTGGAGAAACTGCAGACTGCCTCGGACGAGAGCTTCAGGGATCCTGTCAACCTGCAGGTCAGTTACATTATTGAAAGTGGTTTAATTGGCTTTGTCCATCACAGGTCAGGTCACGAGTCAAATTACAAGTCCATCACAAGTCATCACAAGTCAATTCACAAGTCAGGTACCATGTCAAATCACAAGTCAAATCACAAGTCAATCACTAAGTCAAATCACAAGTCAAATTACAAGTCAAATCACAAGTCCATCACAAGTCAAATACAAGTCAGATTACAAGTCAAATCACAAGTCAGATCACAAGTCAAATCACAAGTCAAATCACAATTCCATCACTAAGTCAAATCACAAGTCAAATCACAAGCCAAATCACAAATCCATCACAAGTCAAATACAAGATCATCACAAGTCCATCACAAGTCAAATGCAAGTCCATCACAAGTTAGGTCACAATAGGTCTCGTTCAAATGACGTCATTTCCTACAGACCAGCCACGTGCATCGGCATTTTGAGCGTCAACTTGCATAACGCGCATCAGCTGCGTCGCATTTCGAACACATTTCGAGCAACAAGCGCGCGTGTTTGGAACATTTTCAACACTGCGCAATGCGTGCTAGATTGTGTAAAATACGCAGTTGCACTTCTACAGAAATGGCCGTCATTGAAAGAGCCCTATTCAAATCACAAGTCCATCACAAATTCACAATTGAAGTCACAAGTAACCGATGATGGGCATTTACAAAGGAATGCATAATTTACATGTATTATAGTTTATTTGAACACTGTGAGAATTGACTTGAGACTGTAGGATCAATTTGTGAATGACTTGTGATTGACTTGTGAACACTTGAGTGCTAATCTGTTAATTTCTTTTCTAAATGTGCCTTCTTGGATGGTGAATTGAAAAATGTGGACATGTTGTAATTTACAATAATTATGACATTGGTTCCTTTGAACTACCCTGAGGTTTTTGGCTTGGAATTTGGAAGTCATCCCCTTGAAATCTTGAGAACTTCTAGTAATTGTATGAATGTTTTTGGTTCTTGGGTATTCCTGAATGGTTTAATTGCTGCAGTGTTTTGCATCAAATTAATTAGCTTGGCTGCTTTTGGTAAGATTTACAACTGTACGTTGAAGCTTGTTATGAAATTGACCCAATCTTGCAAAGTGACATGCACATTTGTGTATCAAACGTATTGGCGTAAAACCCCCAAATTTCTATTTGCCAAAACATTTCTTTTCCTATTTTCAAAGCTTAAAAAAAAGCATGATTTTTTGCCCAAATTTGTTATTTTTTTACCAAAACTAAATAAATGCCTGTTGTTGCTGATAATCTGATTTGCTAAAATTTTCCATGTCTGTTTTTTTTTATAAAGAAAAAAACCCCAAGAAATTTACTGTAGTTGACTCAAACATGTATCCATGCAAAATTCCAAGTTCCAGATATATAACAAAAATGAACCTCGAACAAATATTTTTGCAAACCTTCAGCGAGAAAAGCGTAGAGATTCTAGGGTATTCTTTCTTCTCTGTTCTGTTGAGTATTGACATAATTGATTTGTCGTTATTCCTTCCCCCCGATGTGTCACAGGACTTAAGACACCTTAGAAATCTTAAGGTATGACTGCTTGTATTTCATGGTGTACCACTGTTATGTACATTCATGTAACCCATACAGCAGTGCCGCGTACACTTGTGGTAGATGTCCATCTAGTTATGTTGCGCCCCCATCAGCTTTGTCCCTTGTAGTGAGCTGGAAGGGGGGGGGGGTGGTGTGGTTTTGGAGAGGGGAGGTGGATACCCTGGAAATGTCAAGCAACCCATGGCATCTTCCTAATTCCGACTTCAACCCTAACTCCCTAGGCATTTTGCTAGGATGTAACCTGAATCCTGCAAAATCCTCCAATTGGCCTCAAGGAAAAATAGCATATAGCCTCAATCCTGCGAAATCCTCCATTATTTCTTGAATGTGGTTCTCGGGAGGGGTGACCACTGCCTGAATCCTGCAAAATCTTGCAGCAGTGACTGTCAATATGTTGAGGCTTGGCCAGTGACATTCTGGAGCAGTACAGAGGATTTCAAGCACAATCAAGGACTAATTTATGCATGGCTGAGCATAAACAACACAAGGTCCAGCCCAAGACCTTGACACAGTGCGCCCTCTGAAATCAGCAACGCACTTTTGCCATGTAACCTCAATCCTGCAAATTCCTCCAATTTGCAAAAAAGGATTTTGGAGGATTTTAGAGGGTTAGGGTTAATGCAATGATTTCCTTTTTTTTGTAAGTTAGCTTTTATGCAAGTAAGCTTTACAATGTATGTCTATTTTTTGCCTGGCTTTGCATGTATGGAAATTCTGCTTAGTATTAGTGTGCTGTTGCTCTGGTATTGTTTGTTTTATCATGTGACACATATTATTTGCTATTTTAAAGTCCATTGTAGACGTCTCCAATAAAGCCGTGGGTTGCATGCGTAGAATTTTCCGTAAAAAGTATACAGAAATTAGCATGTTCCTATTTAGAATTGCATCCCAATACACAAATAACTGCATTTCCAACAAACACTGTCACTTTAGCTACAAGTGCATTTCTGTAATTATTTTTTTGATAGAAAGTTTCTGCTGCTCACTCAAATGTAATGAAAACTTATTTAGTGTTAGAGTTTCTTGTTAAGGACCTGGTAAAGTGCAAACTTAAAGCTGTTGCACACACACACATTGCTGGTTTGTCTAGTTACTTTCCTAATTTGTTTTATATAAATGCAAAGATGTGTATTCAATACATTCAATAATGGTACACGTATGTCTAGAGACAAATATCATGGCCATTTTGTGACCAAAAGTTCCTTTTCAACATAACAGGTTTGTTCTTTAGATGCTGCTGTTTTACATGTACTTCTTTATAGACGCATATCTGGTGTATGTGGGTACATGTACATGTTTAGTACGTGTGCGGTAGCTTGCAGTACTTTGCAGACTTTGTCAGCTACCTTTTGGTACAAAATCTAATACGTGTAGGCAATTTGCAAAAATGTAGTCAAGATCAATCCGTTGAAAGTCTGTTCCAAACTTTATTTAAAAAAAAAAGTAAACAGGAAAAAATGCATCATGAGAAGAAATTTTACTTTACTTTGCTGCCCTTCAAAACAAAATGTTAATTACAAAAAGTCAATTAGGTTCATGTACCTCTCGTCACGAATGCATGGTTCATGCTCTTGTAAACGGAATGTACCGTAGTGATAACTTCATTTTGTAGTTGTGATGCTGTCATCCAATGTCTAGTGTTCAAACTCACACTCATCGTGCTACAGTACACGAACACGCTCATGTATGCATTTATGTAGATGTATTTAGTCACTGTTTTAATTTTTCTGTGAAGTTTTGAACACTGATCATTTCCACCAGGAACGTGCTGTTTTTTTCAGAAGGAATGGGAAGCATCTGGGTTTGTGAAACTTTTGAAGGTTTTCTTCAAACTTATGGACAACAAATGTCTGTAAATCTAACTAATCATCTTCTCATCTTCTCATGCATTTACCAGGGTAAGCTGCAGAAACACCAGGCGTTTGAGGCCGAGGTGATTGCCCACAGCAATGCCATCGAGCAGCTGGACGACTCTGGCAATGCCATGATCACAGAACAACACTTTGCCTCCGATGTCATCGAGGTGAATAGCTAAATAGTGCACTCAAGTCTTCATTTGTTGGATTCTTTGATTATTTGCCAATGTGATTTAAAGACATGGTCCCGTTACGTCATTGAGTTTTCATTCTGTTTTATAACGTTTTTCTTGCATTATGGTGGGCTTTTGGTTTTGTAAAAACTTTAGTAGTTATCCCTTGGAATATTTTGCTTGTTTATTGGGGTGCTCTTTTGAGCAAATTCTTAAAAAAAAATCATAATCATCACAGGAATTCAACGCTTTTAATTTCTCTCATGAATATGTCTTTACAAGTAAGTTTGTGAAATTACAATTGGAAAATACATCCCTCAAGTCCAACGTCAAATAAAGTATTACAGTAAACCTTTATATTAAGCAATGTGGTTTTCGTAAGCAAGTTCCACTCCAAAGATGAGAGTTTTGGCAGTTAGTAAGCATTCTTTTCTTTGTTTTATTATGTTGTCATTGTTTTGTTTGTGTTTTTGAGAATGTTCTGCCAAAAACAGTACTTTCTCCAAAACTCAGCTAAAAGAGCACAATGACTTTGAATATTGTGTTACATACACTCAAAGAGAATTTACATATTATTTCTTTAAATTGTTTTTTTTTTTACCTTGAATATCTGCTAAGCGTTTTTGTGACTCATTTGACAGGCCCGTCTGATTGAGCTGCATCGCCTGTGGGACCTGCTGCTTAGCAAGTTGCGTGAGAAGGGTATCAAGCTCCTGCAGGCCCAGAAGCTGGTCCACTTCCTGCGGGAATGGGAGGAGGTCATGTTCTGGATCAGAGACAAGGTATGAGTGTGTCTTGTTTTAATGTGTTATATTCAGGATTGAAGGATTACCTGAGGAGAATCCTGTCTCATGGCTTTTTGAAGCCGATTGGAGAGGATGATTGTTTTTTTCAAAAGCTGTTTTACGAGCTCTGAATAAAGTTTGTCATAGTGTTTGGTGTGTACTGGCTAGTTTTTAAGATTCATTTCTGCCGCAGTTAGTAGTGAGTCTAGCTTGATGTTTTTAAAGTATCACCAAAATGGCATTCTTTCCCGAGTTTTCCAAAAGAAAATTCCATTGACACAAAATGACAATTATGATGAAAACAGCACACTCCATGATGTCCGATTTGCCCTAACCCTTCAAGGTTTTACTGGAATCTGCCAAATTCTATGATATTTAACTGTCTCAGTACTTGTCAAAGTGTGTTTTTTTCCTGAATTCAACAAGACTGAAAAGCACTCCCCCCAAAAAAAGAATTTAAAAATCCAACAAAAAGCAATCACAGTAAATGCTCTTTAGTCTTTTTCAAGTTAATATTCTGTCTCGGCCATTTGTTTCTACGCGTCCAGGAGACCTTTGCCTCCTCCATGGAGACAGGCCTGGACCTGGAGCACGTGGAGGTCCTCCAGAAGAAGTTCGATGAGTTCCAGAAGGACCTCATCGCCCACGAGGACCGGGTGGCGGACGTGAACAGCGAGGCCAACACGCTGCTGTCAGAGGAGCACCCGGAGAGCGAGACGATCCGCAGCAAGCAGGAGGAGATGAACGAGGCCTGGGAACATCTCAAGAGGCTGGCAACCATCCGGCAGGAGAAGCTGTTCGGGGCCATGGAGATCCAGCGCTTCAACAGGTACGCACCAAAAATATTTCAATATTTCTAAACTTTTAACCCTAACCCCCTAGGCCCTTTTTGCTAGGAACCATCCTTGATCCTCCAATATCCTCCAAAATTCTCCAAAATTTTACACTTATGTTCAAATGGAGGGTACCCACTGCTGTCAATCCTTCAAAATCCTCCAACAGCCCTGCCCCTCAAAATGTATTCAGCCTCAATCCTCGAAAATCAACCTCTTCTTCAAACACCATTCATTCACAATCCTGCAAAATCAACCGACACTGAACGTCCATGTGCCCTCAATCCTCCACAATCCTCCAAATTTGTATGTTGCATTCATCCTCAATCCTCCAAAATCCTCCAAAACTGTCCGGAGGACTTTGGAGGATTTAGGAGGGTTGGGGTTAATTGTCCTAGGTTCTGCTCTTAGGCCGGAATGAATTCTATTTAAGTATTTTAAAATGCATGTAAACCAGAAGAGGGAGTGAATGCCAGAAATGGATTCAGGGAAGTTGTGAACAGAGCATTGGGTATTTGGCACAAATGCCCTGTCAGCTGTGACAAAATAGATATGGCAGTCGAAGTACTTGGTGGCCATACCAAGATGTTACAGAAGGTTGAAATCAGAAAAAAAATGCAAAATTGAATTGCAAAAAAAAATACACACACACTCTAATGAGTGGCTACTGAGTGCCATCGGTACATTCCTGTATGTAGTCAGTGCCCATTTTATTAAAAATCAAACATTGAATGTTATAAAAATAACATGCATTTTTGCCCTTCAGCAATGTAATGTTAAAAGCACTGTAACACTCAGGTGCTGTTCAAGAGTTTGGTTGATCTTGATTGGATTTGAGTCCTACCAGTTCAGCTTACAGATTTCCTACAATCCCTCAGACAACTCTGAGTTTACTTTGCTTAAAATTCTCTTTTTCTGTAAGACACTATCAAGTACTTAAATTTACACCTTCTACAGGCACAAATTCTATTAATTTTACCAGTAACATTCACATTGTTTCCACCCTCTCAGGGATGCTGACGAGACCATCAGCTGGATCAATGAGAAGGACTCCATCTTGTCTTCGGATGACTACGGTCGTGACTTGGCCAGCGTGCAAGCCCTGCAGCGTAAGCATGACGGCATCGAGCGTGATCTGAATGCCCTGGAAGACAAGGTCAGTACGGAGAAGACTGTGACATAACTGTATTTAGAACATTTTTTTGAGAGAGATTGGCTTCTATCCCAAGTCTCTGTGACAGTGAGTGCGTTGATTGTCAGTAGTGATATTACTGCTTGCCACTATGTAACTTTCACAATACCATTGTATACTTCACAAATTAAAAAAAAAGATTACAAAAATCAACACAGGTACTGAAAGATAGCTTGAATATGTTTTTAGTTATACATTATTTCATGAACTAAATTTCCATTGTTCCAAGCTTATGCACTCCAGCTACTGCATAATAGTTATTAGATTTGTATAGACACATAGAAAGATGGAAAGATGTAAACATAGTGATTTCAGAAGAGAGGCAAAACACAGACTGTTATGCCAGAACTAATCCAAACTTTGTAGAGTCCTTTAGCATTTATCCAAGGATCGAGCTTAGGCAAATTTCCCTTTTTGTTCAATCCATAAAAATGTCTGTGCAGTACTGCAGGGATTACTAGTTTTGTTGCTGTGTCTTACTCCCTTATCTGAGAGCGAGTCTTTGTAATATTACCTTTTCTTGCTTTTATCAGGTGACCTGCTTGGTGCAAGAAGCAGATCGCCTGGAGCAGATTCACACTGACCATGCTCCAGAGATCCAATCCAAACGCGACGAGATTGCCAACAACTGGGAGAACCTGCGCTCCAAGGTAAATCCATTAATGCATTATGTAGTTTAATTAAATTAGTTGATTAAATCAATGTGATTGTTAATTTAGCAAACCAATCTGGTGAGAATGTATGGTAAGTTTTCGGTACTTGAGATTGGAAATGTGCCTTGCCATTAAAAAAATTGAAAGTTTTGTCTTTAAGATTGTATGTTGTTTGTAGGACATTTTAGTGTCTGTAGTTAATTTTGAGTCAAATTCAGTATTATTTACTACAGTATTGTATAGAATACTATTTGAAAATCAACAGTTTGTTCAGCTACTTGGAACATTTTTGCTAAAATATTGTATGTTGATTGGTCAATTACTTAATCATAGTTTTCAAACAAACAATCTCTTGTCACCAGACAGATTGATAATGCTTCAATTTTTAAAATAGATTATCCTTTTTTCTTTAGAAGGTCAGTAGGTTAACCAGAATAGTTCTGCAAGCTGTATAGTACTCTTTAAACTGATTGAGCTTGTGGATATGTGGTTGATTTGTTTAGGATGATTGAAAACACTACATGTATAATTGGCAAAACAGATGTCTTACCACTTGACCACCGAGCTAACGGAATCGGTGGAAGGGCAAAACCTAATTTGATTTACATCACCCCGACGCAAAATTCCATCTTACGAATAGAAAGTAAATTGTTCTCCCTCCCATCTATCGTAGGCCGACGAACGCCGCATCCGCCTGGAGGAGTCCAACAAGCTACAGCGCTTCGTGGCCGACTACCGCGACTTGATCACCTGGGTGCACGACATGAAGGCCCTCATCAACTCGGATGAGCTGGCCAAGGATGTGCCCGGAGCTGAGGCACTCATGGAACGCCACCAGGAACACAAGGTCTGACCCAAAAAGCCAGCTCATACTCCTCTCAAATCCAAATGCAATGAGAAATGTGAAGCCACAGTACATTTGCAGCAATTTTGTACATTTTCAGCGTTTAAGCTTGAAACAGGTAGACATCCCCTAAGGGTTCTTCAGGACTACCCTGCTAAATCCAACAGAGTCCAACAGTTACTTTCTGCTCAATCCAACAGAATCCAACTGTGCCTAATTTTTAGTTGTCTGCTGGATCCAACAGAGTCCAACTTGGCGTTATTTATCGGTACCCAACAGAATCCGACTCTGAATATGTACGTGTACATTTGTACAAGGGATTTACTGCTCAATCCAACAGGCGCCGACGGGTTTATGATATAGTTGGATCCTGTTGGAATCAGCAGGGTTAGAGTTAACCTCCGACTTCCTGCCTGCAAACTTAAAATTGAATTCTGGAATTTCTGACATGATAGCATACTTTTGGTAAAGAGGGTCTCCAAATTAACTGAAGATTAAAATTATCTTGAACCAAACTCTTCAGTACATAGTTTGGTATGCACTCAAAGAATATATCAGGATGGACAAGGAGGAAAGTAAGGTTCTAACATGCCTTTAGGTACTTGTATGACATAAAAAAGTCTTCTAAAGATCAGGAATCTTGATAACAAACTCTTCTGCTGCATCAGAAGGCACATGGAAAGACTACCCCCAGAGTCAACAGCTGTTGCAGTTTCCACCTAACTTCTTATGGTCTTATCTTTTAGGGAGAGATTGATGCTCACGATGACAACTTCCGAGCATGTGCCGATGAGGGCCAAGAACTCGTAGACACTGACCACCCTGCTAAAGAGGAAGTCAAAGAAAAGGTAAGAGTCTTAAATTCTACAGGTGATTATTATTTTTAACTATTATCCTTTGTTCAAAATGACAGTGAATTCAACTTTGTAATTTTTTATTGTAAAATTACTTTGTGTTTTCTAACCTTTCCAGTGTTTCTAAGTATTACAAAAAGCACATTCAACCCTTCAGTTTGACCTGACAGATACAAGCCTGACATTAGTAAAAATAATAATAATAATAATATTTTCCAGTTCTGTAGTTAATCTTATTTCAAACAAGTTTGATCAGCTTGGGATTTACTGGTTTTTCTTGTGTTATTTAGAAGGTTGAAAAGTGAATCTTATTTTTTTAACTTATTTGCAACCTTTGTTTGGAAAAGGTGATTTGGCAAAGTTGTAAGTTGCAAAAGGATAGCTGGGTTTTTTTTAATAGCAATTTAAAATTATGATCTCACAGATAAGGATATCGTTTGGGTCATTCGGTGGTTAACATGATGAACAATTGCATTTTCTTTTGATTAATCTCCCTCAGCTTGTCAACCTTGCTGAGGAGAAGAAGAGTCTGGAGCTGCTGTGGGAAGAGCGCCGTGTCCAGTATGAACAGTGCATGGATCTGCAGCTGTTCTACAGAGACACTGAACAGGCCAACACATGGATGGCTAAGCAGGAGGTAAGAACTTCAAAGTGAAGTGGTCTTTGATAGATCTTGAAAGTCATGACATTAAAACAATTGTTGAAGTCCAGACAAATGTGTACAGTCTGTTACTTTTGGCCCTTTGTGTGGTTTTATTAACCATTAGCATATGTTCTACATTGTGTTACATTGTATTTCTTCCCTGAAGAATCCATAGAACCATGGAATGAGCAGGCGGATTTGGGTAATACAACGAGTCATAGGCAGGATGGTTTCATGTAGAACAGGGACTGAGTGGTTAAATTGTGCTGAAATTGTGATTTGAAAAAAATCAAGCACTTCCCATCTCAGGCTGTGCTGCGTGGTCATATATGGGTCGATGTGGCCGGCAGCCATAGGCGCCTTTACGTGCCAGCGGCCTGACCACATTGTAGCCACGTCCTTCGCAATTCAGCATGCCAGCTGCGAGTAAGGATGATTAGCCTCCCAAATTATTATTATTATTATTATTTTTCAAACCATTGTTTTCAGTTTTGGGGAAAAAAATTCCTGTGATATATAGTTGTATAGTTTTCATAAACATGTCATTTTTGTGTTGATTGGGGATTTGCTTTATCTGTGTTCCAACTTTTTGTGTCACTAAGTAGAAACAGGTATTGTCAAATGTGTGCTTAGTGGAATCCAAGTATCGTTTCCCATTAAAGGAAAAAATTAGCGAGTATTTCTCTTTGCCCCGTCCACGCAGGCCTTCTTGAGCAACGAGGATCTTGGGGACTCCATTGATTCTGTCGAGGCTCTGATCAAGAAGCACAACGACTTTGAGAAGTCTCTCAACGCACAGGAGGAAAAGATCAAGGTACAGTCCTCTGTCCTGTACTATACAACATCTGAAATAAATGTGAACATTGTTAGGAAGTATTCTTTTGAGAAACTGTGAGATGCGATCATCACTTTTGGACAGGGGAACATCATATCCAAAGTCACATCCAAAATCTGAGTATATTGAGAAAGACTGCAACCTCTGGTACCGTGTGGGAAACGCTGTATCTTCTTTGGGATTCATATATGATGTAAATCCAAAAGGATATTGATATCCCACCCTGTGTAAGACCTCAGTTTAACCCTAACTCCCTAGGCAACATCCTCCAACTGTCCTCCATGTAAAAAAATAGCATATAGCCTCAATCCTGCAGAATCCTCCATTTTTCTTAAATGTGGTCCTTGGAAGGGTGACCACCAGGGTGACGGTTTTAGCCGATTTTCGACTAACTTTGACAGAATTTTTGTTAAAAAATGAGTTTGACAGAAAATTTGACAGAATGGATTTTTTTGACAGATTTCTGGCAGAATTCTGCAAAAATGGTTATTTGACAGAAAAAAAACACATTTGTTTGAAAAACTTCAATCCTTTCAAACAAACCCTTGCATAATGGGACAGGTTGGCTGGTCTAGGTGCTGAGGTTCACTGGGAAACGGACTTCGTCATGGGCCGGATCCGCGTTTTGCGCGAAATTTTTTACCAATAATTTCACAACATCTTTATGTGACTAGATTGTTTATTATGTAATTTGAATCCTAATTAAGGCAATACTACCAATCTGCATGTGATTTTAAGTGTTAATAGTGTGTTTCGAGTAATTCTGGGAAATTTGGCAGATTTTTGATAAATCTGACAGATTTTTGATGTGCATTTAGCAGAATTTGGCTCTGACCTTACGGTCACCCTGGTGACCACTGCCTCAATCCTGCAAAAGACTCCAGCAATCACTGTCAATATGTTGAGGCTGAGCCAGTGACATCCTGGAGCAGGATTTCAAATATAATACGGGACTAAATCCTGCGAAATCCTCCATTTTGCAAAGAGGATTTTGGAGGATTTGGGAGAGTTAGGCATAAACGAAGACTCTTAGTCAATTTAAAATTGTAATACAAAGATGAAATTTTAAATTTTTTAAATTTTAATAGGCCTTGGATGACTTCGCCACCAAACTGATTGAGAGTGACCACTATGCATCAGATGACGTGGAAAGACGACGTGATGAGGTAAGGAGGGAAATCTTTAGCGACAAAAATATACAGGGAAAGACATTTTTCAATAGTTCTTATTCTGTCAATACCAGTTGCTGTTTGAAAAAATTATTCCTAAAACATTGGCTTTGATGTGCATAATATTTGTTAGTTGCTAGTATTAAGTTATTTCAACATGCTTTCCTGAATATTGATAACAATGACTTGAAAGTTATTCTTGTAAAATTATTTATGTATATTATTATCCCTTAATCTAAATGCTCTGGCCAGGGCCGACCAACGATGATGATGAAATCTAAAGTACATCCCAAGCTTTGTGAATTCAAAACTTTACATCCGTTGGTCCAACTTCTTGTTCAAATTAACAGTTAATAATTCTATAAATCTTTACGTTGGTTTGAACTGTTACTAATTTTTCAACAGGTTTAACATATTAATACTTTTAGAAAAAAGTTAGTAACAGTTTAAACCAATGAAAAGATCTAACTCAAACAAATTCTATAGATGTTAATGCAACAGTTTGTAAATACAGTGCATGTTTTGTTGAGTTTAGAGTGGAATAAAATTTCTTGGTCATTGCAGTTAAGATGTCCAGTATGTAACCATCCTTATCATGTGTTTTTAATCATTTGTCTTCATCAGCTGATCAAGCGTCGGGAGGAGCTGATAGAGAAGGCCAACATCCGGCGTCGCCTGCTGGAGGACTCCTACCGCTACCAGCAGTTTGACCGGGACGCTGACGAGGTGGAGGGCTGGATCCGAGAGAAGCTCAAGCAGACCTCGGATGAATCCTACAAGGTAAGGTCCAAGACAAAGAACTTAGCTTGTATTTGTGTTTATATTTACCCAAACCAAATGTTGCACTCTCCTCCTGTGTCATCAATATCTCGAAAAAAGGTTAAAGTTTAAGGTTAAAATAAGTTGGTCTCTGGTCAGCGCGCGCGTCGATTTTAATCATGCGCGTCAATCTTTTTTTTTTCCAAAATGTTCCGCGGTAGCTCCAACAGCGCCCTCTATTGCCGCACCTCTTCAATTTTTTTTACCAAAGAGCACCAAGGAATCGGAAATTGCACCAAGGCAAATGATCGAGAGCACCAAGGCAAATTATGGAGGACACCAGTGTACATGAGGACACCAAAAAAAGCAAAATAGTACCCAACCTTGTTGAAGAAAAAACACAAGCAAAAAAAAAAAAAAAAAGCCGCGTCCCTGCGTCAATTCCGGAACTTTGGTCTGACCAGAGACTGAATATATTTTTTTTTGGCCTTACATCCCCTGTGCTTTTCAACAAGTTCAATCCCCCCCCCCTTAACAATAAAAAAGCCTCCTTTTTGGACGTGTGCAACCCCTGTGGAAAAGGTTTTTGTTTTGGGCACAAACAGATCCACATTGTGAGCAGACTGGCTCCTGGTCCATACATTGTTGATTCTTATTGTGGGGTGGGAACCAAAATTATTATTATTATTATTTTTTTTTTCAGTCGGTGTCTCATTCAAAAGTGAATGACTTGTGTATTGCTAGAAAAAAAAAAGAGCAATGCAGAAAACGGATCTATTTTTTTCGGGATGAAACTTAACAATAGCCACAGGAAAGGCAACCGTAATGGTGCGATTTGGTTCAAATGCCACTGGATGCTCTGTGTGGATTGGGTTTGTCAGTACCTACACGATTGCATCATTTTTCTCGTTAAAAACCGACATTTTGGTAATCTGGAGTGAGTTATCTTTACACCTCATAATTAAACAATAGTGTCAAGGTGAGATTTGTCAGGATTTTTACTGATTTCGGGATTTAAAAAAAAATGCCTTTTGAAATATTGCATTTGTGAGATTTTAACTATAAAGGTCTTTAATACCTAAAGAGGTTAAAACAGTAGAAATGGGTGTAACCTACTTTGCTCTGGGGCCCTCAGTTGCCCCCAAACCCTCTGCCGATTATTTCGTGCATAAATTTATACTAACTCTGTGCTTATTTTTCCTATTTGTATGTAGGACCCCACCAACCTGACCGGCAAGCAGCAGCGCCACCAGGCATTTGAATCGGAGCTGAGCATCAACCAGGGTCGCATCAACTCCGTCCGGGACCAAGGGGAAGAGATGATCGCTGAGGAGCACTACAACTCACCGGAGATTGAGCGACGTCTCTCCGAGCTCAACCAGTTGTGGGGCAGCCTGATTACTCAGACTGAGACAAAGAGTGAGTTTCATTGTCTCTTAGCGAGTTCCTCTGAGTTTATTGAAGTATTCAGATGTCATAAAAAGGACTTCTCGAATTGATTACTCGATTGAGAAATCCAATACAAATTCCAAGATCCTCAGACTTGTTTTTCAGAGTTTACTTTTTTTCAAAGACCAAAAGTCTTATCTTTGGAGATGAGTCTCTAAAAATGAAAGATGTTGAATATTGACCCCTTGCACCTCAGAGAATGGAAATTTCTTAAGGTCATTGAGTGGGGAAAAAACAGTACTCATGTGCCAAGAGCAACTTAAAGTTTGACATTTTTTTTTGTGCCACCCTTACAATTTGATTTAAGAAATATGGCTTGTTATCGACAACTTGTTTCCAACTTGCACTCAGGAGTTAACACACTGAGTATAAAGTGTTTATACGTTGGCAAAGGGCAAAACCTGATATTGATTTACATCACCCCAATGCAAAATTCCATCTTATCAATAGTTAAATTGCGGTACCCGCTGCTACATGTACACCAAATTCGAACCAGCCAACCGATCCCGCAAGCTTGGTCGTCGAGTAGTAAGACGTCTGCACTAGAAAGCAGGAGGTCATGGGTTCGAGTCCCACCCGAGTGATTTTTCCAACTTTCACTCGGGAGGTAACACACTGAGTATACAGTGTTTATACCTCGGTGAAGGGCAAAACCTGATATTGATTTACTTCACCTCGACGCAAAATTCCATCTTATGAATATTTTTTTTCCTGTTTGTATGACAGCTGTTCGTCTGCAAGAAGCCACACAGGCCCTGCAGTACAGCATGAATGTGGCGGAGATCCAGTCCTACGTGACTGAAATAGATGGCCTTCTGCAGACAGACGATCATGGAAAGGTACAAAGATTTAATCGTTGATGTTAAGGGTCTTCGATTAGCAATATTTTTTACTGCATTTTTTACTAATAAATCTGCCAAGGACCAGGTGGGACCCTTGCCCTGTCAAGCTGGACCTGAAAGTCTGACAGCAGGGCCCAGTTTCATGGTTCTGCTAACCACAGAATTCCGAGCTTACGGTCACCATTTTGTGCTAACCGCGCTAGCAGAAAAATTCTGTGCTTACCCTGTAAGCACAGAATCCTTAGTTATGGGATGTACGCATACCCAGAAGCCGAAATTCCTCGCTAACACGTGAAATACGCTTACCGTTAGTGCCGAATTTTCTGCTACAGTAATTCCGAATTTTGTGCTGATCGCGCTGGCAGAAAAATTCTGTGCTAACCTTGTTAGCACAGAGTCCTTAGTTATGGGATGTAGGCATGCGCAGAAGCCAAAATTCTTCGCCAACGCGTAAAATATGCTTACCGTTAGTACAGAATTTTCTGCTGCAGTTAGCAGGGATTTTTCGCTAACGGTAAGCAGGGCCAAGAAATTGGGCCCACTTCAGGCAGGTTCAGCATTCTTTATACTTGGTGACTCACTCGCTCCATCAGTGACTACCTCAGTCAGAATAAATAAAGCTTGGCCTTTGTTTCAGCCAAAATTTCTCTCAATGTGTGCGTTTGTTTTTTGTTTTTTTAGATTAACTTGAAACAGAAAAGTAAGTGAGTGCTAGTGCTTCGCAGTATGTAAATCTTGCCTCCAACCCCCTGTATCGTCACCGTTTTCACGAACAGCCACATACTATATATATTATGTTGATTTTGAAGAAAAGTGTTTTCGAGATAATTGCAAAAGAAGTTTCTCATATTTTAAAACTTCAAGAAATACTACTTTGCAACAACTTTGTGCAGCAAGGAAACCATCACACGATTCTATGAGAGCTGAAGTTTTACATGAACCCGGTAATAAGACTTAATACAGCAGTTAATTAGTAAAAATTAATTAGTAAAGATATGTGGTTCTTCGTTAAAACGCAAATTCAAGTTTCCGAGATATTGGCCCTTTCTGTTCAACGTGTATTTCCATAGGCGCGCGTGAGTACGCGCGCGCAGCTGAAAATGTAACAAAGATATGTGGCTCTTCGTGAAAACGTAAATTTCATTTGACCTACTTTTAAGTATTTCCGTGCAATGGGTTTTGTACGCGTTCAAAGGGCCAAAATGTATGTGGCTCTTCGTGAAAACGCAAAATGCATTTATCAAGATTTCTGCCCCTTGCAACATAAATGTAACTGAGAAATTAATGATGTTTTGCTTACAGAAACATGTCAAAATGGTTAAGTACATTGTTTTAATGCGAAATATTGAAAAAAAATCTAAATCGATATGTGTGTGTTTGTGTTTGGCCCGTAGGACATCGGCACCGTGCAATCCATGCAGAAGAAGGTGACCGAGATGGAGAACCAGCTGGGTCAGCTGGAGGAGCGCGTCGTGGCCTCCACCACCCAGAGCCAGCAGTTTGCCATGGCCGGTCACTTTGACAAGGACATCATCGTTGAGAAGGAGGTCATCCTGAAAGAGCGCTACCAGTCTCTGCAGGTACGAGAAAACCTGAGAGCACTCTCTGTAAAAAAAAAAGTCACACAAAATTTTGCTTTTGCAGTTTGCAGCAGCCTTTCGCAGGGATCCCAGCCACTCTAGAAATTAGAGAAAACCTTGAAAATGAGTTTCCATGTTTCCAATTGGGGTAAAACTCAGGGAATTTGACAGTGATCCAGAAGGGACGGATTTTCGCCAGTTTGGCGTATGTGCATCTTGTGCAATGTGTCCAAGCTGTTTCCATTGACTGACTAGCTACGGTGGCTGTTTAGTGTTTATGCAGTGTGAATATTGCACACCCATTCAGACAACAATTATTGGCTGTACCTCCGAACAACTGTTGACTTTCCAGCAGCGTTGTTAAAGTGAAAATGTTTCTCATGGAATTTTGGGAATTTCTCAGGGAAATACCAGGGAAAACTCGGGGTATTTTGTTTTCATTTTGAACGTGATGTGCTCCTGGCAAAAAGAATGGCAAAATACATATTGCCATATGCAGTCCACTGGAATCTATTTTATTTGAAATGCATGCCTCATGTGATATTTCTTGGGGACATGTTAGCTTTGACTAATTAGGCACTACCGGTATCTGGCATTTATCAATTACAGAAAATTCTGTTTGGTGTTGGTGACTGCTCAGTATGGAGGTATTCTGAATCCATCAAAATCCTGCAGTACCGCTGGGCTTACAATCCTGAATCCATCAAAATCCCCCCGTTTTCAATATGGAGGTATCCTGAATCTGCCGAAATACTCCTAAACAGGGGTATGGATTTTGATGGATTCAGGGCTAGTTAGGGCTAACCCTAACTCCCTAGCATGATTTACTAGGAACCATACCCATCCTGGCAAATTCCAACACCATATGAGAGATCGCACAATTATTTCTGACTTGGATTCTGCAGGTGTGCCAACCCAATGTAAAAGACTGTCAGTTTAGGGGTACTGTACCCATTCCCACAGATTTCATCAAAACATGCCGTTGGGGTTTGATGGGTTGAGTTCTGTAAGGGCTAAGGAGCACATCCAGATTTATGAAATCATTGATGTCCGATGTAATGGACAAAGGAAAAGAGTGGACCCTGAATTTATAGAATGACCCAGCTGTCAACTTTGTAGATTTTGAATTATGAAGTTGTACGTTTCGTCTCCGGCTACTAGGCTCCATTGCAGGCACGCAAAAAGAAGCTGGAGGACTCGTACCGCTTCCACCAGTTCCTACGTGATGTGGACGATGAGGAGGCCTGGATCCGGGAGAAGGAGCCCATCGTGGCCTCCACCAACAGAGGCCGGGACCTGATTGGCGTGCAGAACCTGATCAAGAAGAACCAGGCCCTGATGACTGAGATCTCGGGCCATGAGCCCAGGATCACCTCGGTGGCCAAGATCGGTCGGGAGATGGTCGACGAAGGTGAAAATTGTTTTTTTTTTTTTTTTTTAAATGTGCATTTAAAGTGTACATCCAAAGGTTCCAACTTTGCCCTAGGACTTAATTTGTCGATTTTACTCAAAGATGAAATAAATGATGAAAATATAACCTTTATTGCCCTTTTTTTACATGATTTGGCCACTTTGTTGTTTTCTTTTGTTTTATTAAAAAAAGCTAAATATTCAAGACACAAAAGTTTAAACAAAACTTGCAACTTGACACTGATCCCTGAGGCAGTGTGGCCTTGAGACTTTCCCCCTGATGGATCTTGCTACATTTGGCAGGCTTGTCACTTAGTCAAGTGTTGCACGTTGCTACATTTGGAAGGGTTCTAGCAAACATACCCTGGAGGGTTAGGGTTAATGCAGAGAACTGCAGTATTGCTGTCACTTTTTTGACAATTATATACTGTCTTCTGTTTTGCGCTCAACCAGAGCATTTTGCCTCGGAGGAGATAGCATCCAAGGTGAACGCCCTGGAGGAGAAGTGGCAGAACCTGAAGGACAAGGCAGCCAAGCGCAAGGACGACCTAGACGACTCGCTGGAGGCCCAGCAGTACTTCGCTGATGCCAACGAGGCCGAGTCCTGGATGAAGGAGAAGGAGCCCATCGTCTGCAGCGAGGATTATGGGAAGGACGAGGACTCCGCTGAGGTGAGCTGTCGTTTTCCAAAAAAATGTCTGATTGTTTTTCTGTTTAAATATCCACCGTTAAGCCAAGTACCCTTTGAGCCTAGGGCCCGAGGAATTTTTGAAGAGAAATAAGGGAAGGAAAAGCCAATTTGGGGGAAACCATACAGAAATTGTTTTGTGGAAATACTGTGTTAATAAAAAAAATAACAAAACCCAAATGTTGGACCATTTTTTTTAGTGAAGTTCTGCATGTAATAGTTTCAAAATCTAGAATATGAAAGCCCAATTCATTAGCTTTCTTTTAGTACAAGAATCACGCAAATCACTCATGTTCTTTTCAAGTTACTGAATTTTAATCACAAACACAGTTTTGAAGTTCTGTCCACGGATCACAAAAAAAGTAAGTGTTCTTTCAGCAAAACGAAAACCATTCACATAGGGATGTGTGTGAGTTGTTTTTGATTTGCAAAAAGATCTTTAAAACAGTGTTTGTGTTTAAAATTAGTAATGTGAAAAGTACATGAGTGTTTAAATGATTCTTGAATTTGTGTGTGTGTCTTCAATTATGTTTTGGGAGGATGTACTTTTGAGTGCTGCTTTTCTATGTTTTTAAATTATGGTTTGTTGATATTGGCAAATTTTTTTATGGTCTTTTTTCTTTCTTTACCCAGTCTCTGCTGAAGAAGCATGAGGCCCTGCAGTCTGACCTGAAGGCCTACCACTGGACCATTGAGAACCTGGCCAAACAGGCTGAGGAATGCAGAGTAAGTCCTCTTTTTTTCAGTCGCCTGTTATTTTTTCCCCCAGTTTGTACAAACTTCTTGTGGATTACTCAAAACCTGTTGCATTTGCTTCATGTGAAATTGATGCTTCCAAATGTTTTTTGTATCTCCTTGTTTTTCCTCTGTTTAGTATGTTAGTCACATGAATTGTCTGTCTCTCTGTTTTCCAGATTTTTGCTTTTAAAACAAAGCTGCTTGTTAATTTGAAGGCGTAGAAGCCGGCTTGTTTTTCCATTCTAGATTAAAAGTAGAGAGTGTTTGACATGCTTTTAGTCTTAAGGCCCTGTCAGACTGTCCGCAATCATATATGCGCTCTAACTGGGTCCTTGAAAAATGGCTGGGGCGCGACAACAACTACTACTAGGTCGCAGCGACAACTACATAGGTCGCCTGATGGGCGCCCAAGGGTCTTTATGGTCTCCGATGAGCGCCAAAGTTTTTGAACATGCTCAGAACAATCCCAACACCTCTGCGCTCTGGCAGGGTGCCGCAAGTACGCAACTCGTGCGCTCTGCGAGCGTGAATCGTGCAACATTGTCTTGGCATTGACGCAGCCTAGGCGCAAGGCAGTCGATGTAGTCGAGCGAGTTGAGCACATCGTAAGCGCGGGATGAGCGCAGTATGAGCGTAGCTTGAACTACTCTCTGGCCACTTAATACAGAAAATTGTCATTTTCTTGCGTCCTTGCTGCGATTGTTTTATTTATTAAATATTTTTGGTCACCGTAAGGTCTCCCTTGAGAGCGCATATAATGTGACAGGCTTTTTAATGACTATGTTTTGGATGATGATAATGCAGTACTGATAATGCTTCAAGAACGAAGTCAACGCATCTTTTCCCAAAGTGTGCATTGCTGTGAGGTTTCGCAAAGACTTTTTCCAGCCTATCCCCGATAAGCATTGCATGAACTAGTGATAGTATTACCCTCGTGTCTTTGTACCAGATTGTTTATTTGTGTGTTGAACCGCTCTCTTTTTTTGTGTGCGTACTCCTGTGTTTAATCTCTTCTTTGCCGTGGCTGTTCTTCATGTATTGCTTGGCATTTCTCACAGTATGATCCTCCGCCTTCGGTGGCGCGCTTTCTAATCGGAAACGTAAGTAGGCGCAAAACAGCATGGTGAATGTTTGAGGACAGAGCATTTAGAGCATTTTCGCCTCATGCCCATTCTCTCATCTGTTTCTGTAGGGTTCAATATTGGAGGGGAAAAGTACCGTACGCGTTCAAATTTTGTCCTGAAGACAAAGAAAATTGTGAATCCCTGTCATCTGGATTTTCAGCGTCAATTTCATCATTTTGGTGTGATGGGGGGTTGCTTGATTGAATGTGTATTTGGTAATAATTTGGCATTTTGTACAAGATCAATGGGATTTAATTTACATTTCAAAATGTTGTATATGCACAGAGGGTAAAGTAACGGTCAAACATGAGACATTTCCCAACCATTTACCAACTTTGTGTCGACAACATTTTGAGCAAATGCATTCCAAGGGCATGTGCGAGCTCAGCATTTTGTATTTATGTTGGCCATTTTTTGGGTCCAATTTCACCCTTTGGTGCAGTATCCATTCTGCTGTCATTAAAGATTGCATTCTTTTCCACCCTGTGTACAACACAATAACAATCATGCAACTGTGTAAATATCCATAGAGCTATATTAAATTACTAGAGCGCTGACTTATGTACAGAGTGATGCCTGCTGGGCGCATCCATGTTTGTGCACAAACCTATGTAAAAACCCGAAATTGTGTACGCCTTTTGTACGGCTATTTGCATATCTGTGTTTGTATTCTATACAGGTGCGTTACTGAAGCCGATACGCCCAAAACCAAAACGCACGATCAGCAAATGAGCGTTTCATTTTGCTCTACGTAAACAGCGCAACACGTGCGCGTATCCGCTGCAGATGATTAACCGTGACTTTTTTTAAACTGTCATGACGCGCCCGCTTATGTTGTTTGCGTAGGTTTTACTTGCGCATTGCATTTAGAGTACAATTTCAAAATTCAATCCATCTAATGTCATTGTGTTCTACAAACATGCACATGAATTCAAAATGTCTGCGCCCAGGATGGCTTCAAAGCATCTCCGCGCGCAAGAGTGAGGAGTTAGCGCTGTAGTAATTTAATATAGCTCTATGGTAATATTCCGGGCTCATTTAACAATCCCTTGATATTTAGCAACAAAAGAAATTACATGTACATGTTTATTTGTCATTTATGCATTTCCAATCCTGTTAGCTTTCGGAACTGCCATTTTGGTCATGGGAATTTGCATCGTTAATAGTGATCATTTGTACAAACCTGTTCATTTCATTGAAACAAATTGTACCTTGTTACCCTTCAAGTACCTGGGGATAAACACATTTGGTTGTGGTATTAATTCATTGAATTAACCCTGACCTCAACTCCATAAAATCCATCCCCCCCCCCCCCCCCCCCCCCATTTTGGTTGATTTGGTCCTGCAGGCCTGGTTTGACTTCTATTGTTGGAGTATGATGGACTTGGGCCTGGAGGCCTATTAAGCAAAGCATGTATTGGAAGCAGTGTGATTGATGGATTTTGGCAGACTTGGTCCAGTGCTTAGTAAAATACAGGAGGGAGGGTTAGGGTTATTGATCTTACAACCCACACAAGGATGCATACATGTGGATGAATCTTTTTAGAATATGAATACGATGTCTTTCAGGTTTGATTAGTTGTAGGACACGGTATTGATTTAAGACCATTTTGTCCAAAGTATCTCAGCATAACAGTTGAATATAGAAATAACCAACCTCATTTTCGTGGATCTTTTTTTTTGGGGGGGGGGGGGGGGTTCTTCTCATACATGGATTTGGAATCACTCACATTTGTGTACTTCCTTGGCTTAGGAGATATATTGAACAAGGTTTTGCATCTTAAGATTGGTGTTAGATGTTCATTATACTGGAATACTTAAACTGCAATAAATGTTAACATGTACATGCTGTAAGAAGTTTTGAAGAAAAAAGAACCACAATTTTTCTGCTGCAATATATAAAGCGAGATTATTTATACATAGCCAGGGAGACTGTGCATGCTATGTTCGAATAGGAACCCTTTACAGCATGTGTGTTGGATTTTACTGAGTAGCTCCATTTTCCTGGTAGGATCGTAAGAAAATGCTGTGCATGGATTCTTTGCCTGAGTGTGATCAGTTGAAGTATGTGCATGCTTTGGTTGCAATACAGAAGTAATCATTACTGAATGGTTTTGTTTTATAGGAAAGAATGTAGCATCTTGATAAAAGGAAAAAGAAATGAATGTGGAACAGCAGTTATTTTGTAATGAGGTTTAAAGGATTAATGTAATTAGACTTCCACGCACTTTGTGAGACAAGGAAAGGGTTTCGTCATGTCGAGTTCACACAACGGACATGTTCATGAAATCAAGTCGTACATGACATCATCACATTAACCCAGACGACTCTACCACAAAAAAAAATGATCACCATTCAGAGTTCAAACTTCATTTATTCAAACCAAATTTCAGGTTTAAGCTTCTAGTTCCAAATTAATTTCAAGAAACAAATTGCAAAGTTGTGTCAATCATTTGAAGTGATTTAAATTTAGAGAAAAAAAAATAAAATGTTTCTTGAAAAATATATAAATTTGTAAAAGAAAACTATGCATCAAGACATGTTTGCAGGTTAAATATCTCCTGTTGTTGTCTTTGACAATACAGAAAGAATTGATTGACTGATAGAAATGCAAAAAGCATGGCTTCTTATAAAAGGATGTACACACATAATAATCCAGGGGTGTGAAATCTCAGCTTTAAAGCTGATTTCAGCTTTTTTTTGTTTTTGGATTTCAGCTTTTTTCCCCCTCGCTGTGTACCAAAGTATAGGAGATTTTCCAAAGTTCAGTTTTTTTTACACCTTTTTCAGCTGTTTTCAGCTATTTTTATCAGTGGTCACTCACACCCCTGAGAATGTAACAGTCACAGTGATTTGAATGGTGCAAATTTGTTTTCTCTCAAAGCAACAAGAGGTCCCCGTCACTGACGAGGCAGGCAAAGAATGCGTCGTGGCCCTCTACGATTACACCGAGAAGAGCCCCCGTGAGGTGTCCATGAAGAAAGGAGACATCCTGGTCCTGCTCAACAGCAGCAACAAGGTAAACGGGGAGTTTTTATCACTGCAACTCATTGTATTTGTAATAATATAATAACAGAGTCTTATATAGCGCACGTATCTACCAACAATTAGGTACTCAAGGCGCTGGAAATTATGTCAATTATTAAAGAAAGGTAAATAAAGTTTATGAGAAATATGAGACCCATTATGTAGCACCTTATAAAGGTTTACAAGGTGCTGCGGCGCACATTGCAGCCACTGCCAGAAACACCGGGGCAAACCCCTTCTCTTAGCGATAAGTGTTACTGGGTTCTTTAACGTGCATTACACAACACACGGGACGTACGGCTTTACGTCCCATCCGAAGGACGAAGCAATAACGGTAAAGTGCCTTGCTCAAGAGCACAAGCACCATGTTCCCACGGTCAGGATTCGAACCCATGCACCACGGCACACGAGTCGAACACCGTAACCATTGGACCACAGCGCCCCACAGGGGCGTAGGTGTGTAGGTGTCCGTTGTGGTATCTGTCACTGTGTCTATTGCCATGTCTATCAAAGTATCTATCGCTGGTTAACCCTCGAATCAAGTCTGAGAACAAAGAGAATAAAAATAGAAATGAAACTTATTTGGACGTGTTGGGCCATGGGTGCTTACGCGTGGTAAAACTTTGTTCTGGGGTTCGTTAACTTGGACTATGAAAAGGCACATAGGAAAGCACAAATAAAAAATTGTGTCACTGTTGGTCAAATGTTTGCTACTGCAACTTGTAAATGTCAGGGGCGAGATTTTCTAGGATGTGTCCTGATTGTAGGATTTTTTGTCAGGATTTTATTTTGATTTCAGGATTTTTAAAGAATCCCATTTGAAGGAACTCCTGACGTGTTACCAATAAGGTGTTTTTACCTAACAGTTTACACAGAACAAAGAAATTGGTATTTTGAGAGGTGCCTGTAGGCAAATACAAACATCTACTATAGTCCCTATGTTGCTCTAGGGCCCCTGGTAGACCTCAAATCCTCTACCGGTTATTTCATGAATTTTAGAATTTCCCGAAATCTCACCCCTGAAATATGCATGCCTCCCTGTTTGTAAACATGCCAAAGGTTTGTTATGACCAATGCGGCTCTGCATAATTGTGCAGAGTGTTCTGACACATAATTTGATTTTTGTTACAGGACTGGTGGAAGGTGGAGGTGAACGACCGCCAGGGCTTTGTCCCCGCTGCCTACGTCAAGAAGATCGACGCCGCCCAGAGCGCCTCCCAGGCCAACCTAGCTGAGGAGGACGGGAGCATCAAGGCTAGACAGACTCAGATTGAAAAACAGTAGGTCTAATGTCTCTCTGTTACCTCTGTAAAAGTCTTGAAAAGAACTGAAAACTAGACATTGTTGAGAGTTACTGTAAATCAGATCATCTAAATGATCCATGTGAAAAAATAAACAAGAGCTCCACTCGGGGCTGATGGCTTACAATTACCAGGGGTGTGAAATCTCAGCTTTAAAGCTGATTTCAGCTTTTTTTGTTTTGGATTTCAGCTTTTTTCCCTCACTTGTCATGTACAAAAGTATAGGAGATTTCCAAAGTTCAGCTTTTTTACACCTTTTTCAGCTGTTTTCAGCTATTTTTATCAGTGGTCACTCACACCCCTGAATTACTTGCCCTAGGTGCATATTATTAAAATTATTATTAATTTTTTTCTGGTTTTGAAACCAAGGGTCCGTCAAAAGCCCTCCAGGCACTGTAGCTCGAAAGCCTGAAGAAACCTGTGGGGAGGAGACAATGAGAAGAAATCTCAGTTTTAAGAGGTGGGAGGTAAACCCTAGAAGAATATTCTGGGGAAACCTCACGGAATCGGGCAGGGACTGAAAACCCAATCCACATATTGGCCCAGGCTGGATTCGAACCCAGGTCACAGTGGTGGAAGGCGAGGAAAGAACCGCTACGACAACCTGGATCCAGATTGAATGTCCCCTCAGAATGAAGTGCTCTATAACTGAGTCCTGTCTTTTGTGTGTGTACATGTAGATATGAAGACATACTGCAGAACGCTGACGTGCGCAAGGACAAGCTGGAGGAATCCTGCAAGCGCTACATGCTGCTGCGTGAGGCTAACGACCTCATGCAATGGATCAAGGACAAGGTGAGACGGGCACCAGGGAACAAATTAAATGAAGCTGTTCGCCACAACAAAATTAGGTTACCGGCTAAAAATGTGCCGGTAGTGCATTGGTTTTGGATGGTTATCAGCTGTATGTTGTTAGATGAAGTAAGACTTACTGGGTGACATGCATCAGTATATATTCTGGTCCGGAACTTTTATTTGAAGCTTACACTGTAAGTGTTTAGGAGTTAGTATTTTAAGGGATGCTAAATAATTCTGTTAAAATCTGTTCATCGTAAGGAGAACACTTTCATTGGGAGACATTGCAGAATGGCCAGCAGTACATGTACATTAACAGAAACAAAGAATTTGTGTAAGCAAACCTGCAACTCAAAGATGACCAATTGTCTCAGTTGGCCTTATTTGGTATTCAACAAAATTTGTATTTACCTTTTTTTGTATTCAACGAAAAACAAATTTTAAACATTTTTTTTAAATTTTCTTATAGGAAACACTTGTGACTATGCAAGAGGTTGGTGAGGATTTGGAACAGGTCCAGATACTGCAGAAGAAGTTCGACAACTTCAATAAGGTGAGATGATTTCAATGAGCAACTTAATCCACAGATGTTACTATTATTTTGATTCAGATTTAAATGCCCAAATGAGGATTTTGTTTTCTCTTTGAGTTTTTCAGTGTGTGTTTCCAAATGTAATGAAGCTACTAACAAAGTTTAATATTTTTGATTCACTTATAGGGAATATACAACATTTGCAAATATCAAAAAACAAAACTACCAAATTATTATGAAATACGTTACTGGACTGTTAGTGAATGACAGTCTAAAGCATCCTGTAAAATCATGGCACCTGGCGTGCTGTCATTTTCAATAAAAGTGGTATTTTTGTATCAATTTCCTACGTTGGTCAGCCGACCAGCATTGGAAAAACCCCCAATTTACCATAATTTAGTTAGTCCGCATTTTGTTTGCAATCATTTACACACCTATGAACAGGTACTACAAGCCAGCTATTTTATGGCTCCCCGACCTTACAATTCCCCGACGTCTATAAATTGCTCTGTTTCATCTTAAGTGGGGTCTGGAAACCAGACTACAGGAACATGATTGTTTTTCTTGGTTTTTCCAGCATCTACGAACACAAAACTTCAAACAAGTCAGTATTTGCTATAAAATACTAACCCCTCAAATCCATCCATTTCTGAAAATTACAGCTTTAAAAGCAAATGTCGTATATTCCCTTTAACTAACACTAAAAGTAGTAATTATTTTGGTCTTGTGCTGACGACCCTTTAAAATTGTGTCTTACTCAGGATCTTTTAGCCAATGAGAGTCGTCTGGATGAAATCAACGACCAATCCAAAGAGCTGCCTGTTGATCAGAGCCCGGAGGATGACGTGGTTCGCCGCCGTGTCTATGTAAGCATCTTAACATTGACCAATCGAACGCGACCTCTCTCTAGCTATTTCACAATACTACTTCCAAGGAGGGAGTAGTGGTGATTTGCCTCCGTGCATGACCTCCTCCAAGGGCAAATTAAACAGTCTCTTCTGTATATTCGCCATAGTACAGTATCCAATGTAATATTGATATTTTACTTAAAGATGTTCCCAGTGATAGACATAGTGTTGAATGGAGAAGTTGAATTTTGCCATGTTCATTGTTGACATCACGCAACCATGCTGCACACTGGTCAATCATGCAGAACCTTACTCAGGTTATCAGTGTCCTATATAGGCTCATGTAAAACACTTGGTTGCTGGTTCAAAATAGTCTGAATTATTAAAATGATATTGAGTAGCCATTTTTTTCGTACCCATTTGAAAATCAGTTCAAGATTGTCAGTCGATATATATTTATCTATGTTGGTTTTGGCCACATTCTCATGGGTTTGGAAGTGCTTCAAAACTTAACAGCTGTCTTCTCACTTTTGATGCGCAGGAGCTGAACGAGCGCTGGAAGGCTCTGCAGAGGCTGACTGAAGAGCGGAGTGCGAGTCTGGGCACAGCCCATGAGGTCCAGCGATTCTTCAGGTATGACGGCAAAATACTTCCAAAAATTGAAATTTAAAAGTGATAGAGGGGTGACACTTATCAAAGCATACTATTAAGCCAATGAAAGTTGCTTTCTTTGTAATTTGTCCTTGTTATAATAGACTCACATCACAGACTTTCTGAAGTTGGGCCGCTTCACGACAATTTTTGTCTTTCACTCCAGACATGTCTAGCAATATCACAAAGCTAAATTTCTTGTTGACGGATTTAACAAAACTTTAAACAATTGACACAATGGTTATACACCAAAGTTACAAAAGTGGAAACATTCTTGTTCAGTTTGAACTTCTTGTTTTTGGATCATGACAAATTTCCATAACATATTCCTATCATGATCATGCATGGTCAAATGCCAGCCTTCTCACACGGTCTCGGGGAAAATTCCAAGAATCCACAGAGTTCCAAGATGCTTCCATTGGACAATATTGCTTATTGGGTTTTTTTTTTTGATCTTTGAATTCAGAGATGCTGATGAGACCAAGGACTGGATCAATGACAAGAACAAGTCTCTCAACACCGAGAACCTCGGCCACGACCTGCACAGTGTACAGGCCCTGCAACGCAAACACCAAGGGCTTGAGAGAGATCTGAATGCACTGGGAAGCCAGGTAGGGTCCTCTCACGAAATTCAGTCTGCAAGATGATTCATTGTACTGAGGAAAAAAGTAACTTGTCACTTGATAGAGATCTGAATGCTCTGGGAAGACCAGTATGGCCTACTTTAGAAATCCAAATTGCACAATGAGTCCTTGTATGAGGGAGAAATGCACCTGCTAAAAGTGTTCTGTTGGGAGATATAATCGACACATGGAGATAGATATTTCTTTTAGTTCTGAGCGTTAGGAGTGTGAAAACTGGTGACCATCTTCTTTTAAAAAGGCTGTAGAATCGTATTTCATTATTTCATATTTCTATGTCTTCTAATGGAATTGCTAAATTTGAAAATTTAAATTCTTGACTCATTACTTTAGAATAAATTCTACTCACTTTGCAACTGTGATAGCCAACATCTTTCCCCAGCTTCTTATTAAAGCTACGTTCAAAACTTGACGTACTTGCTATAGATACCATTCACCATATGCTTACATTGAATCACTCTAATCCTACAATCACAGGTCAACAAGCTTGATGAGACCGCAACCAGACTGATCCAGACTCACCCCGACCAGGCCGAGCCGATCACTGAGAAATGCCAGGAGATCGATGCTGCCTGGAACAACCTGCAGCAGAGGGTAAGGAATAGGGAGTTGCAAACATACTTGCTTCCATTTTTCACGTTGAACAGTTACCTTTAAAAGCCAAGCTGCTTGTTGTCATTAAATTTAATATTGTTGGGATCGGGCAAATAAATCCAAAACACATAATGTTCAGAAAGGAAATTACCTCAAGAATCTGTAAAAATAAATTGAGAAGAATGTCCTTGATTCATTATGAACAACCCCATGAGGTATCCTTTTTTTTCAAGAGAGAATATATCCTATTGTCTTCATATTCCAACTTGTACTTCTGCTAATGAAATTTCTTTGGAAGTGATTTTTCTTTCCTTTTTGGCTTTGGCTGGAAAATATAGAAGATCTCTTTACAGATCTCTTTATCAGAAAAAAGAAGTTTCGGAAATTAAACCTTGAAGAATTGTAGTGTGTTGATTCGTATATTGTTTACATTGAGCGACACTGTATGATTATACAAAGAGGTGCACAACAGTGTTGTAGTGCAAAATATTAACACGATCCTATCTTCCCCATTTTCCGTTGATTTGATTCTCACACTTGCGGTTCTTTCACCCCTCTTTGCTTCTTTCAGGCCAATGACCGCAAGAACAAGCTGACAGACTCTTACGACCTGCAGCGATTCCTGAGTGACTACCGGGACCTGATGTCCTGGATCAACAGCATGAAGACGCTGGTCTGCAGCGACGAGCTGGCCAAGGATGTCACCAGCGCTGAGGCACTGCTGGAACGCCACCAGGTAAACAGGGGTGTTGGGAGCTGAGGTGGATAGTCTACAACTATTGACTGCTTGGAAAGACTGATAATATACAACTTTTGACTGCTTGGAAAGACTGAAAATGTACAACTATTGACTGCTTGGAAAGACTGATAATATGCAACTATTGACTGCTTGGAAAGGCTGATAATATGCAACTATTGACTGCTTGGAAAGGCTGATAATATGCAACTATTGACTGCTTGGGAAAACTGATAATATACAACCATTGACTGCTTGGAGAGACTGATAATATACAACTTTTGACTGCTTGGAAAGACCGATAATATACAACTATTGACTGCTTGGAAAGACTGATAATATACAACTATTGACTGCTTGGAAAGACCGATAATATACAACTATTGATTGCTTGGAAAGACCATAATATACAACTATTGACTGCTTGGATAGAGTGATAATATACAACTATTGAATGCATGGAAAGACCGATAATATGCAACTATTGACTGCTTCAAATGGTATAGTCACCGAGCCTCTTTTGGCGATACTCTATTTTTCAAGGCAAGGCAGATGGACAGTATAACAATCCACAGGTCAGTGAATCTGTGGGCGAGGTTTTATTATGTAACAACAATTCTCAGGCAAATCTTTAAACTTAAAAGGAATCTGAAAAATATTCAAAGTGGTCAAAATACTGGGGAACTGAAGTTTGACTTTTGATATGGAACGCATTCCCTCAAATATCCAACTTAGTCAAATGTCAGATGACCTGCTCATTACACTTTTATGTACCGATTGGTACTGGACACCCATGGGTCACATTCCTGATTAGAATGAATTGACTGGGTGTGTTTTCATTTAAGTATTAGCAATCCGGAGGTGAGCAGTTTGTGTCAAGTATACAGTGCTAGAGCCAAGTAAAAAAAAAAAATTCTTGTCTGGACCTTTGAAAAAGAGAGGAGGCCGCCTCCCCCTTTTTTCCATTAAGGTGGCGGATTTTCCAAGGTGGCGGATGGATTCTTCCATTTTTTGTAACTCTGCTGATACTTTCATGTCCAAAGGAGCCATCACCCTTTCTATCAGATTTTGAACTTGTGCACATGGCTACAATTTTACTGGAAACAAATTAAAAGAAAAATATAAATTGCAAATATATGGTTAAAAAAAAGAGAGATGGGTGGGAAGTAGGAAGTAGGCAGGGACAAAAAAACTGGTTTATTCTTTTTATTCAGCCTAAAATGATTATTGACTACTTGGTGAACAAACCAAAGAGTGACACTTTAACAAACGTCGTCTCATTGTGATTGGCATATACAGGAGCTGCACTCTGAGATGGAGGCCCGCGCCGGCTCCTTCCAGAACTTTGAAGCCTTCGGCAAGCAGCTCCTGCAGAACAAGCACTACGCCAGCCCCGAGATCCAGGAGAAACTGGACGCACTCCAACAAGAGAGGGAGACTCTAGACAAGTGAGTTCAAGCTCTCAAAAACTTGGGGTGACATCAATCTCTGGTGACGCTGTGCATTCTCTGGCCAGCATAATGTGAGTTTCTTTTGAATATTCATTAAATGTCTGTGACGGGTATCAATATTGAAAGTATTCTTGACATTCATCTTCCACAGAGATTGGAACGACCGTCGTCTCAAGCTTGATCAGTGTCTGGAATTACAGGTATGTTTTTTGTTTGTCAGCGCTAATTCTAACTTAAGTCAGAGTTGTAATGACTCAAGTCAATGACTCGACTCGAGTCCGACTCGAGTCACAGTTTTTGGTGACTCGACTCGACTCGAGTCCCTAAGGGTAAATGACTCGACTCGACTCGAGTCACTGCGAGCAAATGACTTGACTCAACTCGAGTCCCTCAGACTCAAGCAAAAGCTAATAAGACTCGAGTCCCAAAAATAAAAGCAACATTTTGGGAAAGTATTTGCAATGACTTACGGTGCAAATTTTATGTTCATTTATAAACATACAACGTGTCACAGACCCCGCCTTATGGTTCTGGAACGCACAAAATACTATCCAGGAACCGGATTTTAAACACATTTTCCAATTCATTGTTTCATCATTGGCTTTGGGCGATTTCTTTTAAAGCTCTTGGATTCGAACGGCAGCTAAATTTGTGCCCTCCTTTTATAAATATTGGTAAATAGTGTTCAAATATTGGTGACTCGAATTGACTCAAGCCAAATATTTGACTCGACCTGACTCGACTTCCTTGACCTAATGACTCGACTCGACTCGAGTCACTTCTTTAAAATGACTCGACTCGACTCGAGTCACTTCTTTAAAATGACTCGACTCGACTCGACTCGAGTCACAAAAATCAGTGACTCGTTACAACTCTGACTTAAGTCAAATGATCCTAATTGACGGATCCATTACTCCCCTCCCCACCCCCAATGTCTTTTGACCAATCACAACTGTGATTAATGTCTGACATGTTTGCATAAAGGTTCAACATGCACATATGATGTGCACGGCAGGAGAATGCAGCAGGCTTTCAAGTTTTCCCACCTTTTACCTTGCTCCTACTTTCCTATTTTCTCTTGAAATTCCTACTGTTCCCTACTTTTTGGTCCCACAACTCTGAAAAATGAAATCTCATTGAACATTTTCATAACAGTGTTACACACTGTCATATGTCAATCACACAATGAAGGGCTTGGGCGCAGGAGTACTGCAACTGTACTTCCAAGAGCTTAGTTGAGAATGCAGCACAGGTGTTATGAGTACACACTATATGCCAAATGAGGCTTATGATGCTGTGGACATGGGCACACGAAAACTACTCCTGAAAACGATCAAAAGTCCTTGTTTATTCTGATTTTGTCCTTCAAACTCCTGCCTTTTGTCCTGTTTTTTGTTTTAAATTTTGATGGTACTGTTCTACTTTTTCACCTGGGTCTTCTTGAAAGCCTGAATGGGAGGGGCTTAACGGATTGGTCTATTGAACTGTGACTATGATCTAAATTTGCAAGGCATTATTTTCTGCTGTGTGGTTGCTGCTTCAAACCGACTCTTGTTGGGACTTGCCTAACTGATTCCTTACCCTACTCCCGCCTCCCACAGCTCTTCCTGCGAGACTGCGAGCAGGCCGAGGCCTGGATGGCCTCCCGCGAGGCCTTCCTGGCCAGCGAGGACATCACCGGCTCCCTGGACGGCGTGGAGGCGCTGATCAAGAAACACGAGGACTTTGACAAGGCCATCAGCGCCCAGGAGCAGAAGATCAACACCTTGCAGTCCTTCGCGGATCAGCTGATCAACGCTGACCACTACGATTCCCCCTTCATTGCTGACAAGAGGGACCAAGTCATTGAGAGGTATAGTCTTGACAGAAAATTTGTTTGTGTCAATTTTTTGTTGTTGGTCAGACAAGACCAAAGTGTTAAAATCTAAATGGTTATCCAAATTTAAACACCAGATGATTGTATACTATCTATATTGGAAGATAGCAACTCAAACTCTTTTTCCTCATATATTTTTTGAATTGTGGAGACTCCACATGCACTCTGTATTCCCCACAGCTCACATATTAAAACACAAATATCTGCAGTTTTGACAGAAGATAATTTACCCTCCTTACTACTCCATCCCTTTTGAAATATTGTTGGTCTATGGTCTAAATATTGTTTTTGAAATAAGTTGGTCTGTCGGCATTATCAACTGCAGAAACAGGCCAACTTAGATGTGTCTGGCAAAAGTTTGTTTGAATAGTGATGAAGAATGTCACTTTGATTTTAGCAAGATTCGGCATTTAAATATTTTAAAAACACAACACAACTGCATGTGTAAGAGGGTAATATTCATCACATTAAGAGATTTATTTGAGTGTTTTAACAATGTGTGTGTTTCCCCCGTCTCTCTTGTTCATTCTCAAGATGGAACTCCCTGAAGGCAGCCCTGATTGAGAAGCGCTCCAAGCTGGGCGAGTCCCACACCCTGCAGCAGTTCAGCCGGGACGCTGACGAGGTGGAGGCCTGGATGACGGAGAAGTACCAGGTGGCCACCGACAAGTCCTACATGGACCCCACCAACATCCAGAGCAAGCACCAGAAGCACCAGGCTTTCGAGGCGGAGGTGGCGGCCAACGCTGAGCGCATCCAGGCCGTCATGGCTGTCGGACAGAGTGAGTTGGGTTGACTTTGCTTGGAAAGACTGTAGTATCTGGACGTCACTTCTTTGGTTGTGTACAAAGTCAAAAGAATGTAGTATCTGGACGTCACTTCTTTGGTTGTGTACAAAGTCAAAAGAATGTAGTATCTGGACGTCACTTCTTTGGTTGTGTACAAAGTCGAAAGAATGTAGTATCCAGACGTCACTTCTTTGGTTGTGTACAAAGTCGAAAGAATGTAGTATCCAGACGTCACTTCTTTGGTTGTGTACAAAGTCGAAAGAATGTAGTATCCAGACGTCACTTCTTTGGTTGTGTACAAAGTCGAAAGAATGTAGTATCCAGACGTCACTTCTTTGGTTGTGTACAAAGTCGAAAGAATGTAGTATCAAGACGTCACTTCTTTGGTTGTGTACAAAGTCGAAAGAATGTAGTATCCAGACGTCACTTCTTTGGTTGTGTACAAAGTCGAAAGAATGTAGTATCCAGACGTCACTTCTTTGGTTGTGTACAAAGTCGAAAGAATGTAGTATCCAGACGTCACTTCTTTGGTTGTGTACAAAGTCGAAAGAATGTAGTATCAAGACGTCACTTCTTTGGTTGTGTACAAAGTCGAAAGAATGTAGTATCAAGACGTCACTTCTTTGGTTGTGTACAAAGTCGAAAGAATGTAGTATCCAGACGTCACTTCTTTGGTTGTGTACAAAGTCGAAAGAATGTAGTATCAAGACGTCACTTCTTTGGTTGTGTACAAAGTTGAAAGAATGTAGTATCCAGACGTCACTTCTTTGGTTGTGTACAAAGTCGAACGAATGTAGTATCCAGTCGTCACTTCTTTGGTTGTGTACAAAGTCGAAAGAATGTAGTATCGAGATGTCACTTCTTTGGTTGTGTACAAAGTCGAAAGAATGTAGTATCCAGACGTCACTTCTTTGGTTGTGTACAAAGTCGAAAGAATGTAGTATCCAGACGTCACTTCTTTGGTTGTGTACAAAGTCGAAAGAATGTAGTATCCAGACGTCACTTCTTTGGTTGTGTACAAAGTCGAAAGAATGTAGTATCCAGACGTCACTTCTTTGGTTGTGTACAAAGTCGAAAGAATGTAGTATCAAGACGTCACTTCTTTGGTTGTGTACAAAGTCGAAAGAATGTAGTATCCAGACGTCACTTCTTTGGTTGTGTACAAAGTCGAAAGAATGTAGTATCCAGACGTCACTTCTTTGGTTGTGTACAAAGTCGAAAGAATGTAGTAACCAGATGTCACTTCTTTGGTTGTGTACAAAGTCGAAAGAATGTAGTAACCAGATGTCACTTCTTTGGTTGTGTACAAAGTCGAAAGAATGTAGTATCAAGACGTCACTTCTTTGGTTGTGTACAAAGTCGAAAGAATGTAGTATCCAGACGTCACTTCTTTGGTTGTGTACAAAGTCGAAAGAATGTAGTATCCAGACGTCACTTCTTTGGTTGTGTACAAAGTCGAAAGAATGTAGTATCCAGACGTCACTTCTTTGGTTGTGTACAAAGTCGAAAGAATGTAGTATCAAGACGTCACTTCTTTGGTTGTGTACAAAGTCGAAAGAATGTAGTATCCAGACGTCACTTCTTTGGTTGTGTACAAAGTCGAAAGAATGTAGTATCCAGACGTCACTTCTTTGGTTGTGTACAAAGTCGAAAGAATGTAGTATCCAGACGTCACTTCTTTGGTTGTGTACAAAGTCGAAAGAATGTAGTATCCAGACGTCACTTCTTTGGTTGTGTACAAAGTCGAAAGAATGTAGTATCAAGACGTCACTTCTTTGGTTGTGTACAAAGTCGAAAGAATGTAGTATCCAGACGTCACTTCTTTGGTTGTGTACAAAGTCGAAAGAATGTAGTATCCAGACGTCACTTCTTTGGTTGTGTACAAAGTCGAAAGAATGTAGTATCAAGACGTCACTTCTTTGGTTGTGTACAAAGTCGAAAGAATGTAGTATCCAGACGTCACTTCTTTGGTTGTGTACAAAGTCGAAAGAATGTAGTATCAAGACGTCACTTCTTTGGTTGTGTAAAGTCGAAAGAATGTAGTATCCAGACGTCACTTCTTTGGTTGTGTACAAAGTCGAAAGAATGTAGTATCCAGACATCACTTCTTTGGTTGTGTACAAAGTCGAAAGAATGTAGTATCAAGACGTCACTTCTTTGGTTGTGTACAAAGTCGAAAGAATGTAGTATCCAGACATCACTTCTTTGGTTTCGTACAAAGTCCAAGGAGTGTGGAGTGCATTTTCAAAGTATTTTCTAACAAAATTGGAATAGTTTCTCCAGATTCATGTCTTTCAACAGTTTTGCAGTGACTGATCTTCATTGAGATAATATACAGTGGAAAAATTGGCATCAGGATGCAACATTCTTTCCCTTTGCTTCTCTTAGCAGTCCCTGGAGCTGATTTTAGTGGCCTTCTTTTTAAGGGACAAATAAACAAAACTAATCAAATGAAAACGAATTGTTTTTGTTTCATTGCGTGTATTTTAAATAAATTTTGTGTTTCATGTCAGGGTTTTTGATTTGTTGAAAATTAACCTTAATATGCCATTGACATTGACTCAATTCCCTTCATGAGATGACAAAAGAGCAAACATCTGAAGTTGTACAGATGACTGTACAGAATCAGAACAGTCAAATTTAAAAAAAAATACCCATTGACTTGGAACAGAAGTCCTGTGATATACTAAAAGTGTGGAGTATGCATTCTTGAGTATCACTGAGATAGTAAATTCAAATAAATTTTGAAATTTGAAATTAAAGCACTGTAATAAATCTTTTGTATAACTTTTGTATGTCTTTATCTCCTCTCGCTTTCCTGGAAAGACGGACGAAGGCTTAGCATCAGCAAACACAGTCATTCTGAGACACTGACATCAAACTCAACAAACAATTTTGGATCTGGGAAAAACTTCCTAATAAACAACCCCTTTTTTCCCCTGCTGATGCCCAGGACTGATTGACAACCGCCAGTGCGTGGGAAGCGAGGATGCCGTCCAGAATCGCATCGTCACCATCGGCAACCAGTGGGAGCTGCTGGTCACCAAGTCCACTGAGAAGAGCGAGAAACTGAAGGAGGCCAACAAGCAGCAGACGTTCCACATCAGCATCAAGGACATTGACTTCTGGCTCAGTGAGGTAAGTATCCTTCCCACTGATGAAACCCTGTGCTCTGATGGCTTTTCTCTTGTATTTAGAAAAATTAGTTGGAGCTGCTTCCACCAGTGTTGTAGTCGAGTCATCACAAGTCCTTCCATAAGTCCAGTCACAAGTCCTTTCATAAGTCCAGTCACAAGTAATGGAATTGATAATGACAAAGGAATGCTTTTGTCACAGTTCATTTGAATAGCTAGTGACTTGACTTGAGACTGAAGGACTTGTGATGGACTTGAAGGGACTTGTGATGGACTCGACTACAACACTCAGGCATGCAACTTTTCCTCGGATCAGCTGATTTCCTCTTTTTTTACTTCCCATGTGTGCCATTGAAAATAGAAAAACACTGTACAAAGTCTGGGAAAAATTTGAATTTCCTCTTTTTTTGGGATTTCCCAGTTGCATGCCTGAACACTGGCTTCCACTAGGAAGGCTGAAATTAGACTGAAGTTGGAAAAGTCAGGTTTAGAGATTTTGTAATGATTGAATCAAGCAGAATTAGAGCCTTATAATCTTGTACAATTTTGGGTATAAGTGATGCTGTGCCTTTGAAATGTTTGAGAAATGTGGGAATTTTGTATGAGTTGGGAGATTTTTTTTTGAAAAAAAAAAGACAGTGCAACAGTTGCTCTGCATGACCTTCTCGGGAGGGCCAAGTTAAGGGCCCTTTAATGGCACATCAGTTTGCAGACCTGTACCCAAATCAAGCCAAAACGTGCACGAAACCTGGCAACCAATTGTTGTTGGAAACTACATGTATGACAAAAAATTAATGCTCTGCCATCATTAACAGTTTAATTGACCTTTTTTAACACCTGATTGCTACGGTGCACATAGAACCCCTTGGTTATGTATGATCCGAATTCATTTTAGTGCATTCTGATTGATATCGGTATTTTTGGTGCTCTTGTCAGATTGAAGCGGCGCTGTCGTCTGATGACATAGGTCGTGACCTGACCTCGGTGCAATATCTTCTGAAGAAGCACCAGCTGCTGGAGGATGACATTGCTGCCCATGAGGTGAGAAGGCACATACTCACAAACATCTGAAGGAAGTGTACAATTCCTTACATTGACATGCTTGGGAAAAAAAGTCACCTCTGTTGTAACAGCAGTTTGTCAGTGCAAGTCTTAACATTTTTGGAAAAACAAGAGGAATCTGCAAATACAAAATATAAAACAAAACTTCCTTTTCATAAACTCTATTTTGGACTTTAGTTTTAAGGCAAAGCACATGATATAAAAAAACCCACCATGTGACAACATGGTATAGACAAAACAGACAATTAGAATTTCTAAGTGAGTCAAAGGTAAGGGTGTTTATAAAGATACATTTGATACAAAATTAGCATCTCGGAACTGAAATCTTAATATATTTTTTTGTGAGCTGAAGAATTTTTCGTTACATGTTTGGTTTGAGACATGGTAGATGTGATTGCCATATTTTAAATGCAGCAAGCTCTGTTCTACTGTTGGTCTGCGTTTTTCAAGTGCCACCACTTTGACATTATTTGTATTTGAAGAAGTTATCTCTATGTGTGACTTGCATGTTAAACTTTTAACATGTTTTCATGTTGGTTTCCTTCCTTTGCAGGATCGTATCAAGGACCTGAATGCCCAAGCCGATGCCTTCATCGAAGCTGGTCACTTTGATCCCCAGGTGATCAAAGACAAGAAGGAGAACATCAACATCCGCTATGAAAAGTAAGAGCAGTGCTGTAGTACCAACAACAAAACGTAACAGCAAGTTTGTTGGATCTCTTGATAATTGATACCATGTGTGAAATTGTCTGTCAAGATGCTCATATAAACATGCCTTCCGATACCAGGGCCAATTTTTAAGATTTGCTCAGTGCTCATTTGCTGCGCACTGAAAAGTGTTGCTTAGCAAAAGCAGATTACTTCGGTTATTGCAAAATTTGAGAAAGTTTTAATGAATATTTGTCTTTCCCTCGAATCCCACAGAGTCACTGAGCTGAGCATCTTGCGTCGTGAGAAGCTGAACGAGTCACACCGCGTGCATCAGTTCTTCCGAGACATCGATGATGAGGAGGCTTGGATCAAGTGAGATTTGTTATTTAAAAAAAAAAAAATTGGTAGAAATTATCCTTAAGTCTTTCCTTTTATTTTGTTTAAATTGTTTCTTTTATTAGTGCCTGGGATATATATAATACATCACAAGAAAACTTTCTTTGGAATACAGTTTTCCATAAAGCAACAAAAAGTCAGTTGCTGTCTCAGTGCTGCATCCTAATGGATTTTACAGAATACTATAGGCCATGTTACCTGTGTCGTCATACTAACAGGCAATAGCCTGACAAACTCGACCATTTAAGCATCATTTGCAGGCTATTTTACCCATGTTTAACAGTTTGTCACCACTTTGACACCAATCACATTTCAAGAGATACACATGCAGTGCAGAATAAAACAGTTTGTCTAGAAGCTGGCATCAACGTCCAATTTGTAAACAAATGTGACATGGTCGGTACCTTGGACAGTCCTTGCCAGTTTTTAAAATCATAACATTCAAAATCTTCTTACTTTGTGAAGGGAGAAGAAATTGCTGACCAGTTCCGATGACTACGGCCGTGAGCTGACCGGTGTGCAGAACCTGCGCAAGAAACACAAGCGTCTGGAAGCTGAGATCAACGGCCATGAGCCCGCCATTCAGGTATGCTAATCTTTGCTGAATCCTCGTTTGTCAAACAAATTTAAACAATGAAGTTTGTGACACTTTCTTTTGTAAACGAGCCCCAGAAACCTGTGTATATTTTTACATGATTTTGTGGTAAAGTGGTACATATCTGGTAATGGCATATATTTTCCTGCAGTGTCTTCAAAAAGGTCTGACATAATATTAAGAAATATGGGGATGAACAAAATGCTCAGAAAACTTATTTGAGAATCAATGAACAATGTATGAGCTTTACATTTTTATTGAAAATTTATGTTTTTTTAAGATAATTTATTTATTTAGATAAAAGGATGAGTGCGCAGTTACACGTCTGAGAAGAAAAATATGAATAACTGCTTTGGGTTTAACCTACTCCATGCCATGATCTGTGTGCACTGACATCACAGACTTCATGACGTCCAATCAAACTTTTGTCCCAAAAGATTTTGTGCTCCTAGTAAAAAGAAACCCGTTGATTTTGTATTTATCATGATTTTTATGTGAAAAGTGTTCCACGCTTTTCATTCTGTGTCTGGTTTTGATTTCTCGTTTTTCATTTTATTGTGCTTTATGTGTTTTTAATTTCTGTTCTTCATGTTTTGTGTTTTGTTTTTTGCTTTTAACACTTGGTTTTTTCCTAAAGGCTGTTCACGATGCCGGTGCTGTTTTGATGGACAAACTCGAGGTATAGTCTTCAACATTACATAGTCTTCGACACACTCGCTCACACACCAGCTTTAGTTTTATCAATGCCCAGTAAATATAGCCACCATGCCATTCCATTCATTAGCAACGTACATCTTCACCGTGTGTTTTCCCATCGCCAGTAGCCCAACTATTCATTTTGAGTACAGTAAGTAAAAAGTAAAGTCTGTCCCGAGCCAATGTGGCTCATCAGGCCGGCGTTTATCTCCGGTTTCAGTAGCATGAAACGACTGAGAATATTTCTACTCCCCCTGGATGGGATGCTAGTCCATCGCAGGTTACTCCCCAGCTAATGCCAGTACCCATTTATACTCCTGGGTGGAGAGGGGCAAGTGGGGGTGAAGTGCCTTGCCCAAGGACACAATATATGACCAGCGGCTGGATTCGAACCCCGGACCCTCTGATCATGAGTCACGAACACTAACCACTAGGCCACACACTCCCCCAAACAGTAATTGATCAATTTTCAAAAGTTTTTGAATGTTGAGATTTCAGTTCACATTTGATAAAGCAGCAGAGCCTACTGGTTCAACAGAGCAATCCCGTTGCTTTCAGAAACAACCACCGTGCTTTTTTTTTTGTCGCAGACACTTTAGTGATAAACGTGAGCTGAAAATGGAAAATGGTTTAATAGTCCTGTCTAGCTTTTTGGATGATGGAAGGCAAAGTATGTCTAATTGTTGCATAATGGTGGTCGTCTCTGCATTGGCATGGGGTTGCTTTGTTGAAATCCAACTGAATTTATACAACCTTGGTGTGGAGTATTTCGTTAATACTTGTTACACCCTCTACTCCTAGTAAAGGAGCTCCAAACCCTGGGTTTACTCCTTCAAGGTGACCCACGTAGAGTGCTTAGCACCAAATCTAACAAAGAGTGAAAGGTTTTATGATGGCTTTCCTTCTAACAACCCACAGGTACCATAAGGTTGCACACTTGTAAATAAATTCTTACGCAGGATTCTAATTCCCAAGTCTCAAAAGTAGCCTCTAAATCCTAAAGAGGTTGAGCTGTTCAATTTCCAGCAGTTGTTCGTTGACTTTCGGGTTCTTCCACTCCAAATTGAAGCTCAAAAAGTAGCGCTGAAACTTACGCTAGAGAGTAGCCATTTGGAAATCATTTTACAATCCTTTAAATACAGCATTGAGATTTGTCAGGTGTTTTCCTGATTTCAAGCTTTGTTTTGAGATGTTGTCTATAAATGTACCTTGAATAGAAATAAAGAAAAGGTTATTTTAAGGGGTGCCTTTAGCTAATAATACGAACACACACCATAGACCATTTGACACCTTGCTTTGGGGCTCTCTGCAACCCTCAAAACCCTCTGCCGATAATCTTGAGGATGTTTAATTTTCCGCCAATCTCGCCCCTGTTTTTTTATCATTACCACCCCCCCATTTAAGAAAGTGCAAAATGTCAGGTTTTTACAGGCAACATCAGCACTACTTTCTACATTTATTTACTTGTGTGCAACCTTGTTGCCTGATGACTGGGCAATCAACTCTGGATCTCTGTTATCCATGAAGTGCGCCCTCTGTTGTTTCTCTCTCTATTGGTTGACTCCATACCTCGGCTTTATCACCTCAAACGAGTGGGAAAAGCAAACATGTAGTCGGCAGGCTGATCCATTGTAACAGAAAACAGTCAAAAATGTGACTCCCCCCCCCCCCCTTTTTTTTACCCAAGATTTTTCATTATCAAATGATGACTCATACAACTCATGTAATACTGAGAACATCATTGTGTCTGCTTCTACCATAGCAGTGAGTTTTAAACTCTTGACTCCATTCTCTAAAAGCAACGTGTGCTATTTTCAACATATACATTTGTTAAAAATGCGGGGTTTTTTTTCGTCCGATTCTCCCGAGTATTGCGTCAGTGTCAGGATGGCCATTTTCTTGTTACTGTGGGTCAGCCAGTAGTGTTAGTTAATCAGCTTTTAAAAACTTGGGGTTTCTTTCCTACTTACAAAGCTTACAATGTAAATCCCCTTAAGTAAGTTTATAGTGCTGAAATAACTTTCCTGTGTGGCCCCTATTAACCCTTCCACGCCGGCCGACAGCTTTAGCCACGGCCCGGTATTCCATGTTATACAACACCTGAATAAATCCCCGTCATCTGATTGGTGGATCGTTGATCACATGTCATTGAATTATTTGTACCAACGCACGGCGCGCGCGTGGCGCGCAGCGCACAGTGCAATGGAAGTTCTATTGCACTGTGAATAGAACTTCCATTGCACTGTGTCACATGGAAGTTCTATTGCACTGTGAATAGAACTTCCATTGCACTGTGTCACTGCTGCTGGTGGTGGCGCTGTTTAAATCGAGATAAATTGAATATGATTGTTCTCAACCTGTTGAACAGTTTGCATTAATATAAATATGATGAGCTTGTCAAACTTTTAAACAGTTTTTAACCTGAATAAATTGGCTATTAAAAGTCAACCAATCAGATGACAAGGATTTATTCAGGTGTTATATAAAACAAATAATGAATGTTTCACGTTCGTGCAATGGAAAGAATAATTTCATTCGGTGACAGATGAAATGTTCCATTCCACGAGGCGAATTCATCTGTCACCTCATGAAATTATTCTTACCATTGCACTCACAAACATTCATTATTTGTATAATATGCCATAGTATGCAGTCTGTGGGAAACTGCTACTTTGCAGTGCCGCTACTGCGCAGAGGCTACTGTGCAGTGATGCGTAAAAACCCGGCGGCAAGGAGTTAACGACAAACAATTGTACACAGTAACAAAGGTCTTTCATGGGTATCATGGGTAATGTGGAATTACGCACTCATACAGCGGTTAACATTCACAATCTGGACATGATAGCTGGTACTTCATGGAAGCCATGTACATTGTATTCATTTTGTCATCAAGGAGTTTAGATCAAGTTTGCAAGTCCTGTACAGATTAGATATCTGTCGCAATTTGTCATAGCTACATGTACCTTAACAAATTAAAAAACTCCCTTGTTCAAATATTTTGAGCCCTTCGTTCATCCTCATGTATTTTTTTTTTGGAAGGTCTAGATACCCGATCATAAGCACAATCCTTACAGTTAAATTGATCATTCAATTTATATTCCTTCACCGTTGGATTATCATCGATCATCCTTCCACCATTTCCATGAACACGAATAATTTATTGGATAAACATTTGCTCTTAAATTGTTTTGTAGATATTAGAACATTGCAACCATAATTGACAGAAGGAATTCATGAATCGCTTCCCATGCCCATTAGTAGTCTAACTTTAATTGCAACAATTACAATCACTGTTGAACATAGAAATGGCTGCTCTTGCATCAATAGGGGTACTCTTGGTTGACTCAAAACTGCAAAATTCATATCAGATCTGAACATTCTCAGAACATCAACAAGCATTATTGAAACAAATCAGAAATATCTATGTTCAAATCTTCAACAGACTTTTTTGGCTTCAGACTGAAAACTTGCTAGATAGATTAGGAAATTGAATACTTGCACTCTTGTATCTCCACACCCTCCTCCATTTAAAGGAAATTTCCAGCCTTGTGAGAGTGGGACAGAATATCTTAAGGAAAGTATCGATAATACTTAAAACACATAATTGTGATGTGATCAAGCTAAATGAGTCGTTTGTCGGGAATTTTCATTTGGAGATTCAGGCCAAAATAGGGCCACTTCATCACATCACTTCATGACATCTCTTAATGTTCCGACTTCCATCATTTTTGAACTAAAGATGGTATCGGCTTGCAGTTTTCACAGCAGTAATGCTAAGATTGTGCTCTTCAAATCTGTGGGGAAAAAAAATTACCAGGGTCTACAAACGACTCATTTAGCTTGATCCCATCACATTTTCTGCAGTTTAGACCTGTCTTCCACTATTAACACTCCCTTGTTGAGAAGCTCCGGTAATAACTAACCCCACACTAACAATCCTGCACTTGCTTGCATCCCAATATGAAGTCAAACCTTTGAAGTAATCTTGACTCTTGATCGTCTCGTTTCCCACAGGCTGTCCAAGATTCCGGCGCCACTCTGATGCAGGAGGTTGAGCTGAACAGGGACAATGTGCAGCAGCGCCTGGACCAGCTGGCTTACAACTGGGATGAGCTCAAGAACCTGGCACAGGACAGGTAGGGCTATGAAAAATGACGCAGTCAAAGTTAACAAGTACAGTTACAGTACCATTAAAAAGCTGGGGCTGTCTGTGGCAAATTCAGAATTTAACAATTCTATGCTATGAATATAAAATATTAAAAATAGAGCACCCAAAGAAATTCTGGATTGAAATTGTAAATCTACCTACATTTCTAATCCTCTCGCATAGTTATGTGAATCACTTTTGTGATTTCTGCATTTTGAAATCTTTGTTTTGAACGATTTGGTTGAACCCAGTGTCAAGATGGCACCAACAAGAAAGCGCCAGACAAAGTGACAAATAACAATGTTTCGAAAATTCATATTTTTAGCTTGAATTTATGTCATGAATACTTGAATTGTTGCGGGTTGGTTTCTTCATAATGACACATTAAAATGATGTAACAAGGAGTTTGGTCTCAGTAATATCTAAACTCCAAAAAGTAGTTTTTTTGTAGTGGAATTCCAGATGATCTTGTTAGTCTTAATCGACCCCTCTCATAGACAGCCATCTTGCCTATGCAAATTACACCTGCGTGTTCAACCCCATCAGGTACGTGTGTGCGCAGTGTGCAAAATGTTCTAAACACGAGCACGTGTTGCTCAAAATGTCTTTGAAATACGGCACAGACGATGCGTGTCACCAAAATTTGACGCCCAAAATGCAGATGCACGTGTCAATCTATAGGCAGTGATTATCATTTGGGAGGGGTCTTTTAGAGATCATGACTTAGTATTAACTTTGTCTGTTTTTTTTTGTCCACAGAGGCAAGAAGCTTGAGGAGTCGCTGGCCTACCAGGAGTTCCTGGCCAGCGTGGAGGAGGAAGAGGCCTGGGTGAATGAGAAGCAAACCCTGCTGTCCAGTGAGGATTATGGAGACACACTGGCTGCTGTGCAGGTATGCTGCAGATTCTTTTATTGGTGTAAAATTTTGAGTACGTACTGAGTAGAAAATGTCCGCCAAGTTCAAGGACAAGAACACCAGGTGGTTTTATGCACATTGGAGTGCATTTCTCAGGTGTGCATTTCAGTGGAAGGTGCTTTCAGATGGTAGGGTGGTTTTTTTGGGGGGGGGGGGTCCTTAAAGGTAATATACAACATTTGCTTTTGCTGTAATTTTCAGAAATGGATGGATTTTGGGTGTTAGTATTTTATAGCAAATATTCCTCAAAGTTTGTGTCCATGGATGCTGGAAAAACCAAGAAAATAATGTTGTTCTTGTAGTGTGGTTCCCTGCCGACCATGGTTGGAAATTGATACAAAAATTCTAATGTTCTTGAAAATGACAGCACACCAGGTGCCATGATTTCACAGGATGCTTGAGACTATTATTCACTTACTGTCAAGTAAGGTTTTTTCATAATAATTTGATAGTTTTGTTTTTCGATGTATATTACATTTAAGCCTACACAGTAACATGAAGCTGTATAGCTTTGAATTATTGGGTTTTTTTGCACTTTCTGTTTTGGTGATTTTCCTACTGATTTACCTACTTTGCTCTTCAAGCACTGTGAGGAAAAACCTTGTCAGATTCTTTAATGGGATTCTCATTTTGCAACCATTAATATCATGAAACGCTCCTTTCCAAATAGGGTCTGCAAAAGAAGCACAAGGCGTTTGACATGGATTACAAGGTGCATCAGGAACGTGTGGATGACATCAACCGCCAGGGAGAGACGCTGATTGAAGCGGTAAGCAGTTGCCATTCACACTAGTATCTCAGGGAAGAATTGCAACATGAAAAAGCAGTAACTTCAGGTCGAAACAGAGGCACCCCGTAAACCCCTTGTAAAAGCTTGAGTTACTGCCGGTTTAATTTTATGTTTTCCTTTATATCCTTTGCTCTAGCTCAGTGGTTTCTGAAGAAAATGCCTGCCTTTTAAAAAAAAATGATTTCTATGCTTTTAGACGTGATATATCTTTACAAATCCATGTTATATTGCCGTTGTTTGAGGAGAAGTATTCTTTCTGCTTGACTCCTCGAGTATTCAGTTCCTGGACAATATTTGCCCCTGAGAAACTGCTTTGTAGGTTTTGTGATGCAGGTCTTGGTGAGTACAAGTCTGGAACAATCTAATTTTTTCCCCAAAAATATTTTTGTGTAATGCAGAACAAGAATAAATCAAGCTCTGAAAGTACCAAAGTTTTTTTCTATTAACTATTCTGGTTAAGCGATCCCAAACAATTATTGACGAATTTCAAACTGGCACTGAAACCGAGGACCTCATTGCTGTCTCTTGTTGAGATGACTAAAAAAAGAAAAGGTACTCAGTTCATACAATGGCTTAGCACTGAGAACCTCGGTTTCAATTTCAATTTGAAATTTGTCTATTACCGTTTTCATTTTGTTTTGAAAATACAAGTTTGCCATTTTTAACTATTATAAAATTGAATCTCTTTTGTTCAGGAGAACCACAATTCAGAGGCCGTCCGTCAGCGCATCGACTCCCTGGAGAAGAAGTTTGAGGAGCTGGGCCTGGCCGCCCAGCGCCGCAAGGCCAAGCTGGACGAGAACTCGGCCTTCCTGCAGTTCATCTGGAAGGCCGACGTGGTAGAGTCCTGGATCGGTGAGAAGGAGAGCATGGCTCGCTCTGATGACTACGGACGGGATCTGTCGTCTGTCCAGACGCTGCTCACCAAGCAGGTCAGTTGTTGGATGGCATCGAGAATTGTTATCAAAGATAAAAAGAAATAAAAAAGTGTCATACAGACCTCGAAGTTTCACTTCTTATCAAATTTTTCTGTCACAGGGGTGTGAAATCTCAGCTTTATAGCTGATTTCAGCTCTTTTTGTTTTGGATTTCAGCTTTTTTTCCCTCACTTGCTGTGTACAAAAGTATAGGAGATTTCCAAAGTTCAGCTTTTTTTACACCTTTTTCAGCTGTTTTCAGCTATTTTCAGCTATTTTTGTCAGAGGTCACTCAGACCCCTATTTTCAGTTGAACCAGTTTTTCAGTTGAACTAGGTAAACCTAGACAGCCTATGAATCCCAGCTGGATCTATTCGTAACAGAGAGATTGATGACTTTGTCCTTGAATGAATGTTTCTGCAGGAGACCTTTGACGCTGGCCTGCAGGCCTTTGAGAAGGAAGGCATCACCACCATCACCACACTGAAGGACACGCTGGTGGCGGCTAATCACGTCCAGACACCTGCCATACAGCAACGTCATGCCAACCTCATCGCTAGGTAAGAAGACGTGGAGATGATATGGTGGAAGTATGGATGATAGTAACTAATATATGAGGCGTTCTGGCAAAATGAGGTGGAACTGGGCCCAATTTCATAGAGCTGCTTAAGCACAAAATTTGCTTAAGCACGAAAAAAACAGTGCTTAGTAAAATGAGGTTACCGGCCAAAACTCCATGCGATGTACATTGCTTGTGAGTGGTATTTAGCGGTTGTTTACTTAGCATAACAATCGCATGGAGTTTTGGCCGGTAACCTGATTTTATTAAGCAAGACGTTTTTGTGCTTAAGCAAATTTTGTGCTTAAGCAGCTCTATGAAATTGGCCCCTTGGCACAGGTAGTAGTGGAGAAAAATGCCCAAAACCGAATAGGGGCGAGTTTTTTTTTTGGTGGCCATCTTTCCTTTCTGGCAATATCCATTAACCCCTTCAAATTTTGTCAAATATTCTTCAACGGTGTTTTTGTTTTGATTTTATTTTTGGCAGGTGGGAGAAGTTGTTGTCTGACTCGCAGAACCGTCGCCAGCGCCTGCTGAGGGCCCAGGAGCAGTACCGTGAGGTGGAGGACCTGTTCCTTCTCTTCGCCAAGAAGGCCTCGGCATTCAACAGCTGGTTTGAGAACGCGGAGGAAGATCTGACTGACCCTGTGCGCTGCAACTCAGTGGAAGAGATCAAGGTAGGTACCCTGTTGCCAAGTAATAATGGACACTGCTGTTATTCATTTTGAGGAAAATAATTGAGATTATCAACAACAAAATTACCACTCATGTTAGGGTTAAAATCATCAAATTTAGTAATTTCAAACCCCTAGGGGTGTGTGAAATAATCATTTTAAAATAGGATTCAAGACTAGGATTAATGTAGTTTTTTTTGTTTTGTTTCATCTGAGTAATCAGATGGTAGGCCTCATGTCACTGGTTTACAATGGAATTTACTCTTTCAAGTTGTGAGAAAGTCAGGGAGATCATTAAACCCCCAACAGGTTTTCTCTAGGCACCCTGCCAAATGCAACAAAATGCAACTTGGTTGAAATAAGAGCTCTGCTAAATGCAACAAATTGCATCAGTGGATTCTGTTGCATTGTGCAATTAACCAAGTGCACACTAGCCTTGGCACCAAGCAGTTACCCTGCTAAGTGCAACCAAATGCAACAGTGGATTCTGTTGTATCCCCTTGGCACTATGAGTAGTTACCCTGCTAAATTCAACAAGATGCAACAAAGCACGGGGACTTGAGTTACCTGCTAAATGCGACAGTATGCATCAACTTTTTTTTACCAGTGTTGTACCAGTGATGCTTTCCGTTGCATTTAGCAGGGTCAGGGTTAATGGAAACAAAAATTACTCTCTGTGTTAAAACGAGCTGAAACTGTAAAATGCGGTAATGGAACTTGCTGGCAGCAACTCTTGTCCTTAATCTAGTTTCAGTAGCAAATTGATTGATGTATCACTAGGTCCAATCTTTTCCGCTTTTTGTTTTACTGATCAATACATCGATTGATTTCCAATCAGGCTTTGAAGGAGGCCCATGATGCCTTCACTGCTTCTCTGAGCAGCGCCCAGAATGACCTGAAGCAGCTGGCTGCCCTGGACAAACAGATCAAGAGCTACAACGTCACATCCAACCCGTAAGCATGTCTTTCTAGCTGTTAACTTCGGTCAAAGATGGAGAACATTTTGCCGTTCCAAATTATGAGCTCTGTCCGCCAACAAGAGAGGGTGCTGTTTTACCACCTTCGAGAGCCCCGTGGTGGGGACACGCTGTGTGTGTGTTCTTGTTCGCGCGCATATAGCACAGAGTATGCATGACTTCTTTAATCTGAATGAGAATTGAATAAAACCCTGTGCAGTCACAAGACTCCAAATTGCTGACTTGACCATGTAAACCATCAAATCTTATCTCTTTCTTCTGTCGATTGCCCAGGTACACATGTTCTTCTGGGGTTTTCCTCACACCTCTAAAACTGTAATTTCTTAACATTGTGGATTCTACTAAATGGGCTACCCAGTTAAAATGAGAATGGAATAAAACACGGTGCAACCACAAGACTCCTAATTGCTGACTTGACCGTGCAAACCTTCAAATATTATCTCTTTCTTCCCTCATCTTCCCAGGTACACCTGGTTCACCATGGAGGCCCTGGAGGAGACCTGGCGCAACCTGCAGCGCATCATCCGGGAGCGGGAGGTGGAACTGAACAAGGAGATGGAACGCCAGGAGGAGAACGACCGCTTCCGCAAGCAGTTTGCCCAGCTGGCCAACACCTTCCACGCCTGGCTGACGGACTCCAGGTATGTCCATAGAACCTCTCTTCCCAAGGGGTCCTTGTACTTCATTATGTAAAATGAGTATTACACAAAACTGCACAATACATCTGGCGGCAATGGTTTGGTTTTCCCATAGTTTATCCTTGATGAAATAATTGTGGTACCCGCTCAATAACGGCGGCAAACTGTAGTTGCAAAAATTAGTGTAAACTCAACAAATACTTGACCTGCAAATCCCACCTACTTTGAGCGCATAACTGCCAACTTTGGAACAGAAATATTATAGAAAAAAAAAAAGATTTCAATTAAAGAATAGCAGTAAATCATTTTACCAAATACGTTTTACTGTACAGAATGCAACTTTAAAAATGAAGTTATATACAGTGTATAACTGACGACCTTTTCTACATAAATGTGGAAATAAGCATTGAACCGTTGATACAAAATGGCCTTGTATTTCCCTCGAGAGAAATGGCGAGGAGAATTTAACTCTCAACTTCTGTTATATTAAAAATGCTGTCTACCGCTTGTTGATTTCTTTTCCCATAATAGCTCTGCAAGGGATTGAGGTCTCTTTAACAGTCTTTCGCTTCCAGGTGCATTTAATCAGTTCATGATATGCCAGAAAAAAATGACTTGAATACAACTGCAAGATATCGCGAACGGCTGCACATACATCTATAACATGGCAATGTTAACCCTCCTATGCAAACATACACTCTGTGCAAAGTTGTACTTTCAGTCAAAATCAGTCAAGTGGCTGTTTTTAACAGTTAAAGAGCTCCCGGCCTACATAAAGCAGGATTGACCGACTGGGACTGTTTATGTAACTTGATACAGCTATGCTTTGACTGTAGGTGATTGATAAGCCAGCTGTGCCTACCACTTGCCTGCTTTTGCCGGTTGACCGAATTTGACTAGTCACAGTGCTTGCTTGAAATATGCGATCTGACTGTTGGTGACTAGCTTGTGTAAAAGGCATGGCAGGGGAAGAGGATTGATTTTTTTTTAACTGTCTGTGACTGTTCAGACATCAGGAGGGTTAAATTAATACCACAAAGATAGCAAGCCTCTGTCCAGATGATAAGCCACCCAAACATAACCTTGATGATAACTTGATATTTCTTCTTTTTTTCTCTCTATTTTTGACTGTGTTTCTGTTCCTCTCTGTTCACCCTTTGTTCGGTTGGCCTCCCCGGTACCCACTGCACATGTGGCTTCCCTGGTAATCTGCCTGTGACTGATGTTACATACGAATATCATGGGAGCAAAACTTTATTTTTTATGCAATTCACCCTGCAGAACATTAACCCTGATGTTCCAAAATCCTCCAAAATCCTCTTTGCATAAGTGAGGATTTCGAAGGATTGAGACTGTACGTTAAAAATGTGTCATTTGAGTTTGGAGGATGCATTGTGCCAAGGTCTAGGCTGTACCGTGTGTTGTTTATGCTTAGCCATGCACAAATTTAAGCCTAGATACTTCAAATCCACACTGCTTCTGGATATCATCAGCACTGCCTCAACATGTTAACAGTGATTGCTGGAGGATTTTGCAGGATTGAGGCAGTGGTCACCCCTCTAATGAACACATTTAAGAAAAAAAAAAACGGAGGAATTTGCTGTATTGAGGCTGTATCCAAATTTGTACATAAAGGCAGTAGATGATTTTGAATGGTTGAGGAGTGCATCCTAGCAAAAAGGCCAAAGGGTTAGGGTTAATTAATTCCTAAACTGCAGCATTCTCTAGACACTATTGTTCAGATAAAGGCAGTTGTCAACCCATTCTAGTGGTCATCCTAAAACCTAGTTCGTCCTTTGCATGAATGCATACAATGCGAATGTGATGTCAAGAATTTGTTCAACTCCACGTATATTTGAAGTACGAACAACGTTCAGTGTTAAGTATGAAACAGGTGCTGAAGGTTACTCATACTGGCATGGGTGGCTTGTGCGTAAAGCGCTCGCCTCTCACCAAGGTGACCACGGTTCGAATCCTGGCCGCGGATCGCATGTGAGTGGAGTTGTGCGTTGGTTCTCTCCTGTGCCACGAGGGTTTTTCTCCGGGCCCTCCTGTTTTCCTCCCTCCGGAAATATCAAACGCTTTCGATCTCAGGCTGTGCTCCGTGGTCATATATGGGTCGATGTGGCCGGCAGCCATAGGCGCCTTTACGTGCCAGCTGCCCGACCACGTTGTAGCCGCGTCCTTCGCAATTCAGCATACCAGCTGCGAGTAAGGATGATTAGCCTCCCAAATTATTATTATTATACTGAAATTCCACAAAGAATGTAACATCTGTCACGTCAGAGTTGTCCACTCTGTTCTCATTGACCTATGGAATTGTCTCTATTTTTTGGGTTGGCCTGGTTTCCTGCTACCTGTGGCTGCTATAACGCCAGGACCGTCATCAATCGGTTACTACTTTCTTTCTTTCTTTGACTTGAGTTGCCTGGCCTGACTACCACTTTATTTTTTCACCTCCGTTTCTTAGTCTCTGACTTTTAGTTTTAGAATGAGTGCATGATGCATGGTTTTTGCTGAAGACCAAATCAAAATACTTTTTCTCCCGCAAAATTTCACATCTTGCAATTTAAGTTCTTATTTAGTAACGTTCAGACGGTAGTATCGAAAACGAAGACCCCTAAAACGAAGACCGAAGACCGAAGACCCACTCAAAAACGAAGACCCGTTTTCGAGTGGGTCTTCGTTTTCGAGTGGGCCTTTGTTTTCGAGTGGGTCTTCGGTCTTTAGTCTTCATTTTCGGGGTCCTCAATTTCGATACTACCACGTTCAGACTATACATGTATACACCAAAACAAATGCCAGAAAAGTCCAATAAACAGGGAAAAAAGCTAGCAAATTTGGGGGGGGGGGGAGTGAACTAATCAATTCAAAATTAATTACACACATAAACAACTTTTCAATAAAAAAAAAATCATCAACATTTTTTTAATCAGACTTTAATGTTGTTTGAGATGTTTAAAACTGCATGTTTTAAACATGCATGAATTAGGCATTTGGAGATAGACCTACTGGCTTGCAATATGCATGTGGTTCTATTAAAGAATAATAAAAATAGTTAAACATGAGACTTAGAAAGTTATGTTTCCAAACATTGGTTTAATCCTAACTCCCTAGGGTGATTTTACTAGGAACCTTCCTCATCCTTGCAAATCCCAACACCATATGTGACCCGCTCTGCAAAAATGAGTCTGATGTCGCATAATTTGAATTCAAGCTTTTGCCATTTTGAAATGGAAACAGTAAAAATTTGCTCAAAATTTGGATTTTTTTGTTTTTGTTTTATTTTGGTTGTTTGATAGTTTTAGTTCAAATATCTTACACAGAAATGTAAATATTGTAAGAAAAAGAAAAAAATTATGAATCTTTGGTGCTTTTCTTGGTTAGTTACAGTGTATTTGTTATTTTTCAAAGCCTTTTTTCTCCATTGGGACACTTCTAGCTTTGCAAAAACTTTACAGAATGAAACAAGCACAACAATGCAACCAAATGTCCTAGAGAGGTCCGTGATATACCAAATGAAAGCTTATTTCATTCCCATTTTATTAATGTAGTTAACTCAAAATGTCAGTTTTGCCACAACAGACTCATTTTTGCGGAGCGGGTCACATATGGTAAACTGTGCACAAAAACAGTTGGACTCTGTTAATTTGTGGTATGCCTAATCCCACGCAAAGCACAGTCAGTTTTAGTGCAGTACTCATCCTAACAGATTCCAACAAACCCTGGTGTTGGAGTTTGGCTGGTTGGGGATTGTTAGGGTTAACATGTATTTGTAGTTGCATTTATTCACTCTTCAGTAGAAAATTGAAAATACTCGGTCCAGTAATAATACAAGTGGGTAAACCTACAATCAGTTTGTTCATAATTCCACATTAACTTATATTTTTTCATGCATATTTTCCTTTCAAAAGTCTTTGCTTTTCATTCTATTCTTAATTTTTTGATCTTCCATTCCCTTATTTTGTCTTTTCTAAACTCTCTTCTCTTTCAAAGTCAGATTTTTAACTCCTATCTCAAAAAAATGTATGAAGTCTTTTGACAGGTTCTCCGGAAAAAATATTTGAAATTTTGCATGTAGCAATTTTTTTCCTCATTTGTATAAATTCCCTATTAACTTGAATATTTGATAGCCAAAACATCCGATTGTAAGTTCTGCCCAAGTATTTCAACAGAGTACAGTGGCTAAATATACATTGAAGATAACAGCAGTTATTTCTTAATTAGTGAATTACATTAAAGTTTCCCCTTCCTAAAGACTAGTATTGAGACAATTTCAGAGCATAAGAGCATGGAGTTTGCAGTTTTCAACAACCAGCATGCATATAAAATTGGACATAATAAAACAGGAAGTTGTGTATACTAACAGTTTTACAATAAAGATTGTGTTAAAAAAATGCACCGTATCTATAAGAGTTGTTTTATTGACAAAATTTGATTTGGTACTAGCTTGCAAAAAGGCATTTTGGCATTTTGGACAAATAAGAGAGTTGAATGGTAAATTAAAAAAAAAAAACCACTAAAAATGGGATGAAATCGAATCAGGGTTATATGCCAAGCAGCCAGGATCTCGTAAGGTAATGAAGCGACTGAATATACCATTGCACGTCAATCCCATTGAATCTATTAATTGATATTGTTTAATCCATTTGGTTATAGGGTTACTATGGTTGAGGAATCTGGTAATCTGGAGAACCAACTGGAGAGCCTGAAAGTAAGTGAAGGCTTCATTAATTGCACTCATTTCTCAGTCACTCTATGCTGTTACATGATCTGTTGTATTGGTGCTGTTGCCTTAATTAGGCTTGGTCACTGGCATCTTATAGATTATTGTCTGTGGCTGGCACCCAATCAGAGTAACCCTAACCCCCTTGAGTGATTGACCAGGAATCTTTCTCACTCTTGCAATAACTAACACCATATGGAAACGTAACACCCAAACTGTTGGACTCTAATAAGCCTCTACAATGAAGACATCACACTTTGTTCACATATACGCTTTTCTATGGAGCTACGAACCATCGGGCCTCCACCAGGCTCCCATAGTAAAAGCACACATGTAAGCAAAGTGTGAGGTCATCAGTACAGAGGATTATTATGGTGGTATGCCTGACCCCATGTAACGCATATATTCAGTTTTCTAGTGTTCACTCCAACAGAATCAAGCAAAACATGCAGTTGGGTTTTAAGGGTTTGGGTGTGGTTAGGGTTAACAGTTAACCTGTGTGGGAGACATCATCAATGCATGACAGGATTTCTTTGTTTTAGCTCTCATTCTTACCCAGTACTCATGTATCTAAGCGCCGCCGTTAGGAAACTGACAAGTGGTGGCTTGCGGACAAGGTTTGAGCAGTGTGTGGTGGTCACTTATCCAATGTCGCTATCAGCTGCACTGAAGTTGCAGTCCTGTTGTCCAAGACTCAAATCCAACCTTAGTCCATTATTTGTACTTTTGTCAAAACTGTCCAATAGTTGGCCATCGTTGCTTTTATCTTTACCCATTAGCACTTGTACTACATTGTATTACATTGTTTTCATTCACTGAAAAATCAGTAAAATCATAGAGTGCTTGCGCGGTTTCAGGCGCTACAGTGAATAAAAGGGTTAAGTCTGTTACTTACACATATGATTGTCCTTTACTTTGTGGTTGATAGGAAAAGATCATTGAGGTGCGATCTCAGAAGAGCCAGTTGAAGAAGATAGAAGACCTTGGAGCCAAGATGGAAGAGAGACTCATCCTGGATAACCGGTAAGGAAACAACCTTAATTACATTTTTTGAAAATAATACAAATCCATATTACTTTTAGTTACAAAGGCAACAGCATCTTGCACCGTATACCTTTGTTCTCGTGCATTCCTGTCGTGTAAATATTTCCCAAAAGCAGACACTTCATGCTGTGGTTATGTACCCATTTATTGAGAAGTTCATCATGCGCTCCAGAATCAAGGTTAGTAATAAAGAATGTAATAACACTGAGTGTATTTTGTGTGTGTCTTGTAGTTACACTGAGCATTCTACTGTTGGCCTGGCCCAGCAGTGGGATCAACTGGACCAGCTGGGTATGCGTATGCAGCACAACTTGGAACAACAGATACAGGCACGGTGAGTACAACCTACGTCACTAGCTACCTTTCATTATAGTTTCTTTGTTTTATTTATGGCTCAGGTGAATTTTGTAGCTGCCCAGGCCCTTAAAATAGGCCTTGACCAAAAGAGCAAAACTATAAGAGATGTTATCGCAGCCGTGCATAAATTTAATGGCTCAACTGTAATACATTTGATGTTGGAGTAAACTTGATTAATATACAAGGTCGCTCTTGGACAGGAATTTTGTCAAGTCTGGAAGACAGTCTCCAAATAATAGACTTACAACCTCTTGCAATTGTAATAGCAAAGAAAATATGGTTCCCACGGTGTGTTGGACCAAAAGATCTATTAGGTATCTCAACTTGTCCAAATTCATAAGAGGGAGGCCAAAGGACAACCCCTTGACAAAGCATATTCAAATGTCATATCACAGAGAAAGTTACAGCTTTCAAGGCTGGTTCGTGCTTGGCGTGAAAGCAAACACGAATGCAAATTTGTGACATCACAACAAGTTTTCGCGCTGCAAATTCGCAAAAATTGAACACATTTGGGCTCTGGCAAATTTTGCAGCAACTGTTTCCTGACGTCAAATTGTGATTCCAGCTTTTACTTGGTTTACTTTTTCATATCTTGATAGCTGATCATCTGGTGTGCTCTTGACACTGGTCTGATATTTCGGGTTTTTCTTTTCCCCTCCTGCAGCAATACTACCGGAGTCAGCGAGGAGTCGCTCAAGGAGTTCAGCATGATGTTCAAGCACTTCGACAAGGACAAGACAGGCTTCCTGGAGCACAAGGAGTTCAAGTCCTGCCTGCGATCCCTGGGCTACGACCTGCCCATGGTGGAAGAAGGGCAGGAGGATCCGGAATTCCAGGCCATCCTAGACACCGTGGATCCAAACAAGTAAGGGAGAAAGTAGATGTTAGTGGAAAAGGTGGATGTTAGTGGAAAAGGTGGAAAATGCTAAAAGGATGTGAAGGATCTGATATATTTGGGGCCATTCTAGACATTGTGGATACAAACAAGCAAGGAAAAAGAGAAATACGGAAGTTAAACCAATTAATACAGCCGTTTCCGCTTTTAGAAAATAATTCTAAAGGTAAGGCACATTAACCAAAACAAATGGGGAAAAGAGGTCACTTTCAATGATTTTTTTGGAACCCTGTACTTTGTGATCATGAAAAGGAATTGAAAGCTGATTTTCAGGAATGTTAAGTGTTAATGTTAATTACCATTTCAGTTGAGGATGTGTTGATATCTGATAATATGAATATTTAATCTCCAGTATAGTTCCAGCCCAAATAGGCCTAGTTACTCTTACACAAACTTATCAATGCTTAATCAGTGCAAAACTAAGTTGTATAAACTGGTTTTATTCCTTTTTTATTAATTAATTAATAATTTTTTATTTTTTTTGCAGAGATGGAGTGGTGTCACTCCAGGAGTACATGACCTTCATGATCAGCCGCGAGACAGAGAATGTCCACTCCCGAGACGAGATCGAGAATGCCTTCCGCGCACTCAGTGCCGAAGGCAAACCCTACGTCACCAAACACGAGCTCTATGCCGTAAGTCAACCTTTTAGTAAACTATCCTTTTTTTTTGCATGGGCATCGTTAAAAAAGAATTTCATTTCTTAATCCATGTAATTCTGAAGTTTGTGAATTTTTAGTCTGTCCGACCTTTTTGCAAAATATTTCTCAAAGTCTTTCAAGAATGGAAAAATATTTTAGTCTGAGAGTAAGTTTCTGTTTGCTTCATTCTATATGTCCGTCCTATTCGTAGTCTCAAACTTTGTGAAACATCTTCATGATCCCGAAACTAGCTGAAATCCAAACAAGTGAAAAATTTGCAGTCTATTCACATTTCATCTTTTCTTTTGTCTGTCCATAGAATCTACCAACCATATTGGCAGAGTACTGCATCCTACGCATGGAGCCTTACCGCGACGCCAAGGGTCGAGAAATACCCAACGCCCTGGACTACGTCAAGTTTAGCTTCGACAGTTTCCAGAACTAACACCAGGCCCTATCTGCTTCACTCATTCCACAAAGGGGATTGTTGTTGGAGTAGATCCACAGATTTCCAGTTTTCATTTTCAATTGTCTAGGATTGTAGTGTTTTAGATTCGCCTTTCCCGTTCAAGACGAATTCACGTCACTATCTGTGATGGCTGTTTTGCATTTCAAAAAAAAATGTGCTGTGCATTGTGAAAGTAGAGGATGCCAAGTTGAATTTGTCTTACAAATTGTTTGGTCTCAAGATCTGCCTTTTTCATCTTCCGCTAACTCTGAATAGTGGGTAACAGAACATGTACAAGTTAAGACTCCCTAAAAACGAACACTCCAACAGGCTGTTTCATGTATTAATTATTATAACAGAAATCACATTGGTGTTTTTCTGATCTTTTCGGGGTTTACAATGTTAACATTTAATCAAAAAATGTACTTTAGTTATAGAAATCAGTACTGTGAGTAAAGTAAGATATAATACTTCATATTGCATAGTAGCGAAATTGCTCTAGTATGATCTACATAATGTTATGTAACGGTACCATATTACAGTAAAACTATTGAATAACGTGCTAATATGTCATCAGCTAAAGCAAATGTCATTTCAGTGTGTTTGTCATGTAATGGTCGTATTGCATGCTCATTAAATAACAACCTACATTCCCTTCTCACTGCGTAATAGTTACAAATAAGTACTGTAATCTTTAGATATTTCTATTAGTATGAGTAACAAAAAATCTGTTTGATCATTGTCCAGAATTACAGCATGATTGTAAACATCTCTCTCTGTCAAACCATTTGTCATTAAAGTAATAAAAATGTGTGAAAAATAAAATATACTCTTGCACAACATCCAAGGAAAAGAAATATTAGCAAAAGGGTAACAAGAGGGTACTTCATCTAGTCTATGGTACTTATAATAGGTCTCGTTCAAATGATGTCATTTCGTACAGACCATCCACGTGCATCGGCATAACGCCCATCAGCTATGTCGTATTTCGAACACATTTCGAGCAACAAGCGCGCGTGTTTGGAAGATTTTCAACACTGCCCAATTGACCTATCGCTGTGCACGCCAAGCAAATTGACGAGATATCCAATTGGACGCACTGTCGTAGAAGTAGTAGAAGTAGAATCACGTCAACGCAGCTTGTGAAATATTGTCCAATTACATGGTCCAATTATTATTCAGATGGACGCGGAACGCGCAAAATCTGAGACAAACAAAACTTAGTGTACCAAAACTCCATAGAGTTGTCTAAGGGGCGTGGCTAACTTGCAAACGGCGATAGGTCAGTTCTCCTGCAGAGATGGCCGTCATTGAGCGAGCCTGATTGAATGTATTCATTTGTATTCATAGGAGTATTCAACTAGACTTCATTGACTATTTAAATAATATGCAAATGCATTTTTGGGTACTTGTGACTAAAACAAAAGGAAAAAAGAATTCTTAAATTGAAAATAACTTGAATTATGACTATCGACGATTACCTAATTACAAAAGTTAAATAATGTAATCAGCTTTGCCTTGAGGTATTAGTCATTGTAAGCTCTGATGCTCTGTCACTTGTTTAACAGGGAAAGGTGAATAAAGTAGTGAAGCATGAAAAAAATCGTTTTCAAACGTTTTCAATCTGTTTTCCGAGTTATGAAAATGTACCCCACCTAATCCAACCCGAATCATAGGTCAACTTCCCCTCTGCTTGGAATAATGCTAAGTTTCAAACGCTCAGTGATTTTATCTGAGCAACGCATGTGATTTTGATTAAAACTGGCAGCCGGAAAAAAAAATAGGGCAATTCAAATCCTGCCCCTATGTGTTGGGTCTGGAAATTCTCCCGCCTTTAGTCTCTAATAAAACGTCTATCTTGGAGGAAGTTGGAAACATTGGGAAGATTAAGTAGTAAGTCCCTGGCCGCTAAAGTTGATTTTTTTATGCCGTTCCTAATCTCGGATGATTACATTCGTATGGAATTTTACCAGAAAGGTTAATTACCCACTTGTTTCCTACTTTATGCACAAAATACGGGTTTTAACCCTCAAATGACAGGTTGTATACAGTGTAACCTTAACCATCTGTAGGCCTATTTTCCACCTGTATATCTTAGTTGTTTTGCCGTTGAAGTACTAGGTTAGTGGCAAAACTTTGTGTAGGCCTACTAGGATGCATCTTTTTTTTTTAATGTACTCTGAATGTTGAAGGGGATGACCCTCCTAAAAGATCACTTTCACCACAAGTGAATAAATTTGTCCGGTTAATTTGCGATCCGAAGCCTTGTATCGACTTTTAAAAAAAAATAAGTAGCGCCCTCTATTAAGACCATGCAATGATAGACGCGTTCGAACTTCGCGCGCGCGCGGTGCACATGGGTCTGTGACATGCGCAACGTTGTTTGTGACGTTAGATATTTAACGCATGCGCATTAAAAGAGTGCAACGGTAAACTTTGTATCATCAACACGTCGGTTCGGTACATGGCGTGTCCGGCTTCACCATCACCACTTCCACAAAATACTGCGAATTATTTTAAGGCAGTGAAGTTTGCCTTTAGACCAAACAATCCAGCGGCATTTTCTCTGCCAAATCCGGTTTTTAGAAGCAACGTTCGGACATCGATAACGTGCAACAACAGCAGATAAAATGCCGCTTTGGAGTAAAGGAAAAAGTGTCTTGATGACGCCGGACCCGTACCACACACCAGGGTAAGTTTTACATATCTCATTAAAATAGAATCTGAAGTTTATGCACTTACATTTTGCTCCCCACCACTTAAAGTTTGAAAATGATTTTCAAGGAGCTTGGTAATGTCTTAATACCCCCATTTTTGGCTTGACAAAACAGGTACTGCGGGTTCTGTCCCCAGTTCAAGTTCCAGATAGGGGAGACGTTTGGCCGGACCACTTCCCGCCTGTTGACCAACCCTAAAGTGGCCTGCTCGGGCCAGCCGGTCTTGGCTGATATCGGCCCCGTCAAGGGGCCCGATTCGCAGGGTACTGGGGAGACGAAAAGACTCGCTGGCAGGGCTGATGTGTTGAGGAGTCGGCGAGCGAGCTTTGGCGACCAGAAACTAGGGGAGACCATGGTCCCAGGCTATACAGGTAGGCTTATACATGTATATTAGACGGGATATATCGCATGGTAAAATCCACCAATAATTTAACTGGTCCGCTTTTATATGATCTTTTTGTAACTTTTTTAAAATTAAACTTAAAAGCAACTGCCAGTGTTGAATTTACGAGACCCTGCATGTGGATGCACCCATGGGGTTTCCTTAAAGCAACCTCATTGTACCAAATTTACCATAACCAAAACAATTTAATACTTCCCTCGTCAATTGACATCGTGTCTTCGTTTGATTTTTGCAAGGCTACATACCCAAAGGCGAGCACTATTTCGGCGATCGTTACGCCGAGAATTGCCGCAACGCCATCGCGGAGTTCGAGCAGGATCAGCGGAGTCACCAGGCCAAAACCACCGCTATGCAACGGGTCAGACACATCCAGGCAGGCCGCATCCAACCAACAGACAATGAGAAAAAGGTAAAGACTTATATCGTTGTATATGGGGATAGTTTTATTCTTTAAAGTTGCATAATGGCAGTGGTTTAAACAATAGGCCCAATATTATGCATATGGACATTGCTCAGTATAGCGGTGTCACGCGCGGCCCGGGCCTACCGAGAAACTTTGCTTATAGTACCCTGCTGATAAACAGCGATAAGGAGAAAGTTGCTTCACCCTGAGAAAGTTGAATGGACCCTGCTAAGGACGGCGCACTTTTTGTTCTTTTTCTGGTTGCCTTTTATTGGTGTTTTTTTCCCGTTTAATTTTAGTATTATCATTTTATTTAAATAACGCCGGCCTATCTAAGTATCACGGGTTTCCCCACAATTGTACATTGTGGCAAGTTCATGGGCGTCGCGAGGGGAGGGGGGGGGGGGCACTTGCCCCCCCCCCCCCTGGAAAAGCAAAAAAAAAAAAAAAAGAAGGGAAAAACAAACAAACAAACAAACAAGAGGCGCGAAGACAAAGTGGTATAAATTTAATGAGTTGGGGGGGGGGGCCAAAATGTCCTTGCCACCCTCTAAAACTGATAAATCGAGAATGTGTTGAGAGAAATACAAGCATTTTTTGGCAATTTTTTTTTGCCCCCTCTAGAAAAAATCCTGGCGACGCCCATGGGCGAGTTCAAAACATAAGTGTTCGTTATCACAAAGTTAAAGTGAAACTTTACTTTGACGCGATTTTCCGATTGTATTTTGAGTTGCGGATTGACCTTTCGCAGTCATTGGGGTCCTGCGCCCCTAATCCGGCCCCACGCGTGCCAGTACATTTTCTCGATATCGCAGTGAATAACTCGTTCATCATTATAATTGTCATTGAAAACTTCAAAAGGCCAAAGTCTTGTTCGACTTTTAACTACACGTTTTTGAAGAGGTGGAACACCTTTTAGTATAGTAAGGCACGGCTAAAATAAAATAATCACTTTATCAATGGACAATGGCTGTTTTAAATCTAGCCGTACTTAGATAGTGAATGAATGAGGCCTTTTCATTGGGGAAAATCTTGTGCACACTTATGCATGTGTTTGCCAATGCTTTCAGGAACTGCGCTGCCGTGGTCCCCTGAAGCCAATCAAGAAAGACATAACTCCCGTGGTATACGGCAAACCAAACGAGCAGCAGCACTCTACATCACCGTACTACATGGCTCAGCACGACCCGCAGAAATTCTTCATGTCAGGTAAATATATAGGCCTACTCGTTGTTCACGAAAGGTCAACACTGCAGAATGTTAGTCGTATTTTTCAATACCCTGTTTAACTAACGGGAGAATACAATAACTAGTAATCTGGAACAAAACACAGACGTTTATTCAGCTCATCAACGGAATAAAATTCGTAGCGGCATTCCAGTCATTTCAGATATAGGGGGCCTACCAACCACGCCCTCTGCCCTGTACTTACCCTTAATTACTTCATTGCATTTCTAATAATATCTCATGTATTTCTCCTCTACTTTTCTCTCTGGTTGCAGGTTACACTGGCTTTATCCCCAAGGCACGTGGGCTGATTGGAATGAGTTATCCAATTATCACGAACCACGCCCTCAACGAGTTCACAAGCGATCCACGCCATGCAATGAGCCGTCTGCAGGTAAGCCTTCAAGACATGGTACCAAAATAATGCATTTTTTACCAACGTAAAAATACATGTACAGGTGCCGATTTGTTGGGGATGGGTTGATTTGTATATAGATTTTGGTGGAACAGGATTATTGGCAGAGTGTGTCAGTGATTGCGGTCACAAGTACAAAATGTATATCGTCTTTTTGGGTACATTTTTTTAACAGTGCTTGTAAGACATTATATAAATAAAGAGTTTGTCAATGATATTATTTTACAGGGGGCTTTGGATAAAGGTGAAATGCCAGTGATACGGGGTTGCATCAAGCTACCTCGCCTGGACCCCAATCTCATTTACCCAACCGAATCTGGTCTGGTTCCCCACTACACCGGGCACATCCCAGGTAAGCAAAATTACAAGATATTGTTCAAGCCTTTTTGGTACGTTATTATGCAGGTTAATCTGAGGTAAAATATAACAAAAAGTTTTGTTGCCAAATTTAATAGAAACCCCATGCATTTCTTTGGTAATAAGTTTTGTGTGTGACAATGTAAGCTTAAGGGGATAACCCCTTGCAATTTCAAGGAGCACGTTTGTTAATGTAAAGGTTAACCTCGTGCATTGTTTGATGTTAAATTTTTTTTTTAGGTTTATCTCTATAAATGTGGAGCTACTTTTTTCTGATTAAACCACAAAGGTTATGCCTTACAAAATGTGGGCCAGATTTTTAATTGAAATGTAATGTGAATCTTTCTGATGTGTTTTGGGCATTTTTGGGCATATTCCCTGCAATTATTGAGCACTTTTATTTACGGCCAAAATTGACATAAAGTTGCAAGGGGTTTCTCTTACATTTACCAAAACAAAATTGGTCAAAAATTTAGTTTTCTTCAAACTACTCAGTAATACCTTTAGATGCAAGAGGAACACATTTAAGTATTTATGCAGCCAGAATTTGGAAGAATTGATGAGCGTTGTTGAGAATTTTTAAGCAAATTCATTTTTTTGCCAAAATTGAAAAAAATTGCAAGGGGTTAGGCCTAACCTTACATTTGTCACCAAATTTGGTCAAAAATTGACTTTCTGCAAACGACTCAAAATATCTTTAGATGCAAGAGGAACACATTTTGGTATTTATTCAGCCAAGATTTGGAAGAATTGGCCAAGAAAAACCAATCTATTTTAAAAAATTAAAATTTTTGACTGAGTTTTGTCCCAATTTTGAGGCATAATTTCTTTTGAATGGCACATCTGTCCAGGAAACGTGAAGGTATGTGTTTAAGGGACCTGTGGGCATCTTTCCTGCAATTTTTGAGCAATTTTATTTTTCGGCCAAAATTGAAAAAAATTGCAAGGGGTTAACCTTACTTTTTCACCAAATTTGGTCAAAAATCGACTTTTCTGCAAACGACTCAGAAATACCTTTAGATGCAAATGGAACATATTTTGGTATTTATTCAGCCTTAAATTGGTACAATTGGCCAAGAGAAACTAATTTATTTTTGAAAAATTAAAAATTTTGACCGAGTTATGTCCCCATTTTGAGGCATAATTTCTTTTGAATGGCACATTTGTCCCGGAAATGTGAAGGTATGTGTTTAAGGGATCTATGGGCATCTTTCCTGCAATTTTTGAGCTATTTCATTTTTCGGCCAAAATTGAAAAAATTGCAAGGGGTTAACCTTACTTTTTCACCAAATTTGGTCAAAAATTGACTTTTCTGCAAACGACTCAGAAATACCTTTAGATGCAAATGGAACATATTTTGGTATTTATTCAGCCTTAAATTGGTACAATTTGCCAAGAGAAACTAATTTATTTTTGAAAAATTAAAAATTTTGACCGAGTTATGTCCCCACTTTGAGGCATAATTTCTTTTGAATGGCACATTTGACCCGGAAACGTGAAGGTATGTGTTTAAGGGATCTATGGGCATCTTTCCTGCAATTTTTGAGCTATTTCATTTTTCGGCCAAAATTGAAATAATTGCAAGGGTTAACCTTACTTTTTCACCAAATTTGGTCAAAAATCGACTTTTCTTCAAACGACTCAGAAATACCTTTCGATGCAAGAGGAACATATTTTGGTATTAATTCAGCCTGAATTTGGAAGAATTGGGCCAAGAAAAACTAATTTATTTTTGAAAGATTAAATAATTTGACTGATTTTTGTCTCAATTTTGAGGCATAATTTCTTTTGAATGGCACATCTGTCCAGGAAACGTGAAGGAATGTGTTTAAGGGACCTATGGGCATCTTTCCTGCAATTTTTGAGCAATTTCATTTTTCGGCCAAAATTGAAAAAATTGCAAGGGGTTAACCTTACTTTTTCACCAAATTTGGTCAAAAATTGACTTTTCTTCAAACGACTCAGAAATACCTTTAGATGCAAGAGGAACATATTTTGGTATTAATTCAGCCAGAATTTGGAAGAATTGGCCAAGAAAAAAAAACATTTATTTTTGAAAAATTAAGAATTTTGACCAAGTTTTGTCCCCATTTTGAGGCATAATTTCTTTTGAATGGCACAGCTGTCCAGGAAACGTAGAGGTATGTGTTTTAGGGATCTATGGGCATTTTCCTGCAATTTTTGAGCAATTTCATTTTTCGGCCAAATTTGAAAAAATGGCAAGGGGTAGTAAACCTTACTTTTTTACCAAATTTGGTCAAAAATTGACTTTTCTGCAAACGACTCAGAAATACCCTTAGATGCAAGAGGAACACATTTCAGTATTTTTGCAGCCAAAATTTAGAAGAACTGATAAGCATTGTTAAGCAATTTCATTTTTCGGCCAAAATTGAAAAAATTGCAAGGGGTTAACCTTACTTTTTCACCAAATTTGGTCAAAAATTGACTTTTCTTCAAACGACTCAGAAATACCTTTAGATGCAAGAGGAACATATTTTGGTATTAATTCAGCCAGAATTCGGAAGAATTGGGCCAAGAAAAACTAATTTATTTTTGAGTGATTAAATAATTTGACTGATTTTTGTCTCAATTTTGAGGCATAATTTCTTTTGAATGGCACATCTGTCCAGGAAACGTGAAGGTATGTGTTTTAGGGATCTATGGGCATTTTTCCTGCAATTTTTGAGCAATTTCATTTTTCGGCCAAATTTGGTCAAAAATTGACTTTTCTGCAAACGACTCAGAAATACCTTTCGATGCAAGAGGAACATATTTTGGTATTAATTCAGCCTGAATTTGGAAGAATTGGGCCAAGAAAAACTAATTTATTTTTGAGTGATTAAATAATTTGACTGATTTTTGTCTCAATTTTGAGGCATAATTTCTTTTGAATGGCACATCTGTCCAGGAAACGTGAAGGTATGTGTTTTAGGGACCTATGGGCATCTTTCCTGCAATTTTTGAGCAATTTCATTTTTCGGCCAAAATTGAAAAAATTGCAAGGGGTTAACCTTACTTTTTCACCAAATTTGGTCAAAAATCGACTTTTCTGCAAACGACTCAGAAATACCTTTCGATGCAAATGGAACATATTTGGGTATTTATTCAGCCTTAAATTGGTACAATTGCCAAGAGAAACTAATTTATTTTTGAAAAATTAAAAATTTTGACCGAGTTATGTCCCCACTTTGAGGCATAATTTCTTTTGAATGGCACATTTGTCCCGGAAACGTGAAGGTATGTGTTTAAGGGACCTATGGGCATCTTTCCTGCAATTTTTGAGCAATTTCATTTTTCGGCCAAAATTGAAAAAATTGCAAGGGGTTAACCTTACTTTTTCACCAAATTTGGTCAAAAATCGACTTTTCTGCAAACGACTCAGAAATACCTTTCGATGCAAATGGAACATATTTTGGTATTTATTCAGCCTTAAATTGGTACAATTTGCCAAGAGAAACTAATTTATTTTTGAAAAATTAAAAATTTTGACCGAGTTATGTCCCCACTTTGAGGCATAATTTCTTTTGAATGGCACATTTGTCCCGGAAACGTGAAGGTATGTGTTTAAGGGACCTATGGGCATCTTTCCTGCAATTTTTGAGCAATTTCATTTTTCGGCCAAAATTGAAAAAATTGCAAGGGGTTAACCTTACATTTTGTCACCAAATTTGGTCAAAAATTGACTTTTCTGCAAACGACTCAGAAATATCTTGAGATGCAAGAGGAACACATTTCTGTATTTATTCAGCGAGAATTTGGAAGAATTGATGAGAATTATTGAGCAATTTCATTTTTCGGCCAAAATTGAATAAAATGCAAGGGGTTAACCTTACATTTTTCGTCAAATTTGGTCAAAAATTGACTTTTCTGCAAACGACTCAGAAATACCTTAAGATGCAAGAGGAACAAATTTCAGTATTTATTCAGCTTTAAATTGGAACAATGGGCCAAGAACAACCAATCTATTTTTGAAAAATTAATATTTTTGACTGAGTTTTGTCCCAATTGTGACGCACAATTTCTTTTGAATGGCACATCTGTCCAGGAAACGTGAAGGGATGTGTTAGGAACCTTTGGGCATCTTTCCTGCAATTTTTTTAGCAATTTTATTTTTCAGCAAAAAATCAAACAAAATTGTAAGGGGTTAACCTTTCATTTGTCACTAAATCTGGTTCATCCATTAATCTTTTTTTTTTCTACAACAGGTCAGAAGTTCCGCTATGGTACAACCTTTGGTCACAGCACCCGCAATGCAAAGCGAGTTCAAGCCGGCATGGGTGAGCCAATCTCATCCAAGTAATCAGATGGCAACTCAGTACTCCAGCAGGCAAATTTAACTTCATCCGTCCTTATATAATATATTATAGAATACATTTAGCCTGCTGTTCCGTAATTACCATATTATTGCATACTTTCATACATGTACAACTGAACAATAATATGAAACACGATTTCCGGACTGGTGACTCTGCCATTTTCAGAATGTTTTATTTCAAATAAAACAGCATTTGGATTATATATTTTTGCACACATCACTTAACGGTGGAAAATTTAAGAGTATAAATAGAGCTTTCTTTAAAATATTTGCGCTTGCGGAAAAAATACAATATTTACATCATTATGGAACTCCTATACAGTAAAACAAATTCACAAACCATATTTGGTAAAACAAGCTTTGCCAAAATATAAGATAACATACTGTGCATCCAAAAAATAACAAGATTGATAAAAAAAATTTCCAAATTGCTTCATACATGCAGATCAGTAAAATGTAAGCACTCAAATTGCAAAACAAAAAGCTATGAATCAATGCAAAACCTATTTAAGGCAACTAGTTTATATCATATAAATGTAATCTTATCATTGTATTAAAGACTGTCTGCAGATTTTAACATCAAGGTAAGCAACATTCTCAATCATAAAAGCAAATCATGCAATCAAACTTTCTGAAAGCCAAACTGAAGTAAATAAAACATAGGAAAGTGTTTTGATATAATGTCGACATTAAATTCACAGCAATTTTATGTAAACCTGTGCCTAATGGAATTTTTTATTGCTTAACATTCATAATGCTATAGGTGCACTATAGGTGCAATTAAAAAATGCTGAACTTCATAAAAGCATTGCATGCAAAAAGTGCACTTAGTATTGCCTCAAACCAAATTCAAATAATACAGAAAAAAAATGAAAGCTTTAATAATTATTTATTCATACTGCTTGAACATCAATCAAAAGTCACATTATTTTCAAAATAACAAGACTTCAGCCAAAACTTTTTATTTTGTATGTAGTCAACGTGGAAGGTTTTGAGTATAGACAAATCCGGGCAACAGATCACTGTACACTCACGAGGGCCCCCTTTAATGGAGAACCCATTGTGCACGCTATAGACCTTTATCATGATGCCACCATTTCAGTCATGTTTCCTGTATCCAGTAACAGTACTGAATGATAATGTTTTTTTTTTAGCAAAAAGGAACCAGACTATTTTTCCTTCCAGCCTCGCTTTGGTTACAGTGATTTGAATGGGAAAAATGGTGTATTGTAACAAAGCAACTGCCGCGTGACGGATTATCTACCTAGCACAATGCTTTCGCCATTGAAGGGGGCCTTCGTGATGGAATTGATGGCGTCCACGGATTGGTCTATACAAATCACTGTAGATCTAAAGAGGTCAACCGCCCTCTACTGACATTTGGTGTCAAGATTTGTAAAAATAATTTCACCAAGTCCAGTTGCAAAAATGTGACAGAATAGATATTCAAGAAGCCAAGCCAATTTAACATGCAAAAGCCAACACAATATTTCAAAAGCATGTATATTGATAAATAAAACATACAGAATCTGTGAGACATCTTTGGTGGATGGACAATTTAAAGTCCATGAATATTATACCTGTAGCATTGCAACCTATCAGGCTGACAAAATATTCTTCTTTGGCAGCACAAGTACATGTGTATCAAAGGCTTTATAGTTGGACGGAATAATCACTGAATTAAGTATAATACTCATGTTTTCTGAGGTAATAACAAGAAACGGAGCAGCTAATTAAATCAATTTTAGAGTCAACATACAATTCATTGACAAGAAGGAAATCTGAGCCACCAGAGACTATGCAAGTGACCTGGGCCCAATTTCACGGCGCTGCTAAGCAAAAAAATTGGTTAGCACAAAAAAAGTCTGACTTATAAAAGCAGTTTACCAGCCAAAACTCCACGTTATTTTCATGCTATAGCAAACAACAGCTGAATACTAATCAAGAGCAATATACATCACATGGAGTTTTGGCTGGTAACCTGCTTTTATAAGCCAGACTTTTTTGTGCTAAGCAGATTTTTGTGCTTAGCAGCGCCATGCAATTGGCCCCTGTGTATCATTTAAATTATTTTGTTTTTTTACCAACTGCACAATCCGAGAGTGCTGGTGCCATCAACTTTCTTCGAGCCATCATTGGACAAATATTATTTACTTAGTGATGCCTGTATAATAAATCAGCATGTGCATGATGACCTACCCAAAATGCTTGGCATAGGCTGATTAGTGGCCACCAACGCCCTTGGATAGGGTAAAGGGGACAATTGTTCCCCTTTGAAACTGAAAAATTGTTGAAGCAAGAAAGGACTTCAAATAGTATTTAGACAACAAATTTCTGCTCACCTTATAATGCTGTTTTGTTCTTTGTTCATAATCACAATAAAACATTTATGACAGTATGAATTATTCACGGTCAGTGCACTCGCAAACTGGAAATATGCTGGACGTAGGACGGCGTCAGTAGGTCCGATCCTTTTAAGCATTGGCCAACGCTGTAGTCACTTTCAACTAGTTGTTTTTCTTCTGTAACGGGGATAAAAAACCAAATATTTTGATCCCCTGATATACAGGGTGAGTAAAACAAAAAAGGAAACCCAACTAGCAGAACCAATTATTTAATGAAGTTCTGCATGTAGCACTTTCAAAATCTAGGATATGGAAGCCCAATTAATAAGCTTTCTTTTAGTACAAGAATCATTCCAATCACTCATGTACTTTTCAAGTTACGGAATTTTGAACACAAACACCGTTTTAAAGTTCTGTCCACGGATACAAAAAAGGTAAGTGTTCTTTCAGCAAAACGAAAACAATTCACATAGGGATGTATGTGAATTGTTTTCGTTTTGCTGAAAGAACACTTACCTTTTTTGTGATCTGTGGACAGAACTTTTAAAATGGTGTTTGGGATTTTTCTATACATCGAACAATCTTTTGTGGGCCCTATTGTGTTCATTATAGAGTACCAAAGTTTTCCCGCATATTCTGGTTCACGCGCAATAGCTTGTAAGTGTTTGATCACATCAACACGTTAACCAGCCCCTGAACCAGAACAAAGACAGATTACATCACACTTTGGTACTCTATAGCGAGTTTCCACCGAACTCAGTGAAGACATGAATTGAACCACATTGGTATGAAAATATACACACCTTGACTCAGGGTCCACTTGTCTTGAGCTACATAGGTCAGGGCAGGGATGCAGTACTGGGCCACACCCAGTTCATTCGGTTCAGCACAGTTCATCATCCATACTGGAAACATGGCTTTGGTGTAAAACTGTTGGGATTACCGACAGAAATTTTGATATTTTTAATGATTTATGACAAGCAATACATAGATTTCAGCTGATAGACGAACACTAAATGTGTGTTTAATTGCCCACGTTTGTACCGATGGCATGCATAGCATTACCTTGCACTGTGCGCATGCACGGAAAATACAGTGATTGTGGACTGGGAATGTGACTGCATTCTGGCCAAATATTAAGCCCAAAAATTCTTGTACTACGCAGTTTTCTTAAAAAAACATTATATGAGAACCTTTTTATTTTCAACTACACTTTAAACACATTTAAAATTGTTGTACAACATATGAATGGAACAGGGATTTAGTCAACTACTAGCCAATTAACAAGACATTATGAAGGAAGCTTCTTGTTCTTGCCTTTGGGCATCCAATGTGTCGATCCAATTTCTGCAGCTCTGAGGGCGTTATGAGATAGACACAACCTTCCACTGAGCTGTCTGGACTGAAGGCAATGTTGGGGAATCCACCAGCTTCCAAATCTGCACCTAGTGAAATATAATAACAGAGGGATAAAGAGTTTTAGTCATGTACCTTTCAACATTGTTGGCATCAGGTTAGGGTAGCGGTACTTTCCTCGCCTTCCACCGCTATGACCCGGGTTCGAATCCCGCCTGGGCCAATATGTGGATTCGGTTTTCAGTTCCTACCTGATTCGTGGGCTTTCCCTAGAATATCATTCTGGGCTTTTCCTCCCACCACTAAAACTGTGATTTCCTTCCACATCTACCAAGGGACCCCACTGGGAAAAGTTGAAAAATTTTCGTGGGTTATCCCAGACAGTTGCCGAATAATTTCAATCAATCACTCAATTCTTAAATCACAAGCTTGTCAGGTGAACAGTGACAAAGGCGCTTCATTGTCATTCTTCATCCCTTGTTAATTGTAGCCTTACCTGTGATGAACCTGTGATTTAATGTGTGTTGGACTTTACTTAAACTCTGAGAGGGTTACAACATGAAACAACAGTTCAGAAAACGGAAAAAATGTTGCAATCTGACGCCACTTTTTTCTTCATATATCCTCTCAATGAATTGCAAAATTGATGATAAGACATGAATCTGGGACTGAGAAACATTTCCAATTTTGTTAGGAAATACTTTAAAAAAAATCTTGACTCTCTATAGACTTTGTACACAATCGCAGAAGTGGCGTCCGGTTGCAACATTTTTTCCCCAGATAACTAGTAAATAATGAAGCATTTTAATACAATTTTATTATTTTCTATTTTTAAAAACCCTCAAATTTTTAAGTTTAACTAACGGCCAATTACAGTATCGAGTATCCACCAAAACAATCCACTTAATAACCGACATAAACCTGATATTTGCTTGGTGTTAGTTGAACGGTTCAGTCAAAATTCAAACATGATAATTTGTTTTTCCTACCTCTTTTGTTGAATGTTAACTGGAAGCCAAACAAGACGCCCCAGAGTCTATGGTCTGCCTCTCTGCCAATATAGGAAGTCAATCTGGGAATGCAACAGATACAACAAATGTATTTTACACTGTATGCTTATGACACCACATAACAAACCAAAGCAACTGCAAGTTTCAATGCATGTTTTGGGTTTGCCTTCCCAACATATTTTTTTTTTTATTGGAAAAAAAGTATGTATTTTTTTTTATTGGAGAAAAAATATGTATTTAAAAAAAAAAAAAAAAAAAAAAAAAAAAAATTGGCGAAAGGCAAAACCCAATATTGCACTTACATCACCCCGACACAAATTCCATCTTATGAAATTTATCAGTATTCCATGAACAATAATCTTTGCCATGAAAAAAACCATGCCATATTATCTTCAAGTTTCAAGTAGTGTTGGTTTAATTAATTTCCAGCCAGCTGACAGGTAACATGAAATTTTAAAGCAACTCAAAAGTCTGAAAGAGTCCAGTTATTGCTCATCCCCCCCACTGACCCCCCCCCCCCAAAAAAAAAATTGGAATGAACACATTCTACTCCTACTGAGAAGCATTAGGAACACACTCTCGTAATAGTTGGTCCAGTTAACTTATTATTTATGATGAGGCTTGCGTTTTTGCCGAAGTCAATTGAGCGTGAAAGGCCGACTGATAAGGTTTGTGCACAAAACGGTTTTAGGGTTTTAAACCCCAGACGCTTGGGGTTTTGTGTACAACAATTGGAGGACCATTTTTTTCACTGCAGTGTGCTAGTAATGAGCTACAGCCATACTTACAAATCCGTTCAAAACTAGTAAAATGAAATATTGCCAAATTTTCATCATGTTCAAATGATGCATGACCAACCTGTTCTTGTTCATGTCGGCTCCATATGCAAAGTAGTAAAGGAACCCTGGTGGTGGTTTGGCATTGATTTTGAAGCACAGAGGGGCAGGGACACTGGCAGCAGGAAAAATAGTGTCCTTGGGAAACCTAAAAAGAACACAAAACTGACAAATTAAATGACTTTCAACTCTTTCTTTTTTTCATAATGACCAATCTTGTTGGCAAGTGCTGCTTTCTACTGTGTCTGTTTTTAAAGGTGACATTTGGCAAATTCTGTGAATTATGACTGTGGATATGGCATATTGAAATATCTCCAAAACAAAAGGAGTATAAACTAGGATGAACAAATTTGCTACTTACCTTGGTTTAGGCAACGGCTTGGCCACTACCTCAAGGGTTTCTGCCTCAGGACTGTAAGCAAATAGAAGTAAAAATATGCTATTTTACCCATCGCAGACTGTGTTGAAAATTCATTGTGATACTGAAACTAACTTGTGCCACATGAATTTGATACACATACAATATTTTCAATGAAGTCCCAGCGATTATCCCACAAGATACATACACAAGTACTAAAACGGCACTTTTTTAAACAGCTAAATATACATGCATACCTGTACCTCTGATACTGCGATCGCCACATGATGTATGTAGCCTACATGCACAAGAACTTGCATGTGAAATGCATCTTTGGCTCAAATGCAAACCTTACATAGTCTGTAAACTGATTCCACAGAATTTTTCTTTTCGGCCCATGCGAAGGAGCAAGACGTCAACACACCTATACATGCACATGTAATTTCCTATTTCTGTAGATGTGTCTTGGGTGTAGATGTCTGATTGCCTGTAAGGTGATTCATGGGACTGTTCCATTTAAGGAAGGGAGGAATCTCTTGCATTTTGCATTCTGTAGTTTCTGTTTAAAACATTCCTGAGATGTTCATTTTCAAAATAGTGTTACGCTATCATGCGAGAGAAAAACATGTCAGTGTCAAACAATGTTACAATTCAACTCTGCAATGATATCTGAATACTTGTTTGATTTTTGGATACAATTTCCTATTACATTTGTCGAATGAATACAATTTTTTTTCAAGCAGGTGTTCCTGGATCCTGAATAGTGCAGTGCAGTGACTGATTATACAAGACAGGATATTGGGGCAGGTGTCGGCAATAAGAATCTATTAAAGGGCAACAATACACCAAGAAGCATATTTGTGGTCTGGAAACACATGTATATATTCTGACTGTAATCAATTTAATTCTGGACATTCAGTAGGCAATATAAAAATCCAAAATAAAGTGAAGGTTTTATCAAGGCACACACAAATCACATAATGATATGCTGCTACCAAGTCTTTGGCATAAACAAATTTGGGATGCAAATTTTCCATATCATATTGATTTGGAAAAGTTGATTATAGAGAGTTATTCTGACTAGCTATTAGGTTAGAGTATTAAATGATTGACAAAATTACCTTGATTGATGCAAATCGACCTTATCTACTGGATTAAGATCTCTGATCTCTTTGTCAGTCAGCAAAGCTTCACTTTGTTTGGGTGACTGCTCACTTTGATCGGCTACTCTACTCTGCATCTCGCTCGAGCACCCACTGTCACCAGCCATCTTCAACTGATCATTCGGCTCATCTGTGCCATTACACAACCTTGATCCGTCCAGAGAGTGGTCAGTTCTGTGATCTCGGAATTCAAACTCCGAGAGAAAACTCTGGGGTCTCTTCGAGGCACTTGACTGCCTGGATGCACACTTCATTCCGGTACCCTGTAGAATCATATAGTCACCCTGGCTGAATCTGGGAGATGTTAGCTCGTCACTCAAGAAACCTTTGTGTCTTGGTTTCTCTATCATGGACTGGTATTCCAGAATTAGATGCTTTTGGATTGACTCCTCTTCAATCTCTGCTTCCTGACACCAAGAGTTGATCTGTCCTCTATTTCTTTCAGAGTCACACAACCCTTCCACAGCACTGTAGCTTCTTTTAGAAGCATCTGTGCTGGAAAGCTTGCCGTTGACTACAGCTGAAGCAGATTTGGTTTTAAGCGTGTGTCCCGACGATCCAAGTTTTTTGTCGAATGTGCTGTGAGGACAGAGACACACATCCTCATCAAGGCCGCATATGCCACAGAAGAGGAATGGTTCATCTATGTCGGGGATGTCATCGTAACCCTCACTAGCGATATCACCTAGCCTCGCATTGACATCATCCATGAAAGGATCTCTTTGCACAGTTTCAAGTTCTACATCAGCGGGGTTATCTGTGTGCGATGTCTCATATAATCTCTGTTGAGCTCCACCTGTGCTCCCCGTCCCCGATGGCTGATCATTTTGCACATTCCCATTTCCACTGTCACCGTTGGTGTTTGAACCACCTCCATTCCCACCAGCTGAGCCACTGCTGTGGCCATGAGAACCACCGCCTTGGCCACCCTGATTGCCATCCTGATCTGTGTCATCTTTCTTGAAACCATTACCCTGACAACCACTACTCTCATCATCCTGTGTGTCCTCATTACCGTCCTCCTCTTTTGCTTGTATTTCATATTCATCATCGGGCAAACCAGTTCTTTCTCCATTGCATTCATTAATTTGGATTGTTTTGTTCTCTGTGGCAACATCAACTACCGGTACCTCAGCCAATTTTACATCATCTGATTTCTGTTCACTGTCGCTAATGATTGCATCTGATGATTGTCTAATTACGTCTGCATCTTGCTCAACCAGCACGTCTGGTACTTCTTTGGATGTGGTTCCTGATTCTGGTTCAGTCACTTCAATTTGAACACTAGTGACGATATCTACACTAGCCTCTAGATTAGCAGCCACTAATTCTTCTTTTGATATGGGGGAATTTGAATTGTTTTCAGTGGTCTCAACTCCAGCAGTGGTGTCTGTATTACCATTTGCTTGGACCTGGATTGTAGATCCTGTTGTAAGCGACTTTTCTTCACTTTTGGCATCAGCAGAGGAAACTCCCGTTTCTGTGTCTGTTGGTTTTTGTTCTTCATTCTGTTCCAAGCCATTATCATTAACAGTTCTATGATCACTTGCAGTGTCCTTGGAAATGCCATTTTGTTGTAATTCTTCTATTGGTTCTTTAGCAGGTGGAATGACTTGATCTGCATCTGTGTTGAAATTGGTGATTGAGTTCTGCTCATTTTCCACAAGGCCACTGTCAATGTACCTGTACAATGTACTTTCCCTAATGTCCTTATTCTTTGAATTTTCTTGTGTTAACTTGTCCATCACTGAATTCTCAGACAAATTTGAATTTGATGAAGTGTCTTTTTGAAAGTCCTCGTTAGTTGGGGTTACAACCTCGTCCCTGCTTTGGCACTCTGTGTCATCATTTGCTATTTTGTTTCCTTCAATTGTTACTTTGGCTTTGCTTAAAGAGCTTAAGGAACCGCGTTCAGCATTAGATTGCTTGGCAGCTTGCTTGACACTTCCGTCTTCCCCCAAACCGTCCTCGGACACCATGTCGGTCAGTTCAAAGCTGACCTGATCCATCTCTATGTCAGTCATTGAGCTCTGCCTTCTCATCAGAGTGCTGCTCGCAGTCCTGCTGGTCGGCGTGTCTGACCTAGTCTCCGAGTCTGCAAAATAGTTATCGTACTTCTGGTCCAGGGTGGCATCTCCTCCTACTGTGCTTTTCTTGGCACTGTTGGTGACTCTCTCGACCATGTCACTGAGAACTCTGGCTGCCCCTCCTTCGTTCATGTAATCGCTCATGGTGGCCTTCACCTCTTCCTTGACAGACGATTCTTTGTCCTCTCCAGCTTTTTCGTCTTGGACTTTCTCCTCGATTACAGGTGCATCTCCTGAAGCAGAGACCTCCTCAACCTGCTGGAAACTGAGATCTATCTTGCTGCCACTCTCATAGCTGGTTGCGTAGGCCTCCGAGATCTCATTTACTCTGCTGTGGTCTTCTTGGGTCTCGCTGTTCTCCTCCTGGGATTCATCCCTGTCATGGGGTGACTCTGGGATGTCAATGTGGCTGGTCAGGGCATCTTGGAGGTAGGAGACGTTATCATCAGAGAGGCTGGCTAGGCTATTTGGAGGCATTCTGGCACCAGATAGGACCTGGCTGAGTTTGGATATTTCATCCTCAGTTCCTACCTGAGTTTGTCTGCAATAAAAAAGAAATACAGGCAATATAAGAAACTACACGGCACCGCATAGGTACCAAGGGTTTACTACAAATCACTTGAACATGTGCTAAACTTGTTGTTCGAAATCGAAACTGCTTAAAAAAAAAAGAATTCAAGGTCACCTTTATAGATTCGCGTTAATGTTACAGGTAATTTGTTTACCAGTTATTAGAAATAGTGACCTGGTACACGGTACCCTGTGGAGACATGTGCATAGTAGGGAACAAAAGATTGTATACGTCTCCACAGGGCAATTGCTATAGATGAATACATCTCCACAAGGTTATCACGAAATAGATATATGTATTTTACTCAAAAACTAGGAATTTCCAAGGTGGGTTGATCCGTCGCAAATTGAAGTATTTTATGTTAGGGATATTAAATCCGAATTTCAGCTCAGGAAATTAACTCTGGTTAAAATAGGAGCATTTTGAAACTATACTTTCAAACTCGAAAACTTTAGTACACAGAACAAAGAAATGACTCCACAAGGATACAAATTCCAGTATGTGTATTTTAAAGTGTTCAATGACAAAAAGAAGACAAAATCAGCTAATCCGAGGAAAATTGTGATTTAAAAAAAAAAAGTGATTTAACTCCTACCCCACATGTTCTTCAAGAAACTTGTCTCTATCAGTGGACAGCTGGGAGACAACTGACGTGCGATGGACAGACTCTCCAGTCATTGGACGAGGCTGGAATATATCAGGAGGGAGCATGCTCAGAAGTTCTCGCTTACGTTGCAGCATCCGACTCTCGCTAGGTCCATGATCCCCTTCTTCTGCAAAGTTAAGTTTAATTAGAAGTTAGAAATTTAGAAAGTTAGTTTAATTAGAAAATAGGTGCTCTACCAACTGAGCTAGATTAGAAATTGTAAGTTTAAAACAACTGTTATAAGATTTCTTTTTAAAAGATATTCAAAATTTAAACTATGGGTATGGTATTCTTAGTTACAATTTAATATTGTTTTAGTCAATGTTTTATATTTAACTGCTTTTTAATTTTAATATAATAAAAAACTAAATTAAAATAAGTATTTTTTGGCTTTTTCAGTCAGTCTAGTATGACAATAAAAATATAGTATGTAAATATATTTTGAAAAATATTGGTGACTTAATTTTAATTATTAGTTTCACCGGTAGTTCCAAAGAAATTTGTCAAACTTTTTAAAAGAATTTACGTAACCCTATACAAACTTCTAGCAATTTCGGAAAACGAATCCATCGAAAAGTAAAATTACCTGGTTGGATGCCTTTACAGTTGTCAATTGCAGGCCCAGAGAGCTTGAACGTGTGCAGTGGTTTTAACCTATGGAAGAGCATAGATAAATCATTATTTGAACAATACTTTGACATAATTTGCACTTTGTTTATTCCTTTATAGAGTCAACAAAACCACTGTTTCCATATGCAAATTATAGTGGTGCTTTAAAATTTGCCTTTACTATCATTCATTATTCCAACAAATCTTTGAAGGTTCAGGGTTCGGAAAGTAAATCACAATCAAGTGAACTTTTTCCCTGCCCTACCTTCCCTTCAGTAATCTTCCTCCTTTCTTGCTCTGCGGAGGGGACTGTTGGCGATTCAACACCCGGGTGACCTCCCTCAGTGCGTAAATGGTACGTTCCTTCAGGTCTTGGCTGGGTGACACAGGGCGATCCTGTTACAAAACCATTGCCAGAAAATGGATGAGCAGCCAATCAAAAGCCATAGTGAAGTTCAAAGAAACTCGTGCAAGTTCACCTAAATTCCTTCTCAAAATAGTTATTTAAGGTACACGGTAACGATAATTGGGAACGGCAGCTTGACTTTACAATGAGGAATTTCTACACTAACTGCTTCCAGTGCAGAAAATAAAAGAACAATGGAAAGTAACAGAAATTTTGTGCTTCTTCACATGAATTACTTCTCAAACTACCGGCAGCAACTTCGTAATTAGCAATGGCAGCCCAAGAAATGCACAATTTACCAATAAAAGCCCATACTCATCAATGAAAACTTCTTTCATGTTTCATAGTCAAACTGAAAATTAAGAAGACATTAATCCTTTAGCAATCCTTGTTCAGGTTTAGAATTAAAATTGATGAAACTGTGTATCTATTCCAGAAACCTTTAGAAACAGAATTTATAAGGAACTTGCATCATGATATGTGTGCTTTGTTAAAGTGACTTGGAGCCTAAGAGCTAGATTTCTGATTATGAGTTTTGAAAGGATGAAATTTATCACAGGAAATCGGGATGACAAGGCATGAATGATCAGTGAAACTACTCAAAATCCTTTCCTCAAGGTAGTTTTTCCAACAGTTTAATGCTACAATCTATACAAAGACACTACTTCAGGTGGATTAAATAAAGTAAAAAGTCCACGCAGGTGTGCAAGCCTACAATAGAAGAGTTTTTGTGGTGCGGATAGGGATGGAGGAATCGTGTTAAAGCTCGGCAACCTATCAACAACAGAGTTATTGTGCTTGACCAACTCAGCTTGAACCATTGGGCAAGACATGAGGGGCCAGAAAATGAGATTAACTGGGACAGTAAAATGGTGAGGAGGGGCTCACAGAAAGATCGTCCTAGTCACAGCAACACAAAATGGGAAAGCATCACTTGAAGAAAAAACAAAAACCGACTTTGGTGGAGTAAATGAGAAATGTTATCTTCCATTTCTGTTTAGACCAAAAACCTATACACAGCCTTGTGATGATTAAAATTAAATTAACAGAAGTTTGAACTAACAAACTTGTCCACTTTTCACATAATCATCCACCTCCTTTTTATGGTATATTGTCTTGCTGGATGACAGTTACTTTGTTGTGATAGTTCACCGACTTCTGATCTGCTGAGGGGAAGGTCTGACAAAATTGAAACATCAACGAATGATGAATTAACTTCAGTTTTTAACTTACCACTGGCACCTCAGCATTCACATCATGCTTGAAAGGCTGAGAGACATGAGCATTTGGTTTGGGGGCTAACGTCTCAGCTGCCAAGCTCTGAGGGAGAGGGGCCAGCTTCTGCCGATCATTCGGGGTGCCATGCTGGGGCCAGTACTTGTTGCCCATGGACCAGAGGTTGGGAGGGCCTGCCAGGAATGCTGAACTCCTAAGGTGATGACAGATACCAGTCGGAAATGTTTAGGTAAAGACAAGTACTTCATACTCCATAGAATACAACTAACACTGCAAGTTCCAAACAACTTTTTTTGAAAGACGCAAACACTTAACATCAGCAGATTTACAATTAAAATCATTCCCTTCTACCCAGAAGGAAACAATTTTTTTCATAATTTTGTTCAACGACTAAAAATGTCTTACTTATTGGAAAAGAATCTTTCATTTAAATTACGCCAACTTGTGCAAGCACAAGGCACAAAGTTTGACAAAAAAGAGGTTTCTATGGACAGTAGCAAGAAAAACTAAGGATGTATTGTTTTTACATCAACTAAAGCACATTTTTTCTTTTGAGGAGTTGGAGTTCACAACTATGGATTGACAGTTAAATGTCAATGATGTGACGTGACACTGATATAGAAAACCAAGCACATTTATGATACTTCTGATGCAAATTTATATACAACTTATAAAGTTCTGTGAGTGTGGCTATATCATTTACAGTCCTAGCCCAAACACATCAGTAACTTAAACCAAGGATGTCTAGCATGGCTTCAAGATTTGTGTGAAGTCAGACCAAACAAATAACATGTAGTTCAGAGGTGGAACAGTGTCAGAAAACAAACACAGCCAGTGTAGAGAACCCGATCCTCGCCATTATTGAATTCGTAATGAATCTGGATGCAATTCAAAGCTCACTGAATTAGACAGAAGTTCAAATTTCTTGCTGTTCCTTTTAATTTAAATACAAATGTACATATTTCTTTAACTTGAAATCAGCGAATTGCAAAAATGACTCAAGGCATTGCTTTTTTGTTAACGTAATATCTGAAATTGTCAAAGGATATGGGTAGACAATTCCTGCACCTTTAAACTAACATTTCTACATGGAATTTTGGGTACAAATGCTGGCCAAATTCTTGTATTGACAAGTTTGGGAAAATTTATGTTTGCATTCCTATGAATAGCAAGTCAAGTTGTTGGTGTCCAGTGTTTGAAAACTGTTTAACTTCAGATTAAACTTCATGATAATGTACATGTATATCCTTCTGTCAAGAAATTGTATTTGCCTCGCAATGTTTCCCTTTTTGTTTCAATTAAATTTGGCTCTGCCTTTTATCGCCAAACACAAACCAGTTTAAAAATTCTTGGGACAGATGTTTGCGGGAGGTCAGATCTGAATGAAAGTGAAATGAAAAGAACCATATCAACTCAGCCAGGGGGAAGATTGAATTAAAGGATTTCATTACATCCATTATCGACCACCCGATAAAAGGCTGCAGTCTTTGTAAAGTTTATTTGAACTATGTGGGTCTGTACAATTGCTATAGAGTGCTGCGCTGTTAACTCAATACTGGTTAAAGTGCCATCTATGTAAGCGAGACCCGATAATTGTTTGTCGCATTTACTCTTATTTACCAGTTGATCCAATTATCAATGAAGAGCTTTTGTAGCTGAATGCACAATGGAAAATTTAGACTTCGGTTCACAGTTTGTCCAAATTTTGGTCCCCAAAGGATGTCAAGTTTCTGGTAATTGGCGTCATAAAGTGAATGAGGTCTTAATTCCTCCGACAGGGCACTGAGCAAAATAATTGAAAACATGTAGGATTTCTTGGAACACTGGGCAAACTTTCCATTATCAATTATTGAATACTACAAGAACACACTTATCCATGTCATTCACTATGTAATCTCTGCACTTACTTGTGCGTAAAGAATGAATTGTAGTTGTACGGCGTGGTACAAGGCGTGCCCCTGGATTGCGCTCTTGAGGGTGATCTGGTGACAGGTGGGGTGTAGGCCGATTGGGGAGGGGAACGGGTCTTGCGCCCCGCCCCATTCAGGAGGGGATCCGGGCGTTTCTTGCCTGCAGTTGTTAGCTTGCGAGGAGAGTCGGACGACTGTCTTGATTTTGAGTGGGGTTTGCCCTCTGAAAAATACAAGAAAATTAATAATAAATAAAATTTATAAAAATTTCAGGCTATGACTTAATTAAATTTATCTTGTGTGGTTTATGAGCAGCAAGTTAAAAAACTGGTACGCAGTAGCAGGATGCACACTGAGAGACAAGTTTTTCTGTATGAAGCAGACAACACTTTGCATTACAGAAATGTACAGGCTTGTACAAACTTGTATTATCGGCATGTTTTGTTCATCCACTAACTGGTATCCACTTAAAATGATATTCATAAACGTGTGATTTAGGTGTATTTCGTGGGAGTACATGCATGCGACACTATGCAGAACTCAATGTCTGAGGCATGTGACTACTGAATCCAATTCACAGCTTTTCAGAACAAGAAAAATTCTGTCATTCAAAAGTGAGATATTTATCCAGTCCTACTGATTTTTTAGCAATCTCATAAAAAATAATACCACAATGGCATCAAAGAACAGAAAAATAGTTTCACGTTTCATTGTTCTGGCAGTCCTTGTAACAGACTTAATGGTACCCCTCAGCGTTGGTACCATTTGCCCCCCAGCTGTACAAAACAATATGAACCGTATCACAGCGAACAATAGGACCTAGTCTACACCTGCCCATAACCTCAGCAGGGTCAATTCCGTTGCTCTCCGTCAACAATGCCAGCTTAAGGACCCAGTGATCACGCATTTGTTCCCAAGCTAAAAAAGGGAATGATTGACGCTGCATGAATGGAGCAATACTTTTTTATGGGGCGATTTCTTTTAACTTACACTCAACCTTAATTTTTACTAGACACCATCTCCAAGTGCACAACATACTGTATTCAACTTGAAAAGAAAACCTCTTGGTTAATTATTACAAACGAAATCGACTGTTTCATGCCATACATCAAAACCGTGACAGTGCTAAGATTCTTATAACTTGTGATACCGTACAAATGTACTTGGGACAAATCTTGAAATGAACCATAAAATACATAAATTAGTATTTCCCAATTTTGTTTCTGACACGAACACCTGTTAAAATTGCACTCCATTGAACCATTCCAGTTTTTATCACCACATAAATTTCTGCCAATCACTTTTATGCCTGGCATAACGGCCAACTGTCAGGTGAGATTTTTAAGGAGCGGCAGGTGTGAATGGAATTTGGTTAATGATTAAACCGTTCCAGACAAATACGGTTATCATGGTACGGCATTTCAGTCACTTAGGGTTTGTGTGAATCTCTAACCATAACCAGCAGGTGTAAAAAAAATGCACATTTCACACATCCCTATACAAACACCGCATTTTAATCTGCATTTTAATTGCAATCTTTTTCTTCTCTTGTATAGATCTGAACAGAGTCAATTTCATTTCCGTGCAATTTTCTTTTATCTTAACTGCTGTTAATGACTACTCATTACAGAACTGCCACTCAATGACTGGTGAAAATTAAGGATCACAATGTGAAGAAATAACATCAACAATTTTATTATTTAATGTTTGATTATAAAGCAAAGTTCACAAGAATCTGTGGCACACTGCAGGTAATTGCCTTCTCCAAACAACGCTGAAGCACATTTTCAGGTTGATATCCGCACATAAATACCAAAACGCTCTTGTGCCAACAGAGGGGATGAATGATGCAGCTCCAGTTGGATTGTTGGGCAAACACTAGTGTAGGCAGAATCAACACTAGATGGGACATGGACAATGGAAGAGGACGGTGTTAGAAAATATTGGTTCTCATGTTTTTTTCATGTCGGCGATTCTCCAAAACTGAGTGAGGCCGAACTCTGCCTCTTTCACAAACAATTTGCTTTCATGAGCTTTTGCTACCACGCAAAACACAATGTACTGCACCTGAGATATTTACAATGTATAAATCTTTTCTTCAGTTTTTTTCCAACTATCGATCACGTGCCATCAGAGTTAACCGCTACTTTTAATGCTTACTAATTCAATGTATGTGGAATATAATGATACTGCCAAAAATAAATGGGGCAACTGAGAGTGGGAGATTTAAGATACATGCTTTTACTTGTTTGTATCAGTGTTATTATCCAGACTGCGCTAGATTTTATTTTTACTAGCCCTGAATTAACCATTAATTAGTCAAGCTAGATAACCTTTTAATACGTGGCTCCACAATCCAGCGAAAAACACAAAACATAGTTTACAACAATATATATTAAAAATTATTCAAAACCTCAAGTTTTATTTACATTGGCCCTTAATTTACTATTTCCACTTTGTTTGACTACAATCAGGGTTGAAAAAAGGGGGGGGGGAATGCACATGTTCAGCTTCCATCAAAATTAGAGTAAGGAGAGAGTTTTGCATTCTGATGCCAATTTTTTCATCAAATATCATTTCAATGAAGGTCAGTCAATTGGGAAATACTTTGAAAATGTTCTTGACTCTCCATAGACTTTGCACACTACCGCTTAAAAGTGGCATCTGGATAGTAATTCTTTCCTTAATTAAAGTGAGACTAATACATCACTTTGATGTGCTGAAGCACAAGATCTTGGGAACACAGGCTTAAGTCTGACTGTCTCTTACTCTTAGGGAGGAAAGACTACATATTCTCCCCTGTCTGATGATGGGTACTTTCTGGTGATTAATTTGGTAGCTGTTCACTTACTTTAAAATTAAAAAGCGTAGAAGTTAGATTTCCTAATCAGGATATTGTGCGGGATCAAAATGTAGTGGGATCAAAATGAAGATTCTGTTATTTTTAAAAGCCTAACTCATCTGACAAATTCATTTTTAACCCTAATCATGGTCTTTTGTGGATTTTATCGAACAACCAAGTACAATGTAGCAAGATATTTTTGGACAATGTTCAACAAATTCAACATGATTTACAGAATATAAAACAGAATATAAAACAGAATATAAAACAGAATATAAAACAAAAGACAATGGTGAAATATACAACATCTTGGGATAAAACATTGCTAAAACCATATTGAATACATACTGTGCTGTAGCCAGGCTGGGACCTCGAGTGCAGAAACACATGCAAAACTCAATTAGGCCAACTTTACTCAGTCTTTAGCCAACAAAATTCTCCAAAATTTTAATGAGGCAAAGACAAGGTCCTCAGTATTTCAACAGCCAAGTTTGAGGTCTCAATTCAATTTTTAAAGGAGTCTTTTCTTTAACAATTTGCACATGAGAGTGAAGCCAAGTGATTTCAATTTGAAGTCTAAGACTAGACTGGTACAATGGTACTTGTCCAACTTTTTGAGAAGATGGACCCTTCAGTAGTCTGGTGGCATGACCATGGAAATGTGTAAAAATACCAGAGACTGGGTACCAGCTGCTTCTTTTGTCATAGCTGATTGACGCAGTACTAAAAGGGTGTTGGACTGGTTGTTTCATGTGCTAGTCTATTTTCTTGTATTGCACTCTTTTACTAATACTAGCTTAAGTTTTGGCCAAATTTTCGGGCGAATCTGTACCTTACATATATATTACAGTGAGAAAATTTGTTACAAAAACATACTTACCAACAATAACCTTGTCAACTGGTAAATTGTCTACACTTAGAAAAGGAGCAGGCTGAAAGAAAACACCAAAAATATGAATGTTTATTGACAGGCTGTAAAAATTGTTGGCAAATGAAAGTTTGAACACTGATCTGAATTTTGTAAATGTACACGTTTGCAAGGATCATGTTTCATCTATATGAAGAAACTATTATGTCACTAGTCTTAAGGTCAGGCAGAATAACTAAAAACAAAAATATAAAACTGATTTCATATTGCAGTGCAGAGAGAACAATTTCTTTGACGCACTTCAAGCCTCTGGTATAGCAGCTCAAGACCTTTTTTTAATTACTAAGTAAAATGTGAAGTCACATTTATGAACTCTTTAGTCCGAATCTTTGTCCCTTTTACAAAATATGAAAAAAAGGAAAACTTGCAAAATTTGAAATCTAGGGAATTTTAATGTGCCAAATTTACATACCCAATAAATATTAGGCTGTCGTTCATTGGTTTCAGTATTTAATTTATGCTAAAATTATAAGCAAGTTAAATTACATTTAAAATTTACAAGCATAACTCTGCACGTCACGTACAGTACAATACATTACATGGCCGAATTAAATTTTCAAATATTCTGTATACCAATCACTCTAAATGCATTATTAAAATGCTGAGTAAAGATATGGAAAACATTTTCTACTCACTCAACTAAAGCTTTATGTGATACAACTAACCTAATTTTTAGTTTTTAAACTAATTATCAATTAAACACCGTCTTGATTTTTTTTGTTTATATTTTAAACACTATGTTGGGACTGATAAACTTTTATTTTGAAATTAATGTACTTAAAAAATTATAATTCCCTAACCATGGAGGAATAAGCCCTAACCAACAGGATGCCATGGTGCCTTAACTCATAACATTAACAAATTGATGTTTAATATGTGGTAATTTTATTTCATAACTACTTGCACGATTATACCATTTTTACCTCGTCTGCTCGTCTTGGTCTGGCTCTTGACCGAATTGTTTGGCGAGAAACCTGTGGGCTGCCTGGTGAAACTCCCTCCGTCACGGACGGCATCATGACCGAGTCAGGCACACCCCCGCCGACGAACGGTTTCTCTTGTAACCTTGCCTGTATTCCAATAATCTTCGTGGTTTCCGTGATGGCATTGGCTTGGTCTTGGTCCCTTGATAAATTTGGGGTAGAGCTGCTTGAGGTGAGTCCACCGTAGCCGTGGCCCGGCGAACCACTGGAGTAAAAGCGAGTGCGTGAACCAACTTTAGCCGAGGCAGGTGTATCTCCGTCGGAGAGGTGTCCACTGCCGTGCGCAGGTGATTCCCTGCCCCGTGGAGATTCCACGGTCGCCCGGGACGTTCCGGCCTCGACTCCCCGCACCTGGCCTACCTCCACCGGCTCACGCCAGGTGATTGTGGAAGGCACCATGCTGGCTACCTCGTCTATCGACATGACTGCTTGCATGGCAGAAATGTCACAAACGGAGGAATTCCACCAGTAAGAAGGTGAAACATGTCACGTAAAAAGCCAACACGCAAATGTCACTTGTCAGCCATCTTGATTGAGACCAGTCACCGTAAATCGGGATCGAAATATTCTTCCGCCTAATTGATTGAAAAGTTAAGAAAACTTCGCAACCATCAAATTAAGAGTTTTTCTGCATTGTAGTTTGATAAATTTACATAAGTAGAATCAATAGGCCAATAAAAACATTCAACAACTGAAGACATTGTCCGAAAATCTGTCAAGTTACAGCTTGATGAAGCGGCCTACATTTACCGCGGACTGGGACAGTCTAGACTTTGTTTAGGTAGTGCGTCACGAAGCGTCCGTTGCTATATCTACCTGCATGGTACATTGCCTCCAGCCGGCCCGCTAAATACATACAAGTTAGAGAGGCGTGCATTATGCATGTAACTGTGCTGGTGCGTACACAAAAAAAACGCTGTACCGTGCGGTAATATTTGTTGAGCTGGGGGCCGTAATGATAAGTGTGCCGTTTAATTCATGAAGCTTTTCAATAGGCCCTTTAGTATGTTGAGCCAACAAACAGAAAGTCAGTTAAAAAGTCATTCCTAAAAAATGTTACCCAGGATGGCATAAACCTGATTTTAGGATGTACCAAATAGCCGAGAAATACAAGCTTTACAAAAATGAGACAATACACATAAGAAAATAAAAGGTACTTATTAATTTACAAAGTTTTGCGTGCGTCAAGAGTTATTGATTTCCAAAGATCTAATTAAATATCCAGTTGAATAACAGCGTTCGGCATTAGCATACAGGACAAGCGCCGGACAAACTATTTCGATGGAAAAGCATATACTATTCCATTTTATTTTTTTGTTATTAGACTAGCTTTGGTAATGCCAGAAACATTTGAACACTTTTTATTCTTCATTCACAATTTATTTGTTCGTCAGACGTTGCAGGAATACACGCTGGCGCGCCCGCTAAATGCCGCTTGAGTTTAAGTGGACTCAAAAAAGGTTTATGTAAAATCCACAAATACAACCACTTTGTTTTCTTTCTAGTTACAGCAGAATTTATTTCAAAGCAAATTTGTTGACCTTTGAAACAATTATTACCCCAGAATATTGCAAACCAGGATTTTCTTAAATAAATAGCTTAGAAGGCAAAACAGTTTCAAGATGGTTTTAACCCTACCCAATTGAAAAGATTGAATAAGAATCATTTCACACAGTAAAGGAACTATATTTACCTCATATGAAAAAGGAACGAACAGAGAATCAGTTTTGGTAAAGAAAAAAAAATGAAGAAATAATCCACATTAGTTGTACAATAAGTTATGTGTACAAATATATTTTATAGAACTAATATAAACTGAACAAAGGCACGTACCCTCCCCGCTGGAACAATTTACATATATATATTCAAGTTGTCAATAATAGGCAAGGGCGGATCCGGGGGGGGGGGGCAAAGGGGGCCATGGCCCCCCCCCAAAAAAAAAACCCCCGAAAGCCTTGGTAATAGGTTTACCTCTGCATGCAAGGAGACAGAAGTACAGTTTTCTTTGTGGACGCATTTGTTGTGCCTGCTTTCAAACCATTCACTTCAATCAAGTGTAATCATAAAGACAGTGGTTAAGAGATTGTTAAAATTATCAAGCTAATAGTGCTCTGTTACAACCGGTAATGTAGTAACAAATGGATAACGTATCAACAACCGATAATGTCACAAAAATTGGCTGATACTCTATGTGCCACAAAATTGACCGGTTGTGTAGTAAAATGTACTACACTATCAGTCAATTGTTGTTACATTATCAGTCCTAACCAATAATGTAACCAAAATTGACTAATAGTGTAGTAACATTTACTACACTATCAGTAAATTTTGCGTTTCATTATCGGTTAGTGATTTGTTACATTATCTGTTGGTGATACCTTAGGCCAAAAAAAAAAGGTCTCCGGTTTCTGGTATGGAGCTTGCCCAAAAAGTGATGCGGCGACGCGGCTTTTTTTTTTTTTACCCGACTTTTTTGCTTCAAATGTGTGCTGATGACTGCAAATGGTGTCCGACTAAACTTAGTGCAAATATATGGGAGTCCAGAGAGGCCACATAAAGCTTATTCTTGACCATAACCCAATCTAAAAACACGTTAAAATTGTGCAGCAGCAGTATTCCAGTCAAACCAGTGAGTTTGGCGGTTTTGGGACATCATCTTTCATTAAAAAAGAAACTTTTTCATTTTGCCGACGCGCATGGCTACGGCGACGCGCGCGCATACCAGAAACCGGAGACTTTTTTTTTTGGCCTTATCGGTTTGTCACTACATTACCAGTTGTAACAGTGCTCTCCTGATCTTCCATTAAATCGTTGCCATGTCCAAATACAAAGAGGGCTTTACACAACCATCTTCAATGAAGTTCACAATTTTATTTAATAAGATGAGGCGCATTAGTTTGGGAAACCAGGGCTAACGCACAGAAACGTACATACCCCGTTTTAACAGCAGATTTTAACAGCTGAAGAGAGACATAAAACAGTACATAAATTCAGCTATAAATGTAGAATTTCAAAGAGTTTCCAACTTTACTTGGAAAAATAATCGGGAATTGTCATCTGGTACTCATCTGTTTTACAGTTTTGTTATTTTGGGCCAGTTTTCTCACAGCTGTAATCGTTTGCACACTGTTTTGTTTTATAAACAGTAAACACAGTTATGCCAACCAAAATACTGGTTTGGCATTTGCTCAAAGTTAACCTGTGTGGTTCCTAATTGTTTTGGCAGTAATAAAAACAAGACAGATAGCCCCCTGCTCCCAGGGACAAATACAATTGGCAATTCCCAGACACACAATTTTTAAATTGCCAATTAGCAGTCTGGCGCCAACAGACTATTCATTAATTACAAGACAGCATTTTCACAGACTAATTAGATAAACGTTTCCATTATTTCTATCAATTGTAACTGATGCAGCAAATTACTAAAAAAAATATTAGTTTTTACTTTGGGGATACTTCCATCCACATTTTCAAGTGTGTATTTGTGTGTATTTAACTCAATTTACAAGATTTAATTGTTCAACATCATAAAGTGGTCTTGCATTCAACATAATGACAAAAACTGTATGGTCAAGGAATACAATGCAACTTGTGTGTTTCATTTTCCATGGCTTTGAAAAGGGATTTAGTAATTTGAACATAAATACATGAGCTGATCTCAATTAAGCGATTTTGTTTTAAGGAATCAAGCAATAAAAACGTGATTGTGGCTTCTCAGGATTTTAATTCTAATTTTTTATTATAATTGAACAAATTATGTCTACACCAGTATATTACCACAGTGATAAAGAACTTGGTCATAACTGTACCACTGAAAACGGATACCCTTTTTTTGTTTCCGGGCTAAACCTTCACCAATAGTCACTACTTCTACACAATACGCTATCAAACTGGTACCTAAAAAACTAGCCCTCAACATGTATTTCCTGAACAACAGAACGTTTCAACCAGTCTTCAGTTTGGCATTTCCAAGGACGAATTGTAGAGTTCTGTCTATGAGTAAAGCAGCTGCCATGTCAGCGAAGAGACCCTGGAGCAACAACATACGAAACTGCAATTGAAGAAAAAAACAAAAGTAACATTGAGTGAAATCTGAGACTGTGGTGTTTGTCGTGTAAAATATTTAAGAAAGGAAAACAAGTTCAAAATGCAAAAATGAAATATTGTCTGAAACCCGGGATGTGTCCATGGCAACACAAAGTGACTTGAGTGTTTGAACTACCGAGACATACACTGACCTACTATGGCTATCATCCAAGTTGTAACAAATATTATCACAAATATTTACACAATCAGCTATCACTGACTTCATTCATGAAGAAAATTAGATACCAATGCGGCCCAATTTCCTTATCTCCATTGACTGTTGTATACTCTATCGAAACTTGAACTTCTTCTGGAGTGGGCTATTCTATTTGATTTCCAACGGTCTAAACACGGACACGAGTAAGCATCAGGTATAAAAGATCCTCAACAGTACCCTGGAAACCATACTATTTTGAGCACTCCGTTAGACAATACCTTTCAGAGCCCACTCCATCTGTCTCTGCACTCAATCCATGTTCAAGTTCTAATGGCATGGTTTCCAAACTACTCTTAAGATCCATCATGTACATATAATTCTGTATAGCATTGATACACAAAATGCCAATTTTTGTTCCACACTGTGAGTTGCAAGTTGTCAGTTGTGCCTCCGTGTAATTTCCCTTTAAAGCCGGTGTGAGTGAACACATATCTAAATTTGACCTTTTTCACTATTTACGTGATATATAGTTATTGTGAATGTGTATTTTTGCACAATAACTATAGCTTTTATTATGGTATAAAAAAAGGTAACAGTCAAAAACATACTAGTCTCAAAATAATTACCAAGTCATAATACGTTTCAATGCTCTTTTCATAAAAAAGGGTTTTTTAAGGTGTCGGATCTGAGGTTTATTTCTTTTTTTCCCAGTCATCAAGAATTTTGTAAAATACAGGTTAAGATATAATCAATAACAAAAGTAAATTCTGTAAGATGTGACTATTTAACACAGCAGCCAGGAGATGGAAGCTGAGTTTGATGATTTATTCAGGACATGGCTTACCTCTGATTCAAACTCTACAATCTGAAACTGGTCTGATATCTCCGGTATGATACCTGTGGTCAGTGCTATGATGGCAACGCCAGATATCAACAGACTGTAGAGTAAGGGTTTATTGTCCTTCAGGCTTTCCATGAATGGATGGCCCTGTGGGTAGGGAAAACAAAAAAAACCCAATAATATTCATTAAAGGTCAATCTCATGGAACTGATAAGCAGAGAAATGTCCAAAGCACAGAAAATATTTGATTACCAAAAATGGGTTAACAGCCAAACAGTCATGCTTTGTATGGTGGTATATTGTTTGTGACTGATTCTCTGACAATTTTTGCACAGCACGTTAATTTACTTTGCAGTCCATGAAATATGGCAAGAGCTTGTAGTCAGGGGGAGCCCTGCACACAGACACAATCCAATCATGTCACAATTTATTTGATGTTATCGTCACAGGTTCGGGTCCTTTGCACAACTAACTCCATGGGCTCCGTGCAGAGGTACCCCCTCAATGGTAAGAAAGAGAGTTTTGGAGACCACTGGGAGGGACATTCGAACACATTGCTGAAGACGCCTAATGCTGACGCGAAGACACTATGGTTTGTGCAGATTCAGAATAAATAAAAGTAGTTGTGCGTACTTTGTGCTATACATTCGCGAACCAGTATTTGCACGTGATGTGTTTCATCTACTCGGCTCTCGATCGGAGCCACTGGTGAAGTGTAATAACTAGCTATCAGAGAAAGGCATCTTTCTGGTATGCGATGGTTGAGGTTAAAAATGAGTAATGTATTGTGCCCTAAACACAGCCTCATTGCTACCACCAGACTAGCAAGACCTATATTCAATAAGTGTCCCATTTAGGTAGTGTCCCATTTGCCAATGTCTTTGAAGGGCCACTGAAATAAGGTTCATGGCTTGACCTATCAAATGCTTGCACACTCGTGGATATTTTATCACTACATTACTTTTATGAAATGTTACTCATTACACCCTGCTTTCACGCTGCTTTTTTCACTGGTCATAAATCATTGCAAATCTGCCTTCAACTATAGGGTCTTTTATACAAAGACGGAAAAGTAGTTCATACCTTTAAATCAAATTGGGTTTGCCCTTCACCAACGTATAAACACTGTATACTCAGTGTGTTACCTCCCGAGTGAAAGTTGGAAAAAATCACTTGGGTGGGACTCGAACCCACGACCTCCTGCTTTCTAGTGCAGATGTCTTACCACTCGACCACCAAGCTAACGGGATCGGTTGGCTGGTTCGAATCTGATGTACATAGCAGCGGGTACCGCAGACCCCATTTGATTTATATCACCCCGACGCAAAATTCCATCTTATAATAGTTCATACCTTGTAGTTGACTGCAAAAGTGCTGACTTGCAACATCATGGATATAATGTAGACACTGCTATTCAACAAGTTGGGGTGGAATTCTTTTTCTAAATCTACAAACTTTCCTTCCCTGTAAAAAAATCAAGTCAAACAATACTACATCACATTATACATTATTTTTTCCCCAGTTATTTAAAGTGTTTTATGATTAATATACAATATAGTAAATCAAAAATACCCCTGGAACCTGAATAGCCAAATAACCACTCAAACAAAAGCAAACCTGTTTATGCCATAACCTATCAAGTAAACAAGGTACAGGCAATAATTCCTTTTCATTAAATTTCATCTTATGAATAATAATTCCTTGTTAAGCGGACAAGAACACCTGTGCAGTGTGAACTAACCTTGGTGGGGATCTAGCCTTGGCCTCTCCTACTAGATAGATAAGACACACAAAATGGACGGCAAACTGCATCAATACCGTCAGGATAGTGTACAGGTTGAAGATGTTAGGCAGGGGACGAGACTTGGATAGTGACTTCAGAGGCTGAGGGTTAAAGAGAATCACGTTTGTTATATGAAGACTATCGTCTGATATAATGCTATTGATGAACTCATGTTCAAAGGAAGTTATATTAGACAACAGATCAAACACACCTATACATTTAGAAGAGGTATTGACCTTTTGTTTGTAAACAGTGCGCTCCATTTTGTAATATTAACACCCTCATTATGAAAGAAGGTGCCATTTCATTAGGTCTTTGGTAGTGTTTGTTGGTTATTTTGTTTATTTTAACAATCCAATGATAAGTTTGGAAACATTAATAACTACTCTTCATTTCTGCTAAATTGACCTTCAGTTTGCCAATAGTTTGCCTACCCCTTTGGTGGTAATAAGGGCAACCACAGGTTGGCAAAGAAACATCTATATGCAGAAAATATTACCATTGAAGCCTTTCCTTGTCGGCCATTTAAATATCACTTGCTAGTATTACTAGTTAACATCCCACTGGAAGATTGGAAGATCATTGAAACATTAACTCTCCTACTGTTTGAACAGTCACAGACAGTCAAAATTTTCATCCACTTCCCCTGCCATGCCTTTACTCAGGCTAGTCACCAACAGTCAGATGAAATTTTAGGCAAGCACTCTGACTAGTCAAATTCAGTCAACAGACAAATGCAGGAAACTAACGGCACAGCTGTCATCAATCATGTACAGTCAAAGCATAGCTGTATCAAGTTACGGAAGCAGTTACAGCCATTATAATATGGAATTTTGCGTCGGGGTGATACAAATCAAATTAGGTTTTGCCCTTCACCGACGTTTAAACACTGCATACTCAGTGTGTTACCTCCCGAGTGAAAGTTGGAAAAAATCACTCCGATGGGACTCGAACCCACGACTTTCTAGTGCAGATGTCTTACCACTCGACCACCGAGCTAACGGGATCGATTGGCCGGTTCGAATCTGATGTACATAGCAGCGGGCACCTCATAAACTATTATAATATGGAATTTTGCATCGGGGTGATACAAATCAAATTAGGTTTTGCCCTTCACCGACGTTTAAACACTGCATACTCATTTTTTTTTTAACACAGTGAGTATGCAGTGTTTAAACGTCGGTGAAGGGCAAAACCTAATCAGTTACAACCAGTTCTGCTTTATGTAGGCTGGGAGCTCATAACTATTAAAAAGTCACTTGACTGATTTTGACTAATAGGACAACTATGCATGTTTGCATAGTTGGGTTAATCATTGGAAGTCCCGTGTGAATGAACTTGATACCTTTGAGCGAGATATAAAGAGAAAACAGCCAGCCAGCAGAAGTCCTTGTAAAGTAGCCTGGCCATCACTGAACTTGACTCCATCCAAGTACAGGACACTCTGGCTGTAGGCTAAGATGAGAGCATTCAAGGCTAGGATCTTGAACATCTGTAGTGTGGTGACCAGGGTACATCTACCCTGCTTGATGATGTGACACACTAAGGGAAGAGAGATGTTAAATAAGGGAATAAATGCCACCCATCCAGACTCACACCGGTTTTAAACAGAGTGTTTAATACCGACGGAACACATATTTATTAAATACCTTTTTGGTCAATAAAACAAATTATTTCGGTCCAAAAATCAAAACAAGTCAAAAACTAGACGTTGTTAACCATTTTGTTCAACAATTTTACTCCATGTTTTACGAAACACCCCTCTGACTATAATATGGAATGCCCCTCCACAATTGCGTGCACGTCGCGCATTCCTGGAAAAGTGTTTAAGACTAGCTAGCCATGTCTTTATCATCCGTTTAAGACCGGCCACGTGAGGGCTCTTGACCAATAGGAATGCGTAAACGGTCTTAGGTATTTATGAATACTTTTTATTAACCAATACTTCAAGTTAAAAAAAAATCAATTTAAAGAATCCATTATACTCCAGTTTGATAAGAAACTGACTCTTCAGAAAAAAATGTATTGATTTTTTTTAAATGCTTTTTAAACTACAAACTTTCTTAGCATAAACAACATAATTTCACATAAATGTCAATGACGCAATATAGAACAATACTTGTATGTGTTCACACTTTCAAAAGAAGCATGCATTCAGATATAAAAGGTACATACAACATTCCTTGAGTGACATTCTGTACTGAATGTTTAAAAAACAATACACATGCAGCCTGCTGAAGGCTTAAAAGTTTGTTTGAGAGATCTTCCCACCTTCCACATGTTGTGCTTATCTAAAATTAATCTATTTTTGTGAAATAAATACTAGATTAGAATGCAAACACATCATTTCGACAGAAAGACAATGCATAACACAAACATATTTTAGAGGGTGTGTAAACTGAGCGGTTACAAGGTAACTTTGAAGCACAAGAATATTCCAATGACTGTCAACACAACACATGTGATCTTTCATCCCCTATATTTAATATCTATGAAATTGTTTGTTTTACGAATGAGTCATTAAGCTCACCGCATATAATAGATGAGAGTTTGGATGTGAATGGTGATGCAATGCTTGCGTCTCCTAGCTTGACAACCTGGGGCTGATCCTGCTCATCTATATCCTTCAAGATGGCATTAATACGCTTCTGCAGCATAACAAAAATAATCAGAAGCATATCAAAAGCTGCAAGCAACAAAGTACAACTTTAATAAATAATCAGGTTTAAGTTGAAAATTCTGACCCACAGTTCATTACCACTATCCCCCTAGGGTGTGTGAGATAATGTTAAAAATTGAGGATTCAGGACTACTAGGGATATAAAAAAAAAAAAAATTGCTCATTCACGAAAATAAAGAAGTGGCGGTATAATATCAACATGTACTCTTAAAATGTTACTGTGCACTCGCTTTGGCAAACTGTTTTTCTCCTATATATATGGATTGGGTTTTCAGTCCCTACCTGATTCAGTGGGTCTTCCCCAGAATTTCTTCTGAGGATTTCCTCCCACCTCTAAAACTGTCATTTCTTCTCACTGTCTTCTCTCTACAGGTTTTTTCAGGCGTGCGAGCTACAGTGCCTTTGACACTTTTGAGGAATCTTTGGTTTCATTACTAGAAAAGAAGAAATACTCCCACATACAATACATAAATTGGAATTGTTCATATGTATGTGATTTTTTTTTTTTTTTTAAATATGGCTCATATGCAAACTTGAAAATGGGTAGTCAAAAAAGACAAGGATATACAAAGAGTACATGAGATTATTGATTTGGTTTTCATGTTTTCTCGATTGGAAATAAATTCCACGGCAAGCAGCTGAAGTGTGGAAAAAGTGGTATGCATGCACCAAGTGTTCACAAGCAAGCAATGTCAAGAAAAATACCCTAGTGACGTCTTCCCCTCTCTGTACAGCTCTGGTTTTTGCAGCCTTGCTGGAGCCCCCAGCACCCTGTCTGGCCCTCACTACATCGGCGACGGATTTCTCTTTGTCTGTCTTGCCCTTGTGCTTGGAGTCCTGCTTTACATTGTTCGCTTGCTCCTGAAACAAATGGAAATTGGGAGTATCGCTCAGAGTAATGCATAGTATCCCCTACAATAGATCATGCTTCACACAAGGCAAACAATCCAGCCCATGGCGCGTGACTCCATTGCTGGTTTTGAACGTCTCCAGTTACGTAATTACTTTGATGCCAAATAGAAACACAACCCACATTGTTATATCGTGTGCTCGGATACTGTTATTTCATTGGTCTGAACAATAAAAATGCATGTCACACACTGAAGGTGATATCACATTGCGATCCGGTGTGGAACTTGCTGGCAAGCTAGCTTTGCGCAATGAGAACTGCAACGGCAAACACTCAGTCTCATGTCCGGCAGGTCATCAAAACCTTCAGTTATCAAAGGCTACATGGCAGTGGTTTTTCTCACACAGTAAGTAGCAACCATTCACCTTTTGAGTTATTGGCACGATGTAACAACAAAATTGTTGACTGCTGTGATGTGGGATATGCCGGTTTTATCCCCCTTGAGGTGCAACTACGTCATATCCCTCATTACAGCAGTCAACAATTGTTAGAAATACCGCAGATGTGCCTTTGCATTACAAAAAGTTTTAGCCAACAGAGGGCTTTTGATAAGTTCTTCATTAAATAACCTCTTGATAAATATGTCTTACTTGTTCCTCCTTGGCCTTTTTCTTCATCCTTTCAAGCACTCTTTCTGGAATGTTGGACAACAAGGCAACACCTGCAGCAAACGAACAGTTCCACATACTGACTTCTTGGTCTAAAACTTCATAAAAATTGAATCACTACACATTTTACAAACCAAACAATATTTGGAATCTGGCACTGTTTCACTCACCAACATGGGCATGTTTCAATGCTCCTACATCATTTGTGCCATCTCCACACATCAGTGTCGTGTAACCTAGTCTCTTCAAAGATGTCACCACATATTCCTACATTATTTAAGGACAAATTCATTGTCAATTTCATGCATCGTTACACTTACGAAGTACAGCCCAAACAAGATGAGCAGAAAATGAAATTTTAATTTATTGGTGAATTTGCATGTTCCACACTGTGCTTGTTCTAAATTAGCACAATGTGGAATTGGAATGTTCCGAGCACTTGTTGCTAGTGGAAAAGTGTCTGTTTACACAATGAAAATATTCTGTCAGCTAGGAATGGTTGATAATATTATTACATAGGAATCATGATATAAATGCTTGAAACTATTGGAGTAATCACCTTTTGTTTGGGGGCGACCCTGGCAAACACTTTGATGTAGGGTAACACACTGTTGAAGAACTTAGCACTCACAGTCTGCATGTAATGCAAAGCCTGGTGGATAATGAAGAAGAATGAATTAACTTACAAGTCCCCAAATTATTCTTCTTAAATTCTCATAAGGCCGAGTGGTATGTGGGACACAGACACACAACATTTTCCGTGTTCCACGAGCGCGAGTGAGACAACAAATTTATCTTCAAGCAAACTTGACATGCAGTAAAGATCGAAAACGCACGCTGTACACGAACTTTTCAGCAGTTATCCCATTACACGTACGTGTTGTACGGTATGGCGTGCGCATCTTATAATTGCGCAATACGAAGAGTGTGGTATGGACCGTGGCCATGCTACATATGAAGCACGGCTTGTTGCCATGGATCGACCAATCAGGATCGAGGATTCAATTAAAAGATAAAGTAACGTGTGCTATTTCCTATATTAAAAATAAAAGATATGTGTAGCTTATGGCTTGCAAAGGACACACGCAACATTTTAATCTATTTCCTGAAAATTGACACAAAAGGGTGTCTTCACTCCGATTAACAAAACAAAACAAAAATTGTTGGGGGGGGGGGCATGGCCCCCGTCGGGCTCCCTGGATCCGCCAATGCCGAGTGGGAAGTCCAATATCAATACGTAAAAACCCTTTAAAACACAGCAGGTCAGTTTCAAGTTTAAGAGATATGAAGTGCTATTAAAAGTAACTGTGTCACACAGAAACAGCACTGTGGCGAAAACTTAAGCGTGACTGAATCTGCCTGCTTGCCCCGAGCTTAACCACACAAAAGAATTGTGCAAGGATCTGAAGTGTTTATCCATACTCCCATGAACATTAATTCACAGGAATTTGAAGTGTGGGTGCTAACTCTACGGGCAAAAGTTGTTTTGCAAAACTTGACGGGTTGCAAAGGTGGAGGAGGGTTAATGCAAGTACAAAAGTCTAGTTAATATAAACAACTTATTGCCAGAATGGTTCTTTGGATTGTCACAGAACAGTATGAATTCCTTACCTCCCCAGTCATGCACAAGTCATATTTTTGAATCAGCTCTCGTTGTTCCCCTCTGCTTCTAGGCACCATGGGTAGGGTAACTGTGTCGTCTATAGACTGCCAGTGCCACTCTAAAAATAGTACAAATATTTAAATGATCAAATGATACACACTGAATATTTTTTTTAGAAGTCTGACATTTTTGTACAAAGGGAAAAGACTGCACTGCAGATGAAGGTGAGGTATTTCCAGGGACAAGTTTGAAAGCTTTGTTTAACAGCACCATCCAAAATAGCACCTCCTCAGAGAATACAAAATATGTCCTCTTACATAACAGGTGTTTGTGTATCAGTTTAACTCGGGCATGCAACTGGGAAGTAACAAAAAGAGGAAATTCCAAGCTTTATAAGACTTTATACAATGGTTCTCAATGGTTCTCAATTTTAAATGGATTAAGTGTGAAGTGAAAACAAAGAAATCGGCCGCTCCGAGGAAAAGGTGCATGCTTGTTGACTACATCAATTTCCTTTTACTATCATCAATACATCACTGTCGTCCAAAGCCGTCAACAGAGGCAGTATGAGTACCTTGCAATGGATCATCTGTGTTTCTTTCCTCCGTGTGGTTCTGTGTGGCTGTCTCAGAGTTCTCCGTCTTTCCGGCATTCTGAGGCGGGCTGAGAATGAGTGTGTGCTGTTTCCTGGTGATTTTCAGTTCCTTAGCAACATGGCAGGCAGTCAGAGGATTGTCGCCAGTGATCATCACATTCTAAGATGCAAATTCACACAGATTCTTTGCACATTGAGATTTGAAGTTGAAATGTTCTATCCCGACCTGCAGTAAGTCTTTATCACATAACTTTACACCAATCATACATTCACATCTTTGCATGCAATTACTCGATGAGTTTGTGATTCAGTAAATTCATGTGCCTCAGTGCTTTTCAACTACTTGAATTTGGACAAAATAATGTCTCCACTGATGAGTGCTGTACCTAAACCAATATATGTAACACTTCGCTTTCAATCATTACTTTATAAAACCATTGGGTGTAAACTTACAATAGAACAATTCAATGTGTCATGTTCCAGTGTTGGCCATATTTTTCTAATCTGAAAAATTGAGCCACCACACACTGCTGCAGTCTGCGTGAGTAAAGATTCCTCAAACCTTTGGTCCAATTCATCAAGATCTTAAGAATGACTTACATGGTGCGATGCATGCTGTATTTCCTTGATAACTGCCTTGGAGTCGTTCTTTAGAGGACAGGAGATGATGACAAATCCGGCAAACAGAAGATCGTGTTCCACCTCATCACGGTGCATGTCCCGGATCTGCAAATGTTTAATGCAGCATGAATCCGTGTTTCAATGCCTTCACTAATCATTTAAAGATTGAAAGCATAATATTCACATCACCTCAAAACTCATTCGTAGCTGTACTTTCCTCGCCTTCTACTGCTGTGACCCGGGTTCAAATCCCGCCCTAGGCCACAACGTGGATTCAGTTTTCAGTCCATACCCGATTCAGTGGATTTCATCTCGATGTCATGCATTAATTCCCTTCCTCATCTTCTTCCAAGGGACCACACTAAAAAAGAGTTGAAAAACATTCTTGCGCTATCTGGCTGAATGCCAATGAAGAATAAACAAATACATCTCAAAAAGCGTGCTTCACTAACCCTCTGTGCTGAAAGGTGTCCCAGTTTCCTGTAACCGAGGGCCAGCACCCGTGCACCAAGCCTGGACATTTCTGAGTGGACAGCATCATAGTCATCAGGCACTGTGGAAAACTGAGGGATCCACACAAAACAAGAAGGTTGAATGAAGTACACATGGTAAAGAGTGGGTATTTTCAACCGGGGGAGAATCCGACCACTTGCTATTAAGCACAAATCTTGGGTCTGACTAGGGTAGATTATATGCTGCAAACAAGGTAAGTACGTGGCCATGTTATAAGTAATTACCGTTAAGATTTACTCTCTCAATAGGTCTCTCTCAAATGACGTCATTTTCCTACAGACCAGCCACGTGCATTGGCATTTTGAGCGTCAACTTGCATCGGCAACGTGCATCGGCTGCGTCGTAATTTGAACACATCTTGAGCAACAAGCGCGCGTGTTTGCAACATTTTTAACACTGCGCAATGCGTGCTTGATTGCATAAAATACGCAGTTGCAGTTCTCCTACAGAGATGGCCATCTTTGTGAGAGACCTATTACACTAGGCAGTGTTGGTTTTCCTTATCCGGTCGAATTCTCCCCCTATTGCATCTGTTTACCAGTAAGTGGGGGTATATATTCGACCGGAGGCAGAATCTGAACAGTCGTTATCAAACAAAAACCTTGGGTCCGACTATGGTTGATGCTATGCTGTAAATAATGTAAATACATGACATGCCATGAGTGATTATGGTTACAATCTCACTCTCTCATGTACACTAGGCAGTGCCAGTTTTCCTTATGTGGTCGAATACTCCTTCTTTTACCCTAAACCATGTCATTCAATCACTGACACTTTAATAACTGGGGGATTTGAAAGATGACACAGCAGCTTCAGGTCCGCAAATTGATTGTCGTCCATAGCCACAAAATTGTCAAAATATTGTGAATAATTGATTAGGTTCGACTTGAACCTTGTGATACTTACCATAGCTCTGAGTGTTTCTGGGGCCCCCTTGACTGTAGCCATGAAGTTGTGTTCGGTTGACCCCGCCTCCTGCATGGAGACCAAGACAGCCATCCTCTTGAGGGCGCTAGAGAAGTGGTAGCGCTGAACTATCTTGAGAGGCTGGCCCCTGATGCGGCGTGGAATCACCACGTCACCTGTTGACCGTCACAAGATATTAACACATCAGCACTTGAATCATCTGAATAATTCAACTGTTTTGCATATCCTGATGAATATTCAATAAAGCTGTTTCTAACCTTTGGTAAGTGTCCAGTCCACAGCAGTGAGTGTGGCTTTCTCCAGTGGGTCACCGACTATAGTGTCATCCAGCTGTACTAATGAATGGCAGGTGGCCAACACCTGATGTGTCTCAATAGGACAGTCAGCGATCAGGCAGATCGTGGAACCACCCCTGCAAGTGAGATCAAACATATTCAATGAGCTTGATTTGCTGAGGGTGAAACTCGCCAAAGCTCACCAAGGGAAGTTCCTTGATCACAGCAGCATTTATTGGGTGTGTTGGAGTTGGTCAACCAGATCAGCTCAAGTAAAGGCAGACGGGTTAGCCACAAGAGCTGTGCTAATCAAATGCTCAAACGCGGGCCATCACGATCCTCACATGACGTCCGTAGCTGTGGCCGTAGCCACTGACAAAATGCCCTTTTCGGACCGAGTCCTACCATTCCTTTCTCCATGGCCTTACTTTGAGATTTACTGCCTTTATGTCAATCGCAAAAAGTAACAAAGTCCGGCTGGAATTAGCGTCCTCTACAGTCACAACGAGCTCAATAAATAATTATAGACTTCAAATAAAGTCAATTTTGGGGTCCACTTGATCTTTTCCGCTGTCCGGCTGCTATATTTGTCCATTTCTTGGAATGAACAACACGTGTGATGTACTTCCACCACTGACTGCGCTCCATGAGCAGGGTCTGTGGCGGCTGACCCGGGTGAGCCCAGAGAATGACGTCAGAGCTGATTGAACGGCACAGGGCTAACCCAAGTCATCCCCAGTTGAGCTAATCAAGCACACCCATAAAGGGAAAAAAGAAAATTCAACTTAGCGGTAACTCAGGTTGAACCCTGATGTCGCAAACCTCATGTTAATGCCTGATTTAATTTCACATTCTTCCCTAATAATGGTATAACTGATCTCTACATACTCACTGGATTATGCAAACACCAGTCACCATGCTGAAGCTTATGAAGCTGACTAGAGTTACGTAAAGTCCTCAATATGGCAACACTACATTCAACCCATACAGGCACTGATCTCCTGATAGAAATAAATGTATACACTACACTGCACCGACTTTGCATAAACTTTTGTGGTTGGAGTACAGAACTTTGAGTAAATACATACTTGTGGATGAAATCAAAACTAAAAGTTATTCCCCCCACATCAATAATGTTTTCGGTTTAACCCTTACTCTCTGAGGGTAGTTTACTGCATGTCAGTTGGTTATGCCAATGCCCTCCAGCTGCAGTTATTTGGCAGATAACAAGTCTTAACAGTGAAGGCTCCAATTGGCAGGAGTTGGAGGCCCTGGAGGGTGCCTGATACTGACCAGCTGGGGGCACTCACTTTGTTATCAGAGGACTCTCATTGTTCTCTGTGGCATGTATTGGAGTGCCTGTCCAGTTACCCTTGAAATGACATGGCAGATATTGGAGGGCCATGCAAAAAACATAGGAGATTTTCTTGAGGCACAATTGGCATGCATTGGAGGGTCAAGTAGGGTAAGGGTTAATGTGATACCTTTACATTTTGCAATAATCAACACATGTACTATTTTTCCCAACTCAATCTTTATACATACTTGAGTCCTGCTATTCCTTGCACCACCAAGTTGTCGCTGGTCAGAGTCCCCGTCTTGTCAAAGCAGCACATGTCTACTTTCCCAGCAAATGGAATTCTGAATGGCTCAGTACAATACACACCTATTGTCAAAAGAAAACGTTTAAGAAATTATCAGAACAAAATGCAAATGAAATACACAGTATCAATTCTAAACATAAAAGCAATGGCCGATAGTTTTGTTTTAGAAAGTCATGAAGCAAAATTGACTGACAGAGGAGTTTTGGCCATTTTCAGTAGACATGTAAAAATGACTTTAACTAAAATTCTGAAAGGAAAAAAATCAGCCAATTCATACCTGATCTAATCAGTGAAATAGCTTTCAGTGTTGCACAAATTGAAAACTGCTCATTTTGTCATTTAAAACCCACTGCCTCTTATAACCTCCAGTCAAATTGTTGAATCTCTAATCATGAAACCTTCAAAAGCATGCCATCTTCTTCAACAAATACTACTTGAATAATTTACAGACTAAAGAATGTCCCTTATCTTACCAAGTTTGCTGAGAGCCAGCAAGGAGGAGTTGACGGCTAGAGAGAGCTCTATAGGCAGCTCAGGGGGGACCACTGAGGTCAGGATCAGGGTACACTCCAGGAACAACTTGTACTTATTTCTGTCCGGGTCCTTGGAACCTGGCGATGAAAGGAAAGGATCACAAAAATTGGTGCCATTCATCACAGTTAACTGATGAGTTGAGTAATTGAGTAATTGAGTTAGCCAGTTCGCACCAGGATTATTTTGACAAGAACGGAACGAGGTGCGGGATTGCTTTTCACTCGACCTCAAGCAAGGCTGGTTGAAGCCATCACCCTCGGGCAGCACACTCATATTTCCGGCCTCGCTCGCTGCGAGCAGGTTGCTGACAGATATTTCCGGCCTCGCTCCCTACGTGTTTATCTGTCATCCTCTCCTAATACCGCGAAACATTTGCGTGTACACACGTCATCCGGCGCGACCACTGGTTAATTACAAATCAAATCAAACTTCACATCACAAGTCAGGTCACAGGTAAAAGGTCATGAACAATGACACAGAAATGCCTCTGTCACAGTTCATATGAATGGCTTGAAAGTTGACTTTAAACTGAATGACTTGTGGTGATGACTGCCTCCATTACAACTAAGTCATTGGCTACCAAAAACTGAGCCAGAAAATGCTCAAATCTGTTTAGAAACTAATAAACTTATAGGCATGTTATGTGCAAATGCAAGTGACTGAATTTTCTGGTTTCACTTGAATAAAATATTTATCAGTATTTGTCGTACTGCAGACTTGAGTGGTGAATCACAATGCATTGTTTTGGAAAGGTTTTAAAAATAAAGTCACAGAAATGTGGAAAGGCAGCATGAGCAAAAGCTACTTTCAATTGGCAACAAACTTCACCTCACCTTCAATCCACACATAAGAAGCTGCAGCAATAGCGAAGATCAGGAGAAACAGGATAAAGAGGAATGTCTCCAAGTTGTTGGCTGTGACTCTCTTGACCCCAAACAGGATTGTGCGCAGGAGCCGACCCTGAAAGGTCAAAGGTTAAATATATACATTTAAAAAACTGCCTTTGTGAGATACTCATTTGGAGAACCAAGAATGACCTATTCTGTTGCAATTCTTTGTGTTTAGTATTTTAGTACTTACAAACACAGCAGAAATCAATGTGAACTGCCAAGCAACTTTCAGTGACTCTTTAACTTCTTGCAATTATAATGTGGGTAAAGAACCATGTTGTTCTAAAACACTGCACCTATTAATATTTTATTTAGACAACCACATGAACAAAATTTATTCAATGTACTTTTCTGAACCTGCAATTCTATGTCCTACCCACAGGATGTGTCTGACCCAACTTGGAAACTTTTTTGCTATTGATTTCCTTCGTTTCCTGATGATGATCTCATTAAATAACTTATTTAAAATCTGATACTACATAAAGTCTTACCTGTGATGTATTGAATCCAGTGCGGAGAACATATGCAATACATCCATTGTCATGAGCTGGATTTGGAACAGAGAAATTCTAGTTATGAAACTCAGTAAAAACAATTTACTCAATCTACAATGACAACCACAATTTATAAACCCTTTTACGTCACACCGGTCTCCACATAAATATACAGGTGATCAACAAATAGATACAAGCTGAAAACCAACTGCCATCCATGTCAAAGCAACTTTACCCAGCCAAGTACTGGCAAATGTGGGAACTGATAAACTTGTGTACAATTTGCGTTGCATTTAAAGTGCAATGTAAATCCACACACACCTTTGAGTCCACTGGCTGACTTGCTGGGTGGAGAGTGCTGAACAACCTTGGTCCCACCAAAGATAACATGCAGCTTGCCGTATGTCTGTATCTCAAGGATGTCGCCTCCCTCGCAAGTCTCAATAGATTCCTTCGAACAAATCGAAAGTAAGAGACTAGTTAAACAAAACGTTGCTTTCCAAAAAGTTGAAGACTGTTTCTGTAATCCCATCTAGTCAACTTTTCCCCAGAAGACTTTTGTGAGGGTTTGTGGAACAACATCTATGGGGTAATACATCTGTGGGCTTACTTATGAAAGCCGTGTGAGGGCACTGTTATTGCATGTAGTAACCTTTTAGCACATTTCAAAGTAAGTCTTGCATACGCTAGTTGTGCACAAAAGTTTGGAATCTGCTATAAGCCTGCAAAAAATAATCTAGACAAAGAGCAGAAATTTAAGGGAAACATGTTCAGACATTTTCGTCCCTTCTATTTGAAATCATTTAGGTGAAGGGTGCTGTCATGGATCAATTTGGCAACAGTACCCAGTATTGGTATGTGTGGCAACAGCTGGTGATTACTATAGGGGAATGTGAAGGAGGAAGTTGAGAGTGTGGGGAAATGATAGGAATGAGATCCCAGAAACAGTGGTGAAGAAACATACTTTCCAGAACTGATAAGGGGAACATATAAGCTAGAGAAGGGGGAAGATAATTATTCTCTGACCATAACATCTGAAGTGACTCTGCTTATTTGTACCAAAATTTGTATTGTGAAGTTTGGACAGTATCACAGGGAAGATTTTCTATTAAGTCCAAGAAGAGGTGTACAATTAGAAAATTTGGAATGATCAAGGCGTCAAAACATTTTATGATTTCCCATCAGGCTTACCTTCATCTGTGGTACAGACTCGCCTGTCAGCATAGACTCATCCACAATACACTGTCCCCTCAGCAGAAGCATATCGCAGGGTACCGGGTTCTCGTTCTGTGAACGGCCAATGGAGCAGATGTCACCGGGTACCAGCTCATTGCTCATGATTGGGCGCCACTTGCGGTTACGGTACACCTGACACAGCAAATTAGAAGGGAAAGTTAAACATTTCTCCTGTGGAACACATAACTCCAATTTGATTTGAAACTCATTGCGAGGTACTGGTTCTTCACATTAACTTTTAAACGCCTATTTCAGACTGGTCGTCTAGTGTTGTGTTGAGCCAAAATGTATTTAGAGCAGCTCAATCAACCCTATACTAATAAAATAGACAGGCTAACTAAAGGAAGTAATTTTCCGATGACTGGACTGTGAGTCATTTAATCCTCAATAGTTGATCTGCTGCATTTAGCCACTCTTAACTGCTTTAAACATTAAGCTTAAATTCCAATCTTCAGAATTATCTAGTCTGGTAAGTATGAAACGGGATTTACTAGTTTTTGAAACTCTGTGTGGCACTACAAAATACCACAGCGTGATAAATTGTGGCATCTAAATGTTCTTTAAAACCATCTCTCTCTGGCTGGCAATTTCAACAAGGCCAGCCCAGCAGTCAAAGTACATCAAGTGACTGTTTTACACAGTTAAAAGCTCCCTGCCTTGATAAAGCAGGATTGACTGGCTATGGTTTTTATGAAACTGATATAGCTATGGTTTTACTGCAGGAGATTGATAAGCCAGCTGTGCCTACCAGTCACCTGCTTTTGTCTATTGATGGAATTTGACTGTCACAGTGCCCACAAGCAATCTGATCTGACTGTTGGTGACTAGTCTTTGTAAAAGGCGTGGCAGGGGAATAGGATTGAAATTTTGGCTGTTTGTGACTGATCAAACAAAAGATGGATTTTAACATGCATCTCACACAATAATCCAATACAGCAAGCACTACACTCTGTATACTGCTGTAACTACATACATGATGCATGACAATATACCACGTCTTTGTTACAACCTGTGGCATTAAGTGGTGCAAAAGTTCTTCCCTTCAAAATGATTTGTGGGGTGATGTGGCATACAAATCCTTGCATTGTGAGTGTGACTTTCCCAAAGAAATGTGGTGAGGTTGTGATGCCCAGAGGGGCAAAAGATAAAATAAAGAATTGATGATATTTGCGGCCCACCTGGATATGGAACGGCTTGTTTCCCATCTTCCTGATCTCGGCCATGTTTCTCAGCTGCTGCTGTACCAAGGTCGCTTCAAATGTCACCAGCATAAAGAGAGTGAAGATACTACATGAGCCAGGACAAACAAATACAACAATTAAAACCTCTTTTCATCAAGATGACATTATTAGCGAAAAACAGAAAGTGATTTTTATTTTAAAGTTTTATACAATTTTAACCTTTTTTTTTTAAATTTAGTCAGACCAATGTATCATATTTTTCAATGGCATGATTAATTCCCTCGTGATGTTTAGGATTGTTTTCAAATTTTACAAATATTCTTATATTCAATAGGTTAGTGAATGCGTGAAAGTTTTAGCAATAAATTTAGCATTTGCTTTTGCATTTTTTAGCATTTTCATTTTCATTTTCTGGACACTCAGGTAGAAAAGTGCATTGGAAAGTGATGGGCTTACCCTGGTAAAATTATTGAAAATAAACAAATAAACAATGATTTCTCAACGCAATAAATGCAGCAAAGCAACTTTTCAATTCATTTTGTTTAACAGGGAGAGCCTAGCTCTAACCTACCTGTAGTACCAATACTCATCCAGACACCAGAGACCAACACAGAAGACTTGGAAGACAAAGAAAGGAGCTGTGGCTCTCTCCTTGAACAGATCCTTGAACATTGGAGGCTCCATGTTGAGTCTGTGATAGAGACAAATTACATTGGAAAAGCTAACTCCCTTAGAAATTTGCACAGTGGCTCCTGGATCGTCCTGAGTCTCGTCTCTAAAACTGGTTGTTTGGTAAACAAAAGTAGTATGTGATCCAATCAGATGAGGAAAGTTGTTTTGAGTGCAGTGTACCCATTCATACTCCACCCAGTTGTATGAATGGGCACCTGTGTGGGTACAGGACCGAAATGTGCACTGATATCGGCTGCTGCGTAGTCTCGTGGCCTGATGAACGGGGGAATAATTGTAAAGCACTTTGTGATCGTTGAAACAATCGAAAGCTAGATATTGATAGCTAGATAGATATTGGCATTACAATTTTCTTTATTATTTAAAATAAAGAAAATTAATATAATTTTATTTTGTGAGTTGTAAGGGATGTACAAGTAAGCATATGATTCTAGATTGTTTACTTGGCCAAGGAAGAAGGGGGGTTCAGTACGATAGAAATTACTGTCCATAAGCTGAATTTTGAGAGGACTTGGGTAGCATACATTTGTGACCAATTCAGAAAATTTAACAGTAAAAATGTTGAACCAAAAGAAATTGAAATCTTACTGTATTTAAAGAGAAGAATTTTCTAATTTAGAAGTGTTTCTTCTTTTTTTAAGATGAGGTTGTGACAAAAGGTGTTGCACAATGTTCCGTTGTAATATATACCAAAAGTATTTTGAACCTGCACCAAACTGTTCATGTTATCGTAGTTACTATTTACTTACTAAAGTGTACAAACACACAATGGATAAAGACAGCGGACAAGGATAAGAAATAGACTTGACATGAATAGGACCTACTCATTGTCTCCATATTTGTTCTTGGCCTCAGCCACCTCCGTGTCCTCCGTGTAACCCTTCCAGGACTGGTACTCCCTGAGGGGCAAGTTTGTGGGGAACTGGACGGACTGGAACCTCTTCTTCTCCTCAGCATCATAGATGTACTTGGTCTTCTGGAAGATGAACCAAAGCTGTGGCTTGTTGTCCTCTTTTGCCTGGAGATGAATTCATGTAAAAAAATACTCAGCAATCATTAGCATTTAGCAACTAACAAAGAAGCAATTGTGCCTGAACGTCGCAAACAATGAAACAGTTCATACGGCTCACTTGCTTACTGAAGGAGTTCATTTGCAGATAATCTAGTCGAAGAATAAATGTTAGATAAACTATATCTGTTGGATAAAATATATCAGTTAGAAAAAATATATCAATTAGATAAAGTATATCTGTTAATCAAAATATATCAGTTTCTGATAGGTAGGAAGCTATGTGGCCAAGTAAATACTGCAGAACTATTTTCTATGTTATAAAACTCTCATACGCTAAATGTACCTTATCATTATGAAGCTTGATGATATCTGGGTATCCATTGTTTTCAGTGGGTACCACTTTGAGCCATCCTGCTTTGAAAGGATCATTTTCCTAAAAAGAAAAATACAACGTTAATAACAGGATGTCCAAAATCATCGGTATAAGACCTAGGAAAACATACAATTTTAAATTTAAAAAAAATAATATTCTCTTTTTTGGGGGGTGGGGGTGGGGGAAGGGGGAGTGTGGCCTAGTGTTTAGGGTTTGTGACTCATGATCAGAGGGTCAGGGGTTTGAATCCAGCCGCTGGCAATATGTTGTATCATTGGGCAAGCCACTTCATGACCACTTGCCTCTCTCCACCCAGTAGTATAAATGGGTACCCGCATTTAGCTCGGGAGTATCACTTTACATGCTTTATGTGTTTGCAATCAGGAAAGAATGTAGTATCCACTTTAGCGGTTGTGTACAAAGTATTTTGACAGTCAAGAAAATATTATTTGACCAACCAAACTAGATGGCGATAATAAGGACATAAGTGTATGTCATAGATAAAGGGCAGGGTTTTGAATTTTTGAGGGAAATTTGGGGGTAAAATGACAATGACAAAACGAAACACACAAAGAAAGATGGCGATCACCGAGCGATGTACCATGTGTGCCACGAGCACGCAGGTCACGCTGCACGGCACCAACCGGCCCGTAAATCGTAATTTCTACCCCAAGCAACTGTTCAAACATTATCAAGAAGGTGTCATTACATTGAGAGAAGTCTGCTTTAGGTTGACAATATCATATTTTAGAAATAAAAAAATTCTTGATTCTAATTTCATCGAAACAAAACAGGGGCCCCACATAGCCCCATAAATGTGGCCAATTTACTGGACTACCTCCGTAAATAAAGGCCACACTTCCACCATGTACAAAAACATGTCAAACTTTGTCAAATTTTGATTTTCACATTTAGGCTTAGTTTGCTTTCAAAGCATACTCGCCCTCTTTATAGGCTAATCAGAAAATGTCTATTTTTCGTGAAATTTCCAGATTCGTTTGCATACGTTTGCGAATCAAAATTTCAACATGAAATTTCACGAAAATTAGACATCTGAAAAAGGCAGCAGTCCAGTAAATTGGCCACATTTATGGGGCTAGGGCCCTACACTACACGATCGCCAAAAATAGAGGTGTCCTAAAGGTAAAGATTACCATTATTTCAAATGCAATGACTGACCTTTATTGAGATGATATATTAAGAAAAAAGTGGGGACAAAATGTTGCAACCTGACGCCACTTTTTCTTCTTCTTCCAAGTTCTGCGCCAACTTCATAATGTTGAAGACTAAGGCACATTGATTGTGTACAAAGTCTATGGAGAGTCAAGAAAGTTTTTTTAAGTATTTCCTAACGAAATTGGAAATGTTTCTCAGTCCCAGATTCATCATCATTTTTGCAATGAATGACCTTCACTGAGATGATATATGAAGAAATAACTGGCGTCAGGGTGCAACAATTTTTGGAAAGAATGTTGCAACCTGACGCCACTTTTTTCTTCATATTGTCATATATCATCTCAATGAAGGTCACTCATTGTAAAAATGATGATAAGACATGAATGATGAATCTGGGACTGAGAAATATTGTTAGGAAATACTTGTCTTGACTCTCCATAGACTTTGTACACAAGCATGACAAGCGCGGAAGTGGCGTCAGGTTGCAACATTCTTTCCCTGCAATAAGTTTCATATCAACCGAAACTGAACATATGGCTGGCCAGCGCCGCTCGACTTACCGTTGTACACGTGAGTGAACACCAGACGTGCACAGACCAATGGCAAAACAAGCAAACCAGTATCTGAACACATCCGACGATCGCTAAAGCGATCAAACCGGCTTCAAAGTACTCATTCACACCATAGACACCAACCCAGAAATACAGCCAAATGCTGTATAGAAAAATAAAGGGAAAAACGTAGCCATGGAACACCACAGGACGAAGATTGTGGAGAGAAATACTTTTGATTTCGTCGCTGATGGAAGCCGCCATCTTGGAAAATTACCCCCTTGCTTCTGTGAATTATAATTGCCAACACATTTGGAAGTCAAATGTGTTATTTAACAATTACATTATGTAATTTGCCATTTATGAATAAATATCAATTTGATTATTATTGCTATTAAATTATATTCTGTCCACTTATTTGTTGTCAGATGTCATTTTATAGGGACAAATTACTGGGAGCTAGGTAGTCGGAACCGGCGCGCCAATCGCAAGCACATATGCCGAAGCAAATGTAAGAGGGCAAGCGCGGCACTCCGGCGGCGGTGCAACGAAAACACCGATTTCATTCAAATCAGACTATGCAAATGGCATGTCACTTGTCATTCAACCCTCGAAGTTGATATGCTAATTGTACGTATGCATGGCCGGATCTGTGGAATCTTATTGTTTCATTACAGCGATGTAGGCCTAAATAACCTCTAGCGACGAGGGGGTGATCGAGGGGCCAGGTGGTGGGGGCGGGCCCGGGGGGGGGGGGGGTTCTAGGAGGCACGACCCCCACCCTTGAACCCCCCCCCCCCCCATTGAAACCCCCCCCTCTAGTCCGAGTAACTAGTAGGACTCTACGAATCACCTTTTTCTTCATTTGCACTTCGCTCGTCCCCACGTTCGCTCGCGTCCCCACGACCACGTGATGCGATGAGCTTCACAGAAAGTCATTATCTTGTGACTTGTGAAGGAAGTGACCTATGACCTGTATATAAAGCATCTGGCTGCAGCTGTTCAAGACAGCAGTTACCAATGGAATTCATCAGCTACCAATGGAACGTATAGAGCAATGGGCCGTCGGACCAATGGTACTTCGGACTATAGAGACGTCCCCGTTTGCAGGTCGGGGGATAACAAGCGAATATTTGCACATGGTCGAGTTGCCTTTTTCAACATTTAATGGACATGGTCTGGCGATCGCCCGACCATGTCCAAATGTTGAAAAAGGCGATTCGTACGTACAGTCCTACTTTACCTGGCACTTTGCATAAATTAGAAAAAAAAGGTTGTAATGTAAATGCCCACCCTCTAACATGCCATGCATTCAGCACGCAGTAGCAGCATCAGTACGTGCGTCGAATGGTCGAACTATGGTTTTGTCGGCCCAACAGCAATTCTTTGGTTGGGATGGTCCCAACTATGGTTGGACTATGGTTGGTTGGAACAGTACTCCCAACCATAATTTGGACCAATGGTGGGTGGGTGGGTGGGCAGGGTGGGGGGGAGGTGGGGGGGGCGCTTGGGGATGGGCGCTTGGGGATACATGTTCTTTATGTTTTATCATGTTTATTATTAATATGCATTCCTATTTTTTCCTATTGTCTTCAGGAATACATTGATGCTACACGTCATTAAAAATGTGAGTTAATTCAAGCCACAAAGGCTAAACATATTTATATTCATACCACCAGAGTACCCACTTAAAACTGTTTGCTTTTGTTGTAAATTTCCACTTTGAAAAACCTCCAACCCCAATTTTTTGTAAAAGAAATGGCAAATTTGTTTCTTTTGGAAATTTCCTGCTTCCTTCAGTTGTTTTAATCACCTGTTCTATAAAGTAAAATAAAATGTAGTATTGATTATGATTGTGTACTTTATATGCCCTATCCGTTTAATCCACCATTGTTGAAAAGCATCGTACATATGTTTAAATTGTTTTCCTTCTGATAGGGAGGCTGTCATAACTTTAATTATGAAATACTGTGGGACAGAGCTGGATCTGTATGGGCAGTGTGTCAACGACCATCCTAAGGACTGGCAGACGGCATGTGCTGAGCTGAAGGAAAAGGCCTCCAACTGCTCAGATCATCAGTGAGTCTTTGCGTGCATCTCTGTGGAGGAACTGTTGAGAGTGACATACCACCTGATGGCACATTATGTGGCAGCGGAAGGGGGTTGGGTCACTGGGCATTTGCCCCACCGCTTTTTTAATTGAAAGCTTTCCTTGAAAGCTCAATACAATGTATTGTATAAAGTAAGGCTGTCACAAGCCAATATGGCCCATCAGGCCGGTGTTTATCTTCAGTTTCCTTGTCATGAAATGCCTGAGAATATGTGTATTTCCCCCCTGGATGCAATGCCAGTCCATCATAGATTACTCCCCAGCAGGTACCCATTATAGTACTAGGCGGAGAGAGGCAAGTGGGGGTGAAGTGGCTTACCTAAGGACACAATATATGGCCAGCAGCTGGACTCGAACCCCTGTCCCTCTGATCACGAGTCACAAACCCTATTATAACCACAAGGCCACATTGTCCCACCATGCATTGTGACCTTCATTAACTGGTGAGGGGAAGGGGAGTGAACCCTCCTGCTTGAGGTCTCTAACCCTTCCCCTAACCAAAGGCAAAAGTCGGCTTTCTGTTGTTGAAAACCCAGCTTTCTGTTGTTGAAAACCCATTGAGTCCCCCCTCCAGAAAATGAGGTCCAGCTGACGACACCTGCAAAATTGAACCCCAGTTATATTGCCACTGATTACCATTATCTATGCTTTGTTTTCAGTCCAGTAGTTCGTCAGATCAACCGTGACTGTGCAGTAGAGTTCAGCAACTATGATACGTGCCTCAAAAAGAACCCGGAGGATGTCACAGTGTGTGTGGACCAGCTACACAAATTCTTAAAATGTGCTGATACATCTGCCCACAGAATACAAAATGCAATTTTTGAACAATGTGAGTGTGGTCTTTATCTATTTGACTCGCCAAAACATACTTTCTAATTTTGTTTAACTTGAAAGTTAAAGGCACTGGTCGTATTTAATATAAAAATTCAAAGAATATAGAATTTTGTGGAGCTATATTTGACTGGCGTACAGAACTGCATAGACTACTTTGTGGTGATTCAGAATGAGATTTCCAGTGCAGGAAACCTGGAAATCAAACGTCTGACCAACTTTTTCTGCTTTTTATCTTGCGGAAATTGCGGAATTCTTTAAACCTTTCATAAGTAAAGGTCATGATCTGAGTATTTCACACGCTGATATTGAGGTCTCATTTGAAATTTGAAACTTTCCTTTAACTTTATGCTACAATGAGTGAAGCAAAATCATTTGAATTAGACTGGACTGGCAAGATCAAGAATATAATATGCAGTAGTCGGGGGGCAAGACCTACTTATGAAATGTACAGAAGCTGGGACATGGCACCAGAGTTTCTTTTGACTCGCCTCACGTATGCAATACTGAAGTTGCATTGGACTTATTTTTTCGTCACTGGTCTATTTTTTGAATCGCATTCGTGCATATTCAGCCTTTTGTTTTGGTTTAGTTTTTGGAACACAGTTTCCAGAGTCTGAGATTACCATGCACAAATTGTCAATAAAGAACATTCTTGCAGTCATGCAATTGCTTTTTCAGATTTCCTAGCAGCATGGCATTAATAATCTGCTCATTTCTGTTTTTTGTTCATCCAGCTAAACAAGATGGAAGCCACACGTCATGATGAAACCCTACTTCAGCATTTTATGCAGGTTACATATCAAACTTCTCTGTACTTTCCAGCTTCCAAAACATACTGGGTATTCTGTATTTTTGAGTAAATATATAAATAAGTTGCAAGTGATTTGTATAAAATGTATACGGGTATGTCACAATATAGTGTGTAATTTTGCATTTTGGAATTTAGGACAGATTTGTGGGAATTTTTCTACAGTTCGCAGAGTTTCTTTGGTCCTCACAACCATGGAACAAGTATGTTAGTTCAGGCACATGTAAGAAGTATCAACATGTCCTGGTACAACAGTGTGTACGCACTTTGTTGTTGCACCATTTGCCATTGATGGTGACATATTGGGCCATATTTAAAACCTGTACTGAGAACGGGGTTTTGAATAATGAGAATCAAGGTGCTCGCTAACAGGATTTTCACTCCCCACTTTATGTCAAACAAAGATTGCGGACCCCAACACATTTAGCGTTAATTTTTTGTGCATAAGATTCAAAGCACTCATTCAGTGCAGGAGGAATGATAAAAAAATAAAATTGTACGTGAGCATACTAGATGTGGCTTGCTTTGCCAATTGTTATAGCTGTTCCAGGACTTAAAATATTTTGGTAAGATCGTTATTATTTTTATTATTATTAATCATTTCTGGTAATGAAACCAAGGATTCCTCAAAAGCGCCCTAGGCGCTGTAGCTCGCAAGCCTAAGGAAACATGTGGAGAGAAGACAATGAGAGGAAATTACAGTTTTAGAGGTGGGAGGAAAAGCCCAGAAGAATATTCTGGGGAAAACCCACAGAATCAGGTAGGTACTGAAAACGCAATCCACATACGCACAAGGGCGTAGACATATAAACAGTGACCCAAAAACATTGTTCGCAGGTCACTCGAGAACAGGGTTTGAGTACCCTCTTAAAATATACATGTCTAAGTTTTGAATTGCTTTTGTGTGTACAGCTATACATGTAATTATGTTTCATGACGCATACAAAATGAACCAAGCTATCTGATGCAAATTATTTTTTAAGAAAGTTTATTTTAAAAAAAAGGTAAAAAACAGTGGAAAAATATTTATCTACATTTTTTTAAAACTCAGACCAATGTTTTACATACTACACGACAAATACTTCCATTTAAAGCAACAACAAGTTAAAGATGTACTTCGATCTTATGAATTTAGCCAATTTTTTCAAAACCTCAGTAACCAAATTTTCAATAGTTAGTATAGGTTTTAAATCAATTTTCCTTTGGCACCGAGAATACATCTTTCAATTTGTTTACTTCAACCTAAAGTGTACGAACCACAATTACTGTTTTTTTTACTTCAATAAATAATTTCCTAATGTTGTATTCATGCTTTCTATAGGCAGTTTTTTAAAGCAGCAATTATATAAAATGTTTGATAAAGTAGAAGATATTTGTTCTCAATTTTACACAAAACACAAGATTTCTAAAAAGATATTAACAGTAAAGCAAGAAACTTATTTATTAACTTATCCGAAAAGTGATAAGAATGATGCCTAATAAAAAGGTGTTCTAACATTTATGGTTAAGTTATAATAGGATTTTGGCTTCGGAATATTGCTTTTTAAAATGAATTGCAAATATCTTGGAAACAAATATTAACTGCATAACTATTGCTTATGAAGTTAAATACAATATTAAAAGGGTTGTTAAAAATATTTCTTTTAATTGGACAATTTACACAACAGCATTTTCTTCAAAGACATTTGTAGTTAAAATTCACAGTCAAAAATAGAGCATGTAGCATAACAATTAATTAAAATCCTCGTAACTGGCCAGTTTTCTAAAGTCGAAGTTGGACTCAAAAATGCTCCCTAAGTCTCTCATTTAAAAATCTATTACATACTAAAAGTCGAAGTAAGAATAAAAAAATAATTTGGACATTTATAAAAATATACGTCATATCCAAGATCCTTTAAAACAATTCATTGAACTATGCTTGGTTTGTCTATCATCATCATCGTAAGTGATGTTCATGCTCGCATTGATGATGACATGTCACAGTCATAGAAGTAGCGTGACAATTGTCACAAGCCACCACTGCGACCACCTTCATGGTCCCAGTGACGACGGTGACAAATTGCCATCGTCTACTTAATTTCAGTCACAATCTTGATCCTTCATAAATACACTGAAGGAAAATACTCCCATTAGCCATGCAACAAAGGAGTGACTAAGTATCACCAAATATAACTCGGTCCTCTCTTATCGCTATAAGGTAAATAGGAGTACAGTGTGTCAATGTTTGGCTTGCCTTCCAACAAAATGAACTGCTATCATTTGACATAAGCTGCTAAAGGTCAGATATAAATGTACATTTGAAAGACGAAGTCAGAAGTTTGTTGATTTGCAGTTCAAGTTGAGGAGGCAATTGTCCAACCTTATGTGAAGCTTTCCGTGTTGGAGTCCCAGTAGAACTGGGCTCGTGGTATTCGGAAGGACGACTGGCGTTCTGGCAGCTGGGCAGTTGGCCTACGGAACGACTGATCCTCCTGTCAAGAAACAACAGCAATTGCATTCAAGAATTGTTACTCTCACAAGAGGCTATATTACACAAGTTTGTTTTAGAGCCTGCTTACCACCTATCTATAAAGGGGCCACCAGTTTATTGTTAAACATTAAGAACTCTTCCATGGTCTTATATAGAAGTACATTGTTTATGCCCTATTTGCTTAGAAATCCGTAATTTTCTACATTATTCTTAATATTACATAAATAGTTCAACAAAAAAATAAAAGTGATGTCTCAAGCATGTGAGAATTCTGAAATTAAGTCCAAATTTCAGTCTTATGTCATTGCATTTCTTAATTATACATAATCAAAATTATGCATCCAATCCGATTGCTTTAAAGTATATCCACACATAGGTTTTTCTAGCTGAGCAACTACTATTGCTATTATTTTTTTTCCATTAGTAATATTGACAAAATCTACATTTTCTATGCAAATTTTGCTTAAATAAACATGAAGTTGCCCTCATCCAAATGGCAATTAGTATTTCCAATCCGAACAAGAATTACAAGAGTTTTTTTCCAAAACGCGATATATCCATTTGAAAAAGTGAAACATTTTCACAGTTATGAAACTTAAAGAATAGAAACAGTATAACAGCTATTTCTAAATTTCATTTTTCGCTTTAACCCTCACTCCCTAGCATGATTTACGAGGCCGAAGAACCATACCCATCCTGGCAAATTCCAACACCATATGGGAAACTGTACACACATATTTCTGACTTTGATTCTGGAGGTGTGCCAACCCAATGTAAAAGACTTCAGGGGTACTGTACCCATCCCGACAGATTCTAACCAAACATTTCGTTGGGGTTTGATGGGTTGAGCTCTCTAATGGTTAGTGTATTTGTAAAATGTGTTTAAATTTATAAAAGTCGTGGAAATTTTTGCAGACAGGAGACTAAAAGGGAACAAAATGGCGTATATCGCATCTGGAAATCAACTCTTCAATTACAAGAAACCTATTGAACCAAAAAGCTGCCTGAACTTTAACTTACCGGATCTCTGTGGACTTCAATTTCAGCAGCTTCTCGGCCGGTGGCAATATAGGGACGGACAAACTCCTCCTGACTGAGTCTTTGTGGCTCTTGAGATATCATACTGGATATTCTGGCCCTCATACGCTCCTGTGATGAAACAAGAACAATTCACAGTTGAGTAATTCTTTTCTTGTCAGTTTAGTTCTTTTCAAGGATGTTATTTTGTGAATTTTAAGATTTTATAAAAGTTACCTTGAGCATTTTATAATTAGCTATGCTTAGAAATGTTTCAGTCCCTTTTATGATAATTTACCCCAAGAAACCATTTTTGAAAGAAACAATGGTGGTAAAATGGAATTTCAGACTCGAGACACTCCTTTGTTTAAACTTGGGACCTTTGCTAGAGACTTTTTTCCCCAAATGAAGCACCTTTTTGATATGGTACACTGCATTGTAATTGACATGCAGGAAATGTGAATCTGAAGCTGATTCAGACAAATTCTGCAGATGTGCTTAAAGAAATATTGCATGAAATGTTGCCTGGTTCTGACCAAATACAAAGGAAAAATTTAAGCTATCTGTAAGTAATAAATTGAAGTTATTTTGGAGGGACATGGTCAGTGAGTGGCTATCAGCAAACTTACATTCAGATATGGAGACTGAGTGATAACATTGGCAAGATGTCGCATTCGGCTTTCCTCCTCGCTACGCTGGCCGAGAGACGCAATAAAGCTGCTGCTGTCGCTGAAGGACTCGTTGTCAACCCCGCGGTACTCATCCGGCTGCAGATACCCGCGATACTCGGAGATGCGCGTTGCACCAAGCGGCGGGTTGTAGATGACCTTCATGCGGTCGGACGGGCCTCGGAAGTACTCCAAGCGACGGCGGTCCGCAGCCTGTCGGCGGCGCAGCATCACCAGCATGCACAGGCACATCAGGATGATCAGCAGGACAAAGGCTGCCATGCCAAGGGCAATGCCTATAATCTGGAGTGTTGTCAGGCCTCCTAAAGAGATGGGGAAAATATACCAATTTGAAAAATCAACTCGGTCTATAGCAAGGTAGATTCTGGTAATTTACAATAAGAAATCCCCAGATTAGTGAATTATGACTTTCGATCTCATCTAAAACCCAAGGGGCAAACCTAAATTCTTCCGAAAAGAAATGTCACTTCCCAAAATGCAAGACAGACATTTTCTATTTAATAAATTTAAAAAAACTAAAATAGAAACAACCAAATTTTGTTCATGCATCTGCAAACAAGCTCTTGTTCCACATCGAGGAATTTTACCACATCCAGTGTGCACAGCGAGTATTTATTACTAATTTATTGGTTCCATATTTAAGAAGTTCATGATTGCTAAGTAATTCACCTACACAGTCTTCATTTTAACTACCCTTCCCTGAAAATATTTTTTACAATTCACCCTGATTTCAGACACGATTTCAGACAAGCTTAATTTGAATTTGTTCCAATCACTTCAAAATTTCTTTTCCTGGCCAATTAAGACAAATTGTTTAAAAGTCTTACCTCCTGGTGCTATTGTTGTCCCTGGTGGTGCTGTCGTAACTACTACTGGTGGCTCCAGGGTAACGGTTGCTGTTGTTGTGACTTCTGGAGGAGGTATTTCACATCTGCTGCCAGTATACCCTTCAATGCACCTGCATTGAACAAAGATTGGTAAAGAATTGTTGCAGTATAATCACTATATAAGATAATCTTCAGTAATGGTTCTGCTTTTTGGGCGCGAGGGATGTCTGTTAAGGACACAAACCGGTTTATTTTTAAGGCTATCATAATACTGAAAAAAAACTACTCTTGATTTAGAAGAGGAAACATGGTGTTGATATGCACAATGGTAATGGTGAGAGGGCCAGAAAGAAGAAAGAGCACTCCTGACTGCACATGCAATGAGTTTAGGTGATTTTGGTGATGCTGAACAGTCATTCTAAATGATTACATGAAACAGTAAAAGTTATGACAAGAGAGCGCACAGTCATTTCTTATTCATTGCCAGTTCTTTGTTCATCCTCCAGAGTTCAAATTTGTTTCTCAAAGCCTTCCAAAACAAACAGGTCTGGCTTGTATAATACAGGAGTGATGCATTGTGACCAAACTGATTTATAAACCAAAAAGGATTAATAGGCCTATGAGAAAAATAGCAGCCCGGTACTTCTACCGCAACGATCGAGTTTGCATTTCTTGAGAACTGACGGAACCTACTGAAATATACTAAAACTACAACAAAGCCTTAGGTGCAGGAATACTTACGTGCAGTTCCTTCCATTGTCTCCAGTATTGTGGCATGTACCACCGTTCAGACAGTAACCGTCTGTGCAGGCGGGATTGATGTCTAAAGAAAATGAAGAGAAGTCATTAGAAATTTTTTTGTAAACCTTTTTTCCAGTAAACTATTGTGGTAAATCATTACAATAAGCCTCGATTTGTACTAATGACGTCACACTTTGTTTACGTGTGTGCTTTCCTATGGTGCTCAGTGGACCGTGGGCCCCCACTGGCTCCATAGGAAAGTGCACATGTAAACAAAGTGTGATGTCATTAGTACAGAGGATTATTGATCATGTAAATTGTTCGTGTTTTCACGGAATGGTTGATGAATTTGAAGGATTTTTCAACCCCACTTCCAAAACTGAAATTTATCCTTGCGTTCTTTCAAATGCTTCAGCCTATGTAGGAAAAGTGAGAGAAAAAATCTATAAACCTATAAGACTGGTGAAAAAAATCAAACAATATTGGCGAGCAACTTGTATGTGACGGTGGCAATTTAATGAGCCTTTCACTGGTAAAATGTCATGATTTATGTCAACAAACAATGTTTGAAAATTAAGCTTACCAGAGATAACAATAGACGATGGTGCCAACGTAAGGTTGCCTAGTGTTGTTGTGCCCGACACAATCACGTTCTCGTTGTCTAGTTGGCTCATAAAAAGCCGCTGGAGCTGGTCACTGCTTGCCAACACGCCGTCGGTGAACACCATCAGGAAGTTGGCCTGAGTGCCTTGGTCGACCATGGTGAAGTTCACCACTTGGCAGTCGTAGTAGAAATCTTGCACAAGGCGTTCTAGGAGGATGGTGTGGCGGACCTGCAGAGGGAAAGCGATGAAGCAAATGAATTCTGACGGCCAGAATGGTAAAAAAAACTTTACCACCTCCACACTGAGCCAATTGTATCAGTGTCGAGCTGATGCGGTGGTTTCTTTCCCCTCGGAATTCAAATTCAATTTATTCAATGTCTACAGTGCCAATGTTCAGTGTGGAAACAAAATAAACTGCAAAATGCAAACTCAATGGACATCACAAGAAACTTGGTGACTACAGCTTCAATTCCACAAAGGACATTTGCTGTGAATTTCCTTAAACATTAAAGCAGCTTGACCACCTGCAAGCACAATGGTCAAGCCGTAAGAATCTGTACCAATAAGCAGGGGTTCGTGGATTCACGTCCCACCTGAATAATACTGTGAATTTTTCTCTATACAGTGTTTATGAAAGTTTGCAGGTGGAGGGCAAAACCCGATGTTGATAATGACAGAGTTTTTCAGATGGTTTCAGTATAATCTTTTCACAGGCCTGCAGTGCAACTTGCTATGGAAACTTGATTATTATAGCCAGAAATCTATGGTCCTTCTTAACCTAACATTGGGCGTGATGAGACAGAGTATATTGCTTCGCATACATATTCATCTCAAAGCACAATCACACACTGCAAAATATTTCCATAGGACTTACCACACCACAGACCCTTAGACTAAGGTCCAGGAATTCTGGAGATGTTGGATCACTCAGTGCAGGGTCAAACTGCGCATCCCCTGCAATCCTGTCGACCTCATAGATGTCGAAAACTCCTTCGTATGTGATGAACACTGAAAATTGACACAAGAGGTTATGTGATTTTCAGAGGATTTTGTGATTTGTTCTTTTGATTTTTTAATATCATACAGGAGTCTTATATAGCGCACATATCTACCAACAATTAGGAACTCAAGGCGCTGGTAATTATGAGTATTTTCTAAAGATAGGTGAATGAAGTTAATGGAATAAAACATCCGTACTAATCGACAGAAGGTCATGAAGTGCAAAAACATATACATGTGTATGCCACTGGCTGCTTACAAGCTAATTAAGCCAATTAAGCATGATATTCTTTATCTTGTGGATGCCAGGGACACTTTTCTTTCAATTCTGCAATTCATCATTAATAACAGTATACCTTTTCAGGTCTCTGAGTGCACTCTGTAATCCAACCAAACAAGTCTAAAACATTTTTTAACTTTCCAACAGTTCAAAGACATACAACACACTGATGCCAGTTTATAATTGGAAAAGCTCATTTTTTGATCCATTAAGTGATCAAAGAACACAACAAATTTGTACTATTACTAGCTCAAATTCATTGATAATAAAAACATTAATTGTTACTCACAGACACACGTGTCTCCAACCCTCTGGAAGCCATCCATGACTCGACAATCACAGCTATAGCTGCCAGGCGAGTTGACACACACCTCTCCACGTCCAGTGCATGGGGCGGACAGACACTCGTCAATGTCTGATGAAGAAAAAAATGTTAAAATACTGATATTTAGTTTGAGCAATAAGACTTTTGTCGTAGAAGTTCATACACACTGGCAGTGTAGCTTGAATCCCAAAAATCATAGGTACTTTTTTCTTGGCATAATGGACAAATCTTTTTTTTTTTACATGAGTTATGTCTAAAGCATGTTTTAAATATCAAGGATACATTAAAAGCTTTCCTTCTGAAAAAAATATTTCTTGTGAAATATTCCTATTTAAATGTGTATTGCTTATCAGTATCATGCAACTGACATTTAAAAACAAATACCAAAACTTCAAAGCTTGTATGTAAATCTTGAAATCTGACTTTTACATTTTTATCAAGCAGGAATGTATCATTTCTTGAAAATCTTGACAATGCATATTGAATTGTGAAGACATTGATTAATAAAATAAAAAATATTCTTGGCTTCATTTGTTTCAGGAAGCATTCTGAAAAGAAAAAGTTTACAAGACAAACCTGTGCAAGTGTCATTTCCAGAGCCACTCCATCCATCTTGGCACATACAGGTATGCTGATCACTGATGCCATTAAACACACAAGCAGCATTTTCTCCACACTGGAATGTGCCTTCTTCACATGGGTTGATGACTGTTTAGGCAAAAATACAGAGTTATTTGCAAGAACTGGGGCGGGACATATTTTGTGGAGAGTATGTCTAGCTATTACATTTACTGAGGTGGTGCTATAAGATCAGTCGTTTGTCGTAATTTGAACCATTTCAAAGTATGGTTCTTTCTGAGCCAAATAAAATAAAGAAAATGAAATGAGGTAAATGGCTGTTATGCGAAGGTAGTTATAAGTTGCAAACTTAGTATGTTTGTTGGCGTCTAATCTGTGGATAATATACACAGCACTTAACACAGCAAGACTCACTTAAGTGGATGTGTGAATATTTGTAAAGAAATCTGTGCAATAGAATAGCTGTATGTATAAAAACCTTCAAGTACTTCTTACAAAAGAAGTTTGTAATTAAAGGTAGGGTAGATCATTTGTCATTTGTGGGGTTTTTTTTGGATTGAAGCAGCAAAAAGGCTCAAAATCTAAAGACGGGCGCTTAACAACTAACTTGATGAAGTTTTTGATCTGTGACTGCTGTATATTCTGAGAAAACAATATTTAAGGATGTCAATTTCAATTCAAAAGTTGCTGAGTTTTAAATTGCGCCTAACATCAGCATCTGGAACACGTTCTCATACAGGCAATTACAACTACACGATTACACGCACTGAATCGATGAATAATAGCGACCGCGCTTATGCGCATTGCGTCCAGGCTTGCGCGCACCTGCTGACTGATGCAACGAAAAACAAACCACCTAATAATGGAAATTTCCAAAAATGTGTCACTTGATGCATCTTTGGAAATAGCCTTCTTTTATTGTTTTCTTCAAAATAACAGCATGCCAGAAAGAATAATTTCACAGGGAGTTTAGTGTCATTGCTATCTTTATACCATGTAAGCTTTTCAACAATAATTTCGTAACTAATTTTGGATAGCTGCAAACGATTTACTCTACCTTTAAATATCAGGTTTAGACAGTTACTTTCAGTAAACAAATGTGTTGTACGTACTTGGATCGCCAACAGCAAAGCTAGTGTTGTAAACCTTGCTGTTTGGTAGAACCACGTTTCCAAATCTCCCAGTCAGTTGGCTCACAAAAGCGTCTATGATTTCCATGTCGGTGACAGAGGAGTTGGGCAGGAAGGTCAGTGTCATAATGACCCTGGCGACCTGGCCAGCCATGGTGATGGACCTGACAAAGACCGACTGGTAGTCACGTAGCATGCTTGCATTGAAATGAGCATCCAGCTGCAAGGATGAGATTCAGATAAGTTTATTACTGAAGCTGAAAAACCTTTACCACTACAAAACACCCAAAAAATTTCAGGACAACCATGCACCTTTTCTGGGACAAGAACTACTATTATGTTTCAAGCTGATGCAGGATGTAAAAGTAATACTTTTCAACCGTTTGCAAACTATCTTATGTTATAATCATGTGGCCAATGGTTTCTTAATAATTTTATGTTGATTTTGTTTTCATTGTGATTTTTTAAAAAATACTTGTGCAAATGTACAGACACCTGACTCAAAGTCTTTGAGCTTGCATTACCGTATTGAATCATTTTGCACTGAAATCTGTGAAAAAGTACACCAGGCTGCTTACAGCCTTTGAAATTTGACAGCCAATGAGAGGGGTTTTTTTTGGGGGGGGGGAAAGGAAAGAGAGCAATAAAATGTACCTTTTTATGTTCGAAACACAATATACTTACATCTGTGGATAGGGGAATCTGGTAGACTGTTGTGTCATTATAGTAAAAGTATAAGTCGTTAACTTCAAAGCCAATGATGTCCGTAAACAGCCCATACACAGTCTTTGATACACCGGCTGTAAGAAAATAAAACACACGGTAAATTTTCACTGCGTTACAAATTAGTACTCATCACATGGTATTGTTCTGATAAAATATTCTACTACCCACCACCAACATTGTCAAACTCAGGTATTTTTTTGTGCTCCATAATCTGCTTCTCTGATCAATAATCGCAAGTAATTGCAATATCACAATAAAATTAAAAAGAAAAACAGGAGTTTAGTTTTGAATAATTTGCAAACCAAAGTTGCTGTTTGGTGGAACTGATTTTAAACCACAGCTGGAGTGTCCATTACGATTTTTTGTATAATTAAGTCTACTAAAGAGAGTATTGAAATGTAATGCAATAGACTTAATAGGATATATGTATGCTTGGCCTGTTAAGTACGTTTAAAACTGGCTATGCTTGGACGCAGATATTGGCCCAAGCCAAATCTCATTCACAATACTTTTCGATCAAAAAGTTAAGACAACAAATTCAAAAATTTCCAATTATTTAATTTCACTTTGTTTTGTGAAACACCCCTCTGGCCATGTCTATGGTATGTGTCTATGTGCCTGGCAAGTGTAGTGCTAAAAATCTTCTTATAATATGGAAATTGGCACGCACGTGGCATGTACTGCACGATGTGGCGCAGAATGCACCAGCGTTTTAATCAGCAGCTTAAAAACCATCCACGTGACATGCTCTAGACCAATAGGAATTGGTAAACTTTTTCGGGTAATTGTGAATAAGTTATATCAATAGCTTCACATTATCTGTTATACCTGTAGAACGCCATGGTCCAGTGGTTACTGTGTTTGACTCATGTACGAAGGTGCATGGGTTCGAACCGTACCAGGAACATGGTGTTTGTGCCCTTGGGCAAGACACTTAACTACAATTGCCTCTCTCCATCCAGGAGTATAAATGGGTACCTGTGAGGGTCGAGGACCGATTGAGTGCTGATATCGGCTGCCGCGTGGTCCCATGGCCTGATGAACGGGGTAATAATTGTATAGCGCTTTGAGATTGTTGATACGATGGAAAGAGCTATATAAGCACAATTATTATTAGACCAACATACCTGTACAGACACCGTAGAGTTCAAAGTAGCCAGTTCTGCACACACAGCGGTAGCTCCCGGCAAGGTTTTGGCAGCGAGTGTTGACTTGCGTGTCACACGGATTGGTCTGACACTCATCGATATCTGCAGGAATCATAACAGAATTGTATAATTCGTGAATGAAAAACTTTAGACGTTCAAGTCACTCTCATTCTCACAATGAGCAGTGATGGTTTGAAAATAAGTCCCTATATACATACTGTACCGGAGAGCAGTTTCATTTTCATGTATAAATCTGCTCTCAGTTCAGGTGGTAAAGTGAAATTTCGATAAGTCAAACCTCAAGGGAACAGGTTCAAAATTTGACTAATGCAGATCGAGTTTTGAGTTCAGCAGGGTTGTCACTGTTATACTACTGAAAGAAATGGATTCTTTGTTTGACTTAACAGTTGTTTTGAGTTATCAGAGTTTGACGTATCGAGATTTCAATGTAGTTTACATTTTTGTACAGCTCAGGGTCTCCCTGAACAAATAATGGCTTTCCTTCAATCTACCTCCAAGCAGAGAGAAAAGGTGAACTGCTTGAACAGAGTGTGGGGCTACTTCAGCTATTCTTAAGAAGTAAACAACTTGTGTACAAACTGGAAGTTTGACTCACCTATGCATGCGCCAGCCGTTCCCTGGTAACCATTTCCACACATACAGGTGAAGCTGCCAAAGTTGTTGATGCACACCTCCTTGACCGAGTCGCAAGTATCCGTTTCAAAGGTGCACTCGTTAACATCTACATGTGTGTGGAAATAAAAATGAGGAAATATTACACAAATACGAAAAAAATGGAACAAAATAGTGAGAATAAATAGAAGAATGAGAACCAAATACTGGCAAGGTTTTTGGCAAGATCAGTGCTACAGATCATGACAAGTAATCCACAAATTATGGATCTGTTATAGCAGGAAACCTCGTCCCCAGGGTGTTGAACAGTACACGCCCATCACTACCTGCTCTAGCTCTCACCTGGTATTGGATCATTTGCATGTGCAAGATTTTTGAACACGTATGCAAATGAGGAATAGTCTGGTGCCTGGTTATGCGTTACATTAGCGTTTGTTTTGTATGCGGTGTATGGGGTAAAAACAGAGTCAGTTCGTCGCAGCGCGAGCACGGCGTGAGTTATGAAAACACAATTTTTAAAAAATTAAACTGTTACAATCTTCTCGAGGCAACATGCAGTATCACATTTCATATTAATATGAACAAATTAGAAAGGAGATAAGTATTTTCGAGAAGGCGGGGACGAATGATCGCGAAAACATGTACTGCACGTTGTGAATAATAACACCAAGTACACGATAAAAATCCATTACTAGCTAATTGCAATATCGAATCAGGATACAGGAAGAAAGTTTCCTATCCAGGGCTTACTATTGGAAACCAGGTTGGAAATAAAGTAAGCACTGGGGACGAGGTTGTTATAGCAGTACTTCAGTAATATCTCAAATATCAGTATTCTGCTGAGTAGCTTTTTGAAGCATGAGGTAGCATCCGAATTGCTTGTCTGGAGCTATTGTCTAGATCCTCGTCCATTGCAACTACATGAGCAAGTGCTCATAATAGGCATAGCTCTGGAGGCATGTTCACGACACAGCCTAAGCCGTGCAAGCACCCAGAAATCTGCAGCTTACCTTCACACTCTCTGCCAGGGGAAAAGCCATCACTTGTTACATAGCCATCTCGGCAGCGGCACGTGAAACTTCCGTCGACGTTGATGCATGTTGACAAGGGATGACAGTCATTGAGATTCTGCGCTTCACACTCGTCAACATCTGGAAGGAAACAGGGAAATCAAGAACACTGATATTAATCTTATAGATCATGTGAAGAACTGTGTCTCCAACAAGATGGCTGCTTAAGCCCTTGACGCCGGGATTATCATGCCTCACTTTACCGGCTTACACGCATGACTGCACAGCAGCATTTGTCCGGTAGCAGCTTTGGGTCGCATAACACGGCGTATTACAGCTTAAAACAACATACCAGGCAGATTAGCAAAAAGCGGTCATCGCCGTCAGCCCGTGTATAGGGTTTAATATGCAAGACTGTTGAATTTGGTAGGCCCTATAGGAATCTTCACAAGACTCACAGTGGTATTTCTTTCGAAGAAATATTTCATACAGCCAAGGGCGGATCCAGAACACAATTTTGGGGGGGGCCAAAAAAAATGTTGGTCCCCCCAAAAAGTGGGTCTAAAAAATTACGGCGTGGGGTTCGGGGCCCGCGAGGGCCCCGAAATTTTTTTGGATTCTAGATGCTCTGTGGTGCGATTTGAGGCAATTTCTGACCACTTTAACCAATTTTTTTTGAGGAAAAGATGGTGGTGTACTCATTGCCTGCCTTTATTGCGATGTCACATTAAAAAAAAAAAAAATTGGTTTCGTTTTGGGGGGGGCCATGGCCCCCTTTGGCCCCCCCCTGGATCCGCCCTTGCATACAGCAGGTTTTTTGGCATGATGTTTAACACAAGTTCTCTTGTAACCCAAGTTCACCATTACCACTCCTTGTGTGAGGTGTAAGTTCTAATATGGATGTCCTTAAAAAAGATGTTTGTTTACAAACGATTTTGCTAAGAGACTCCAACATCGAGACAGTACAGTTGGCAAAGTCCTGTCTGTTTTAAATATCTTGCATACTTTATAAAAATAATTGCTTTTATTTTGCAACATGTATGAAAATCGCATTTGCTGTACATATAGTTAAGTTGCTTAAAGTTATTGTGGGTGAAATGTTAAAAGATAAGAGTTGAAAAAAATATTGAAAAATGCCCTTATCTGAATATTCATGAATTAACAATATTCTCTGTGGACCACGTTTAATTTTTGGAAACGTGCTTGTGTTTATACCAGCTAATTTTTGAAATAGAACAGAAATGCTTCAGCTGGTACCAATTAAAAGCCCTTATTTTTCTCTTCCAATTTTACCTGAGCAGTTGAATCCAGTGCCGGTGTATCCACTGTGACAGGTGCACATGAAGCTTCCGATGCTGTTTGTGCACTGGGCATTAACGTCACAGGGGAAATCTAAGCACTCATCGATGTCAAAGCATTCTGTGCGAGCATCGCCGCTGTAACCCTCATTGCAGGTGCAGACGTAATCTCCCACTGTGTTACTGCACGTGCTGTTCCCCGCACAGCTACCAGGTATGTTGCATTCGTCGATATCTACAAACAGAAGTAAAACAAACACATTCTTTCTCCAAGTGAACAGCTTATTGAATTACGTACGTCTTTTCAAAACAGCTCATTAATTAAAACAAAAACCCACACAATCTGACCAAAGATCGTTGAAAATGGTAGAAGCAAAACACACAATGTATTTTCAGTACATGGTTGGCACAGCATCACTTTCAGACCTTTTAAAGACTGAAGCTTGCTCTCTTAATAGAAAAGACGAATCTGATGAGCTATACCTGTACAGGATGTTCCATTGCCTGAATACCCGCTGTTACACTCGCATAGATATCCTCCTGCAGTATTATTGCAAGTGGCATCTGCATGGCAGTCATCTGCACTGGCATCCGTAGATGGCAAAGTACACTCATTCACATCTTAAAGAACAAGGAGGAAAATTCAAAATGAATTTTACCAGTTTCAAAAATTTACACAACACACCATGATTTAAAGATTTAACTTGACAAATTCCACATCTGTTTTTTTTTTTTTCCCCCGACCGGTATTTCACTTAATAATTTCATATAAATTGGCCACTTCCTCATCCATTTATCCATTAAAACTGAATTCATTGTTCCAGTTCTAAAAACTAATTATTTGTACTGACCTGTCTTATAAATTGGCTTTGTTGTCATTGTCTTTGTACCCAAAGTTGGGTACTGCAAGCCAACTTCCACCCTACTCTTCATAGACTCATTGAAAGTCAACTTTCTGTTTCTGTAACCCGTTACGGTTTTTACAAATGGAGAGGGGTGCAATTGACACCCCAGTATAGAACAAAACAAATTGGCTTTGTCTGAATCATTTTTAAAGAAAAAAAGACCAGTTTTGCCAACTCGGCATGCACCTGACCATTTTGATGCACTGTATCTAACACTTTTGTTGGCCTAGATTTTACCAAATAGCTTACCAATGCAATTGCTTCCATCGCCTTCATAGCCATTGAGGCAGGGGCACAGATATGAGCCGGGGGTGTTAACGCACATGGAGAGACCAGTGCAGGTGTTATTGCCGACATCGCACTCATTGATATCTGTCCAGGTGAACAATAAATAAAATGATATGTTACTCAATAGATATTTTAGTAACAATATTTTGCCACGTGGTTCAGTAAGATAAATCCCAAATTCAATGAGAAACTAAACAAAATTATTTTCCTCATTATTATAAGTACCAAATTCATATTAACCCTCCTAGGCAAACATGCATTCTGAGCCATGCTGTTACTTCGGTCAAAATTGGTCAAGTGACCACTCGTGTGTTAAAAAATACCAGGGGAAGTGGAAGGAAAGTTTGACTGTTTGTGACCTTTTAAACAGCAGAGGGGGGATTTAATCCATGATGCTGGACCTCATTTCTGAGCCAGCGAGGTGATTGCAAAATTTAACAGGTGGTAATGCGAGGTTTACCTTAAAGTTTTACGAGGTTTTTCAGGGTACGTAACACTTGTTTAATTTTGAATTCTTCTCAAAATTAAATAAATCCATCCAAACAATCAAAGGGGACATAATTTTCCCTGTTTTAATATAGAAAAATAGATGAATTACTACTAAACGTAACTTCTGAAAAAAAAAAAAAAATCAGCACCCACCATTGCAGTCAGTTCCATTAAACTCAAATCCTGTCAGGCAATCACACTGGAATGAGCCCGCTAGATTGGTGCACATGGCATTCTCGCTGCAATCATTCAGTGAAGATGATGCACACTCGTTGATATCTAAAATACAAACATTAAGAAAAACAAAGAGTAATTCATCAGCTAACACTAAGCTTTTGAAGCTTACGCTAAAAAATTTGGTTTTGGATCCATCAGCAGCACAAGAATGGAGGGGTGGCATTAGGAAGAGGGGACCGGGAAATGGAGACGTATGTACGATGTCACTTTCTCATTTTCTGCAATTTCCTGTTGCTGCTGTTGGATCAGTATTTTGACATCCAAGTTTTGAACAACAAAATCTTGTAAGCAAATTGATGTTAAAGAATGAAGCATTGCGGCTGCCTTTTCTTCACAAATTTCAACTAAAATCACTGAGAAAAAAATGACTTCAAGAAAATTTGAAAATATTTTTCCATGGAAAAAAAATGTTTTAAATATCTAAGAAATATTGTTTTGTCCAATATAGTAGCAGAAAATCATCAGGTTTATATGTCTGCTTACCAACACATGTTTCGCCATCGCCTGAGTAGCCACTTTGACATGTACAGGAGTAACTGCCAGGCGAGTTGGTGCACACAGCATTGGCACTGCACAGGTTAACGCCATCACATTCGTTCACGTCTGAAACAATTTATACAACAAAATATGTAATTGGGTGTATGTCAGGAATTAAACACTGAAATTTATTATTCTTGTTTGAAACTATTTTGCTGTACAGAGAGAATGCAGTGTTATATCATTGCATCAGTAAATGACCCAAAAAACACTATGTTAAATAGTGAGTTAACTTCCTACTGCCTGATACACTAAGAGCAGTATGTAATTTTTTTAGTTCTGTAATGTCTAATCACCAGTAGGTGGATCGAAAATCAGATCCAGGCTTCAATCTTGATTATTTCTTTAATTTAGTGCATCATCGGGTAAAAACTAGTAAGATGGTGTCTCAAAATGAAGTTGAATATTGTTACCACAAAAACACCAAGTAGTACAATTTCTAAAACATAGAGCTTCACTGTCCATTTCCAACACTTGTGAAAAAAACAAAGCTCAGTCATCCAGTAAAAAAAACAATAATCCAGCTCACCCGAACAGATAGTTCCGTTCATAACAAATCCAGATTTGCAATTGCAGATGAAACCTCCATCGATGTTGAAGCAATTCTCAGACACTGCATCACAGGTGCTGGTGCCCTCTGTGCACTCATTAATATCTAACGGAAATGAAAGTTAGAAATTTAAATTATCAATTTGCACGAACAAGACTTCTTTAATTGTAAGTGATCCCTCTTGCAGCAAATGAATTTTGTGAAATCTATAGTAATGCACAAACGTTGCTTGAAATCATGTCATACATAAATACACAGGATGAAGATTTGCACATTTATCATCAATCTGCACACTTTAAGGACAAATTACCAGATGCAGAAATTTCAAGTTATATGTGACGCAGTTCAAATCACCAGGGGTCAATTTCAAGGGGCTGCTGAGCACAAACATTTGCTTAGCACAAAAAGTCTGGCTTATAAAAGCAGGTTACCAGCCAAAACTCGACATGATCTATATTGCTCGTAATTTGTATTCAGCTGTTGTTTGCTTAGCATGAAAATCACATGGAGTTTTGGCTGGTAACCTGCTTTTACAAGCCAGATTGTTTTTGTGCTAAGCAAATTTTTGTGCTTAGCAGCGCCGTGAAATACTTTCAATATCTGCGCCAATGATAAATGCAGCCATTATGCTTACCTTCACACAGCCGGCCCTCTGTTGTCAGTAGGAAGCCTGTGTTACAGTCACAGGTATAGCCTGGAGTAGCATCATTGCAAATCTGGTTACAAGCATCTGGGTATTGAGGATCTGTACATTCATCGATGTCTGGAGAAGAATGCAAAGTAAAAAGTACATTTTTAAAAATTGGTTTAAAAAAAAATCTGCATGTAAGACAGGCATGTGAGAGACAACGTGCGAATACAGTTAATGAAGTATTTTGGGATACTTTTTATCTCAGTGTTTCAAAATGTAAAGGATTGAGTTCACGGAAGCACTTAAAAGCTCATAGGTGTAGCCAGGAAAACCTGTCTACATTTCACAACGGATGTGCAAGTGCCCTTTTCAAAAAAATTTATACCCCCAATAAAAATGAACCTGCTATGCCCCTGAAGCTATTATTGATACAAAACTGAATTTTTTTAGCCAACAATTTTATGACGACATACACATTACAAAACAGTTTTGCTTGATATATGTTTGAAATGTGCCTCGTGTAGGTACTGATTTTCTCCAACTTAAAGAAACAATCAGCAATTATGAACATTCACTCATGAGTTACACTCTGTTTCTCAGTTTAAAAAAATGTCAAAAGTGGGGGATTTAGTCCAATTTGTAACACTTTCACCCTCAAAATACACGGGTTGATATTAAAACCCTTTTAATCAATTCAATGTCATGAAAGTTACTTACTGATACACAAAGCATCATTGCTGCTGTCAAGTTTGTATCCACTGTAGCAAGAACACAATTCCATGCCATTCAAGGCATAACAGTCGCCATTGGTACAGTTCTTGTTGATGCACACAGAGTCGGCTGGAAACAGAAGGGTACAACAAGGCTAAAGCAAATGTCTCGCAAGACATGGCACTTAAGATGGGAAAGTTCACAAATTTTGACAAATTTCAGGAAATGTGGTTTTCATTGAATGTAAAGTTTAGGGGCCGATTCTTTAAATTCTGCATTGAAGTCTAGCCAAGCTATTTGATTTGGTTGTGAATAAAAACAAATTAATTAAACGTTTCTCTGTATCACTCAATAGGAATGAAGCCAAATCCTTTTAGAACACAACTCCAGTTGACTCCTTCAAATTGAATCTTTGAGAAAACAAAATTTGGTGCCACTTACGAACACAGTCGCCTTGATTGTCCATTTTGAAGCCCTCAAAGCAATAGCACTCATAGCTACCATCTGTGTTATTGCATCCCTGGCCACAGTTGTCAATGCCAAGATTGCATTCATCAATATCTGAAAATAAACAACAAACAAGGTTAAATCGGACAACTTTTATTTATAAGCTACTCTTATGGATAGTTTAATTGCTGAACCCACTGTTACATATCAGATTCGAACCAGCCAACCGATCCCGCAAGCTCGGTGGTCGAGTGGTAAGATGTCTACACTAGAAAGCAGGAGGTCGTGGGTTCAAAGCCCCACCCGAGTGTTTTTTTTCCAACTTTCACTCGGGAGGTAACACACTAAGTATACAGTGTTTATACGTCGGTGAAGGGCAAATCCTCCTATTGAAGATATTATTAGATTACAAAAGATTACATGTTATTATTTCACTTTTTTTATCCGACAAATTGAAACTCTGAATTGGTTGTGTTTACTTAATTGGACCAATCGACACTCGAAGCAAGTGAAAGGGAGGACCATTTCTTGGCTAGTGGTTGATTTGTACCTACGTGCAATTTAGGTACAACACTTTGATAGAAAGTTGCTCAAATGTCACTACAAAACCTCTCAGTCATGACCCCTGTTGCACATTATGATTGGCATGCATTAGAAATCGAGCAATGCAACCTGCCTTGGTGGGCTAATCCATAATAGTCAACTAGATTCGTCCAACTAGCTTGCAAACTAGCTTGCAAACTAGCTTGCAAACTAGCTTGCAAACTAGCTTGCAATTGATCAGAATTATTTGAAATATAGGTCTTGATCTAACTTGCTCCAGTATTTCTTTGTAGATGAAAGCAGAATGTGAAGTAGTCTTACCTAGACAGAGGTTTGTTGACGTTATGTCGATGGTGAAGCCCGACCGACAGGAACAGACAAAGCTCCCAATGGAATCGGTGCAAGTCTGCTCACAGTCATCCGTGTTCAAGTTACACTCATCAATGTCTATGTTACAATAAAAATAGGAAAGTTTTTCATACATTATCAGATATCAGAGGAAATGGTAATTGAACAATGCAGGTGATCCTGCCAAAATGTTGTAAAATTAAACCAAGATTTGATTTGAATTTGTTTCAGTGTATATTACAAATTGATTATTGCTGTCCAACAGGGACTATCAAATTTGCCAGGTGTGGCATACAACTGCTGCGCTAAAACCACTGATGAAATTTTGAATCCGCAGTCATCGTATTGCAAAGGAATAGCTTCTAATTGTTTGATTCGTAACCCGTGTGACATGAAATTGCCCAAATCCTCATAACTTACACAGCAAAGAGTTAGTCATGTTGTCAGTTTAATTCTCGTCGGTCGTTTAACTTTAATGTTTAACTAAGAAAAGGTGGACAATAAAACTTCACTGCAGATTGGAACCTCAAATCAACATATGGATTGAGCGTCTGTTAAAAGAAACTTTCGAGTTGGCTATAATTACTTGTGCAAGTTCTGCCATCTCCTTCATAGCCAACCACACAGCGGCAGGTGTAGGACCCAACATTGTTGATGCACATTCCCAAGGTGTCGTTACAGGTGTCAATTTCTTCAGTACACTCGTTCATATCTGGTGGCAACAAGGAGGAGTATAAATGAATTCTCTTGACACAGTTGAAGTCCTCTTTGTATCTTGGCTAAAGGATTTGCAATGAGTGTCTTCATAATTCTTATTTTTTATATCTAAAATTCAGGCTCCGACACTTCATGGCCCAGCACTGCAAACAGACTTTCACATATTCCTCTGAACATTTGAAAAAATTGACGGCAAATTGTTGCATGTATAATTTATACGCATTAAAACACATTATAAATAGGCATTCTAAATTCACTGGTCAGAATATTATAGCACAAGAAACTGATGCTTAAATGAGAAGTATTCTCAATGATGTTCTGCAATTTAATGTATTCTCTTACCAAAACATTCTGCACCATCTCCAAAGTAGCCATCTTTGCAGCTACAGACATAGGAGCCAGGGGTGTTTTGGCAGTTGGCATTGACCGAACAAATCGTAGCATTGAGGACACACTCATTGATATCTGCACACAAAAAACACACAAAAAACATCAAATATTTTGTTTTAAAAAAGATGTTCACTTGGGGAGGTTTTATGAACCCCCATTTAATCCCCGATAAGGGACTGTTTTTTCTTAGGTACAATGTCATAATGCAATTGCTGTAAAATCTCCCGGGAGTAATGAAGGTGAAAACAATACATTTCACATACAAATGTGCAGAAAAGCTCAAGCAAGCACTCTTACAATCAAAGACTATGGTTCGCTGGGTTTACTACAAACCAACATATTTGAAGATTATAGCAACAACATAAGAGCATTTCTCTTTGAAAGTGCATTTCTTTTTGCAGAACTAACCTTCACACACTGTGCCATTGCCAGTGTAGCCTTCATAACAGCGACACTCATAGGATCCCTGTGTATTGGTGCACATGGCTGTACCAACGGCACAATCGTCAGTGTTGGCTAAACATTCATCCACATCTGGAACAACAAGAAAGAAACCCAGGCAGTAGTTAAGAAATATGTTCGATCAATTGTACATGAATACTTTTTTAAGTGCTTATGAATGTGTGAAGGGGTTTTGTTGCAAGCTTGACTTTACCTAATGTTGTTAATCATAGATTTGCAAGTTGCATTCATGTAATATTCTAATTAATTCGTATGAAACCACGGCAAATTAAGGTGGTAAGTATTATCAAAATTATGGTCAAGACCTTACAAGTCAATTGCAAGTCATCTAGTCTTGATTCAAGTGTCAAGCTATCAAACAAACTGTGGCAATTAATGCAGTCCTCTGTCAGTCTTCATTACATAGCTGTTACTTGTAATCTTGCTTGCATTATGTAGCTATTTCATTTAACATGTCTTGATCGACTTTGCAAGGCTGGAGTATGCGGACGGAGGAAAGTATCTCAACTTTTTGTGCAGAAAGTTCTTCGATCCCTAAGGTCAACTGACCTATCGCCGTTTGCCAGTTGGCCACGCCCCTTAGACAACCCTATGGAATTGTGTATGTTAAGTTTTGTTCGTCTCAGATTTTGCACGTACCGTGTCCATTTGTATATCATGTAATTGGAAATATTTCACAAGCTGCGTTGATGTGATAGGTTAATTCCCTGGCACATGTAGAACATCACAAGACCGTCATGTTATTTTAATGTTCGATCTTTTGCAATACCTGTGCAGGTGATTCCATTGCCAATCTGGCCAGGGATGCACACACAGATGAAGCTCCCGAAGGTGTCTTCGCACATGGCCCGGGGGTGGCAGGGGCGTATCGCCAACATGCACTCGTCGATGTTCAGACACACCTCCCCGTCCCCTTCAAAGCCGCTGTTGCAAGTGCAGACGTAGGACCCTGGCGAGTTGACACATGTGGCAGAGCTGCTGCAGTTGTTTAGTCCACGGGTGCACTCATTTATGTCTGAAAAAAGGCATTTGGTTTTGAAATAAACATTTTGTAGAAAACATACAGCAGGTTTTATAAAAATGTATCCCACAATACATTAACATGATTAAGGAACAATTGTGGCAAAGTAATCTTTAAATGTATCACAAATCAGAAGATCTCCACTAAAATAGCTATACTAATGAGCAACTCATAAAATTGGCAATAAATAAAAAGTTTTTATGAAGCAAAGATTACTACTATCAAGCAGCGGCGGCGGAACGGGTTTGAAACTGGGGGGGCATGACCAAAAAGGGGCACTTTCTCAGCATTTTTTTTTTTTGCACATCCGTGCTGAAAGGTCGACACGTGTTTTTCACCGGACACTTGGCCTGGTACCATCTTCCAACATAGGGGGCGCTCTTCAAAACTGATGATTATATGCTAACTATGCATTATGTGCCCCTGTGCCCCTTTTCAGGGCGTATTGTATGGGTTTTTGGGGCTTTGTTTTCATATTCCTTGTTTATATCAAAACTATCTATACCATTATTGGGAAATGGTTACATCTAAGAAATAGAAAGATACTTTAAGGGCATTTTTCTATCTCGAAGGGGCACTTTTATGCTCGAGGCGAGGGGGCACATTTATGGCCGCAAAAGGGGCACTTGGGTAAATCTGGGGGGCAAATGCCCCCCCAGCCCCCCGGTTCCGCCGCCCCTGCTATCAAGCGATCAGCACAAATTATATATATAAAGAGATATATGATTGTGTATTGTAAACTTTTTAATGTTTTTTTTTCCAAAGTGAAAAACAACGTTGCAATTTTAAATTTGTCTTCGTAAGTCAACTGCAAGGATGTCATGGTAGACTCACCTTCACACACTCCATTGATCTTCTCATATCCGGTGTTGCACACACAGGAGTAAGTGCCAACGGTGTTTGAGCACTCGGAGTTTGTGTCACACACGGGGACTTGACTGAAACACTCGTCAATATCTAAAAAGGCAAAAAAGAAACAACAATTAAAACTTTTGTATCTCTTATCTGATGGAATATGCATTCCATTCATTTGAAGTTGCAGATTTTGAAAATTAATTTTGGAAAGTTAAATTCTAGTAGAATTTGATTCACTGGTCTTGCAAACATTTTAAGATATTTTCCATAAAAAAAGTTCATTAAAAATAACCCTTACTATTGTTATCTATTGGTGGAAAAAGTATAAAGCATTTATGTTTCTCCTCTTACTATACTTCCTTCGGTGTATACCTTCTTGATTAAGTTGAAAATAAATTGGAGAGGAGCACTGCATAAGTTAAACATTAAATAAATTTCAAAAATATAAACCAGCTGCTCCATCAAAGTGTAAATTTTTCCTGATAGTTCCCTATCTGCAATTTATAAGACGAACCAATTTTTGAAAGGAAAACGTTGCTGATGATTTTCAAGCAGAAAACTAATGACAGAATCAAACCTTCGCAAAGCGTTCCATCGCCATTAGTGTCTGTGAACCCTTGACTGCAGGTGCAGGTGAAGCCGCCAGCTGTGTTGGCACAGGTGGCAAACTCATGGCAGTTGTCGGTCTGCAGGTCGCACTCGTCAATGTCCAGGCAGGTCCGGGCATCTGGATGGAGCTCGTAACCAGATTCGCAGGAACAGCGATATCCTCCGAGGATGTTGTCACAGAGCTGCTCACATGGTGAACCACCTGGTTGGGTGCACTCGTCAAAATCTACCAACAAAATATGAGAGGTTGATTTAAGAGCACTGAAACAGCTGCCTGTACATTTTGGGCTCAAGTCCCTGTTCACACAAATTTTCTATGCCCACAGTATTATTTGTTAGTAAAATGGGTTACTTACAGAAATTAAATGAAATACATCAGTATCTTTGAGTGTTAAGTTTGACCAAAATTTCATGAAAATCAGAAGTATCATTTTGTATGCTTTTGGGTCATTTTAGGCTGTTTGAGCATGTTACTTGTGTTGACACAAGTATATTCCTGAGTGTGCAAAAAAGCATTAAACTCATGGGTAAGCAAGAACATATTCTTGGTCAGCAGTAAACTCTTGCAAACACGTACGTCATTTTTGAAATCACATGCTAAGTTTCCACTGAGCATTTCAAGATGACAGTCCACCATTCAAGCCATCAACCTGAGAGTAGTGCACACGCAACATGTTCCCACAATCAAAACTAACAAGAGTGACATGCTCAAAAGCAGTCTTTGCATTCTCACCGTAACACTTGAAGCCGTTTCCTTCCAGGCCATCAGGACAAGGCCCGCAGGTGTTACCTTCCAGCGGCGCGACGGCATCCACGCAAGTGATGCCAGGGAAACAAGGGTCATCCTCGCAACCATTGCGATCGGTCTCGCAGAAGTCTCCAGTCCAGGCCAAGGAACAGGCACACACGACAACCTGTAATCACAATGAGAGAGGTACCAAGTTGATGCATGGAATTATTCAGTGCAGTTTTCAGTTATTGGTGACTCCAGTCAAAAATCGGACCTTTAGGTTTCTTGGGAAAGTTTGTTTTCATCTACACATTTGAAGTATATTGTCTAGAATACCTTGCATTAACTATTAAATGTAATATTATCCCTTTTATTTCCACAGACATTTATGTTATATGGACCAGAGATTACACTGCATACATGGCCATCAAGAAAGTCATTAACAAGCATTAGATATTAAAATGGTCAAATGACTGCAAAGAGAACCTAATTTGAAGTCATTATCGCATATGCAAACCCCAATTTGAGATTACCAGATTTTCAAAGACATTTGAAATATTTCAATCCATTGTCCACAATCAAACCCAATTCCAGTGGGATTTTTGATAACAGCTATCCCAAAACCATAAAATTCAATTGAAGTTTCTGAAGTTCTACACCCAGACATCTTCAAAACACCATTGCTCAATTTCCGAAATCCTGTAATTTGTACACTTACGGCAAACTTGTCTACGATGATATTGGAGTCCTGTGTGTACTGATCATACATGCAGGTCCCGCCGTTCTGGCAGTCGCAAACTTTGACGGTGGGCTCCAATACTGCATTAGTGTCGCCATCAAACGCCCTGATCCCAACTCTCACTTTGTTCACAGTTGATGGATTCCATGTGAAAACACCATCTGTAAGTTCCAAAAATGGAAGAGAAATTAAGATATATATGTGCTTCATAAAGAAATGTTCACTTTCAATATTTCATGTTATTGGTCTTCATATATGTCAATGTCCATCTGGAGAAATAAAATGAAACAATGAGTTACTTTAATATTTTATATTCCACAAGTTAAAAATGAATAGGTTCTCTTAATATAATGTTAGCTGAATAAATAAAATTGAAACAGAAGTGATCGCAAATGGAAGGCATAATGTGGTAATTGTCATGCATGTTTTCTGAATAGTGTGACAAATTTCTTGAAGTGAGCCAAAGGATGTGAACATCAATTTTCCTTAAAACCCAGAAGCAATGTATTTCTTTAACTTTTTACTACTCAACACAACCAATTTGGAATAACTCACTCTGGGACAAAGTGCTGTTGGGAATGTCCTCAGTCAAGGAGAAACTGATGGTCTGGCCTTCTGGGTCAAATGATGTTGTTGTCAAGGTGACCTGCTCTCCGACAACAGCTTGCAGCAAGTTGGGGCCAGTGATGTTCGGTGGGAAGTTAGCTGATGGTAAGAAAAACAAAATTGAGCAATAAACAACACAATTAACATTGGCTGAGATACAATTAAATCATGAAAACAAACTGCTGCACTGAGCAACAAAACTTTCTGAAAAGACTAAAAGCCAGTTCACACTCGGTGCAAAAGCAAATGTGAAGTTTCCAGTTTTCGCGCTGCAAATTTGTAAAAGTTGAACACATTTCAACACTGGCAAATTTCACTGTGATTTCTTTGTGACATCAAATTGAACCTGCTAAAGTGTGAACTGGCATAAGCTAGCTGGTTCATACTTAGTGCAAACACCAAAGACATTTTTTAACACCCAGCAATTGTTTGCACTATGTTATTACCTAGATTGAACACATTTGGACTATGTCAAATTCCACTGCAAATTATTTGTGAAGTCAAATTTGCTTCACATTCAAAGTATGAATCGGCCCTTCAGGCATAGAATACCAAAGAGGACAATGACTATGGCATACCAAGATCACCAGCTTCATTTGTGAACCCCTGATTCTGTGTCATTGTCTCCATTCCGAGTTCCAGGTTTTTAGTGGCCAGTGCGTCGTAAAGACACTGGTTGTCAGTTCCGCACATTGTCTGGACTTGACTCAGGTATGCAGGGTCGGCAGCTGCGATCAGATCCTCCAAGAACAGTGGCACGAATGTTTCATCATTGATGGTGTCCCAGGATTCCCCAGCTTCATAGTTAAAAAGTGTGGTGTTCACTGTTGTTCTCCCTGTCGAACATAAGGAGGAAAATGGTAGCTTGTATTATTACAGTATTATTCACTGCTGGATAGGTGAAAAAAACATCTTATGGCATGAAACAAAACAAAGCATTGGTTGGCAATGCTGCACATTTCTTTTCAATTAGCTTGTTGCTGGAATATTACATAAATTTTAGTGCATGAATATCACATTACAATCCTTCACGACATGTGAGAACAATAAGATTGATAAAGCAAGCGAGGGCCATGTTCATTCAGGATACTTTCTAGTAAAAGAGCCCCAGGAGTTAGGGTTAAGCCAGCCATTGAGCTTCTCATGAGAAGAGGTCAGACGTATTTTGGAAGATTGAAAATGTATTCCAAAAAAATATCAGAAGTTGTGTTAACTTACATGACTCCCCAAAGGTGAAGTAATCTGCTTCCGTGTAGCTGCTGTCATTACCATTTGGTGTCAGCAACATGCCGTTTTCCTTCATGAAATCGTCAGCGGGATCATTGTTCCAGACACCTGGGGAGTAAACAAATTAACAAAGAATTAAGTAACAGTAATGAGTTATGATAGCCACACCATTATTCGGAAGACTGCCCACTATTTCTCTAATGAAGTCTGAAGTCATGTTACATACATCATAACCTGGTAGCCTGGTTACTGAGCAAATGTTAAACCTAGCAAAATATGAGTGCTTAGCAAGCCTATCTATACCAGTACTCACAACAAAGATTTATTAAAAAACGTTGCAAGAACAAGAGAACTATTAGACCACAGTACAAAGAACTAAGAACAAAAAAAATACCAAACATGGTTCTGGAAAAGTACAAAACAAATTCCATGCTTGTTTTTTCTTCAACTGTGACCATCCAGAAAAGTGAAATACTCACCAAGCAGGCCACGGCTTGAGCCATCTCTGAATGTTTCAGGAGCAGAAAATACCATGTCGAGGATTCCACTCGCACTGCCTACACTGATGGACATCCCATTCAGCCAATAGGCAATGTACCTTATTGTGCCATTGTTGTCCTGAAGTGAGAGTTGTAGGGTCCCATTCACGGTGTATTTTCCTGCAAAAAAAAACAAATTAGAAGGCTGTTTACATCTTGCATATTTCAAAATCCTTTTGTGTGTTTTTCTTCCCAGAAAACCATGCATCTTACAAAAAAATGGGTTACGTCCTTCACTTTCTGCCAGATTTCAACATGAATATTTGCCAATAATCTTTTAATTCGGACATATATTGATGGTCAACTTAATTATTTAGCATTAAAATGCATCATAAATTAAGTTCCCATAAATTATTTTATAAAGCCCTCACCATCGACAAACAGTGCCTTGTCAAATGGTACATCATCCACAAGAATGTCAACATCAGAACCATCAGCATTAAGAGTCATCTGGACCTGGAAAACACAGTTAAATAAATGTTGTATCATATATTCATTGCCAAATGCCAAGTACTATTATCTCTAACTTAACCTTACATTAAATATTAGGTTTTGCCCTTCACCAACATATAAACACTGTATACTCTGTGTGTTACCCCCTGGTGAAAGTTGGAAAAATCACTCTGGTGGGACTCGAACCCACTTCCTGCTTTCTAGAGCAGATGTCTTACCAATCGACCACCGAGCTTGCAGAATCGGCTGGTTGGTTCGAATTTGATGAAGTAGTGGGTACTGGAATGAAACCATTGCGTCGGGGTGATGGAAATTAAATATTTAGGTTTTGCCCTCCACTGTATACTCGGTGTTTATACGTCAGTGAAGGGCAAAACCTAATACCGACGCAAATTCCATCTTATGAATAGTTAACCTTACATCTCAAGATTTTTCTTCAAAGTGCTTGCAAAAGCCTGAATTTAAATCCACAAAACTCTGTGAATCTGTTATCATTGACACATCTTGTACCATGAACAAATACCATAAACTAAAAGATAATACTCTTCACACTTAACAAGCAATGTTTTATACCTTTTGGGCATCCTGGGCCTTAGCAACAAAGGCGACGAATATGGTGGCCTGAGTGAGCTGCTGTGTCTGCGTGTCCAAGGCTTGGGCCGTACGACCCTGCACCTCGAAGATGGTGCCACCAGTACCGTCTGGGAAGGTCACGTGCACATACTCGCCAAGACCATTGAAGGTGTATGCATTGCCGTCCAGCGTCTCAATGTGAGGATCTCCAATTGTCCATCCTGAAAGTCAAATATAAAGAATGGCTTAAAAAGTCTAATTATTATAACCAAAAAAAATAACTATGAAAAAAACACACCTATGGAAAAAACACAGATTACAAGGATTACCTTCTTACATTATGTAATATGGACTCACTGCAAATTTTTCCAGGAAATAATCAGGTATATGATCATAGGTCAACTTTGCTGATTTAAAGCCTCTGAATATCACTAATAAGTTTGTTGCTGGCTTTGAAAATTCCAAGATAATAGCTGTTACTTGCAACAAAGAATTTTTAAACATTAATCAACTCATGAATCTTAAGGAAGAAAAAGTTTGAATTCAAGGTCCTTAATAGCCAACCAAAATAGGTATTTTTAATCATAAGTCCTAAACAAGTTCTTGGTGCAAATTCACAAAACAAGTAATTGTTGCATTAACTATCCAATTTGGGAAGTTGCCTACATATTCATTGTGCATGTTCTTACCAGTATTTGGCGGCAGGTATCCATTACAGGAACCCGGTGGTCGTTTCTCAAAATACATGTCGCAGAAGGCTTCGTCGTTTGCTGCATTACAGCAGTAGTGTCGGGGAAAGTAATCTTCCACTGTTGACACAACAAAATCAGAAATATTTAAACACGTTTTTTTTTCTCTGTGACTTCTGTGTAAAGAAGCATTTTATTCTGTGTAATTAATGAAAGGCAATCTGATGTTAATCAATTACATTGTAAAACAATTAAGTCAAATCTACAAAGAGTACAAAGTGCAAAACTAGTATGTCATGTGCGTATGTGCAGTTAAATTACTCGAACAAATTTGAAGATTTCGAGATGAACCTAATAATATAAAGCTGCAAATATAGAAATATAAATCTGCCCCCCAAACAAGGTTTACTCACGCAACCAATTGACGAGATCAGGCTCATATTCTGGTACTTCTCCCTGGAAGTTGAACAGGTATCTCTCTTCCACGCTGATGAGGTAATCGGTGTCATAGCCAACAATCAAAGAGCGATCCCCACGGTAGCAGCAGCGCATGCCAGCACCGTTCAACGAAGGCGAGAGCTCTGTCACTAGACAGAAGGGTTGTCCTGTGATCAGAATGATGAAAAGTGTACAGTCAAAATATACAGTCAAAATATGCAGTCACGATCAAGGCCAAGAAAAAGTTGAGATCTGTAGTATCTGTCAGTAGGGCAGAACTCCTTAGTCTTACACAGAACATTTGTTGCACCTTACAAGAGTGAGTAACTGAGATAGAGAAATGATATCCACACTGTAATATCTTTATTTTGTCACCTGCAGCAATTTCTTTTTTCAATATCACTTGAGCTTGTACAAGAGAGTTTAATAACGTATGCAGAATCATACCTTCCAAGGCTTCAATCTGGTCCAACAGTTCTTGGCTGAACCGGCCAGGGGCTCTAGATGCTGCTGACGCCACACGTCCTCGAGAAGAAGCTCTACGCCCATACGATCGATCGTTCCGTCCTTGGTCGAATGAACACGGGCAGGTCCCAAGATAACGATCCCAGGTCATTGGATTTGGCTGCCTGCTGTACCAGTCAAGACAGAACTGCTTCGGGTTGACGGTGCTGTCAGTGTTGTTCTCCAGTCGGTAGATCCATCGGCCCTTCAGTCCAGTGTTTCCAAGGAACTGGTCGGGACGGAAGGCATCGCCTCCCACTGCAAATGGTGGGTTGTCAAGCTGGGCATTGGCATAGGTGCCAAAGCCACCGTTGTAGCCGATGATGAGATCTGTGCTGGCTAGGGAATCGTAGTCCCAAAGCATTCCTCCCTCATGGTAGTTGAAAATAGAAAAGCTGTAGATGCCATCTGTCACTAGCGCAGCTTGGAATGTGTCAGTTTCCTAAATTAAAAAGAAGGCCAAAGATAATTGCAAAAACCAATTACAAGTAGATAATTCAGATTCTTTTGATTTTGTTGAGCAAATGCCAAGACAACAAATTGTTGTTGTTTTTTAATTAAAAGCATTAAGGCTAACTTGCTTCCTTGTTATTACTTTGTTCATTCAACTAGAGGATTGCTGTGCTATCTATATGCAGAATTATCCTGATTGCCTTGTACTCACATTTTGCTGGATGAAGGATGGCATTTGGTACCACGTAACAACCAGCATCCATGTGGCATTGAAGGAGAAGAAAGAAGGAGCATATTGGGCCCGAATTCTTGAGTTCGCATCTTCTAAAATGGCATCTCCGGCTTCAGTCCCCGAGGCTGATGGTACGTAAACCTGAAATGAAGATATTTAGCATGGTTTGATAAGTTGTCATAAAAAAGGTCCAAGACTGCGTTATGTTACATCAATCTTTGTTGAGGAATTATCATTAGTAAAAAAAACACCAATGGCATTTGCAAAGCTTACAAGGTTGATTTTCCACAACATTTTGTAATCGACTCGTTAAATGCCTTTTTGTAAAAAGCTAAATTTGTTATAGCCTCTGAGTTATGTGAAAAATATATAAATAAAAGTTGGCCATGGATTGAATAGTTTTTATTGAGGTTGTAACATGTTATGAAATGCATCTAAAAGCTGGGAAAATTCCTCGTATTCTAATACCTGGTAAAACACATCTCCCTCGGTTGACGTCAGGTCGGTGTCCGCCCAGAAGGGTGCCACCATAGGAACGGTATTGATATCTGTGAATCCACCGGGGAAAGGGTTCGGGAAACCCAACTTGTCATCATTCTCATTTAGCAGAATGAGTAAACCGTTGTCCATGAACTAGAGTGACAAGAACAGAGAAATAAAAAAGAAACAATGTTCATTTTTAAATACAGTCAGCTCCCGTTATAGCGAAAACGGTTAGGACGAAATTCCGGTTATAACAAACACATATCTACTGTCCCGACAAAATTGTGCACATGTCTATGGGGAAAAATTCGCTTAAGACAAAAACGGACAGTACAAAATTCCTGTTACAACGAAAGGGTTTGGCAACCCCGTTGCGTAAAAAAGCATTGGTAGCGACCCATTTATTACGAAAAAAATAAAACCACAAAAGCTTTACTTCACGGCTTTTCTTTTCTTTCAGACTTAATCTGAAAGCAGCATAATTACGGTCATCAATGTACTTGACTGACACCAAACAATCACTTTTGTGATTCAGCGTGAGCTACACAGGTGTTGTACGTAATTGCAAGCTGAAAGGGATACACATCACAGCCAAATAACTTAGTGAAGCAATGCTCATTCTAGCAGCATTGAAGTGCATATTTGGGCTACAAAATGTCACTCATTAGTGAAAGAGGAATACAGCTTTGCAAATGAGACGATAATGGCAAACGCTTTGTTATTCTAAAATTTAGAAACATGACTCGAGGGCCCATTGAAAGACTGCAAATAAGTAATGACGTGGCAAAAGGGTTTCTTACATAGAGGCCGGGGTAGAACGTTCTGCCAAAGGGGAAGCCCGTTTCTGGTTGGAATGTCTGTGACAACATCTCAAAATCAACCTGCTCGTTCACATCTCTCAGGGACTGGTCTCCATTCTCAAGGCCAAAGGGGAAGAAAATGATTTCTAATGGGTGAAAGAGAGAGAGAAAACAATTAATCAACAAATGCAACCATGCTCCATGTACAGTGATGTTGCGTGACCCTGCGTAGGCAAAAGAGATGTAGGGGGAACAGTAATTTGGAGGGTACTCCCACCGCTGCCACCATGTTGCGTGACCCGGTGTAGGTAAAAGAGATGTAGGGAGAACAGTAATTTGGAGGGTACAAGAAACACCAGTGTGACTCTTTATTCAGACTTTTCTAGCAACAACACAGGGATCGACAGAGGGCGCCCTAATGATTTCTTGTTTACAATCTGTCTGCTAAACTAATATGGAACAAGTGATATACCCTTTTTGATCTTTACTAAACATCGTTTTTAAAAGTTCACTTTAATCAATATCAGGTTGAACAAAGAAATTGACTGGAGCAAGATTTGAATTGTAACCTTCTGGTTACTGCCTCACTAACAACAGTCCTATGTTGGTGAGGCAGTCTCCTTCAAATCCTCGAAGAGGCAAGTGCAAACTTTTGCCATGAGCCTGCTTTTAAGTGATGCAATCCATAATGCATGAATTACACAATGCTACCAAATCTGAAAACAGCTAACAAATCAAGATTGGTCTGATATGGTTTTCAAGAATAAAACACAGATATCTCTGGCAATATCTCTTGCCAGATTGATAAAAATTGTTGAAAACAGGTTTCTAAAAGACAATGGGACGTATACTTTACCTAAACATTCAAAACCATCTCCTCTATAGCCATCAATGCATGCACAGGTGAAGCTGCCAACAGTATTGGTGCACACTGCATTGGCATGACAGGTGTCCGTACCAGCCATACATTCATCAACATCTGTGTGACAATGCAAAAAAGGAAGGTAAATGGACAACATTCATAAGTAAGGAAGCACAATAACAAACCATGTAGATATTTGTTTCCACCCCAAGGGTGTGACTTTGTATTTAATTTTGTAAACATTTGGTAAATATTTAAGAACCATTTAAAACGTTTAGTCATTCACAAAGGCTTGTTATGTCTGCAGACCAGCATCAATGACAAGTAAAATCAGCAGTGGCAGTCATTGAGAAGCAAAAACTTAACTACATGTGCCCCAAATGTAATCAAATAACTTGAGGTGCTTGATTAGTTTTGCAAATTAAATAGGTTTTAAACACTGTTAATTATTTGCGCCATGTAGGTTTAACTCAAAGGAAGACTGCGTGAACATAGGTCCCTTTTTTATAATTCAGGTTTCTTTTTAACGTTTTTGGAAAATTTGTAAACGACTTTAGAATTGTTTTTGTTTAAACGTGTAAACATCACATCCTCATTCCACCCCCTGAGCTACTTCAAAATGTAAAAAAAAACATTTCACAAAGTCATTCTAAACGGACACATAATTCACATTACACTTATGTAGTAAAGAATTCAGACAAAACAAGAATCATTTCCTACAATCAAGACAACTTTTCTTACCGGTTTCACAGTTGACTCCTGTCCATGCAGAATTGCAGACACACTCGTATGAGTTGACTTTGTTCAGACAGGCTCCTCCATTCATACAGGGAGTGGAGGCACATTCATTGATATCTGGAAAATGAAAAGCCCGGTCGATAAAAGTATTATTTAAAAATACATGTTGTGTCAAACTTTCCCCAAACTATTCACAATCTGCAAATTGAAGATCTAATTTCCACAATTTTAGGGACGCAGGGATCTGGGGCTGGGGGACAATAAGAAGAAAGTGGCAGTTGCACATCGGCTCAACGAACTGAATAGGTGATGCGATCAAGCTAAATGAGTTGATTGTCAGGAATTTCTATTTGGAGATTCAGGCCAAAATATGTCCACTTCATAACATAACTTCATCACAAATGTTGGTGTTCCGACTTTCATAATTTTTTTTAATTTAAGATGGTACCAGCATGCGGTTTTCACAGCAGTAATGCTGAGATTGTGCTCTTTTCAAATCTGTGATAATTTTTTTTTTTCGACCAGGGTCGACAAACAACTCATTTAGCTTGATCGCATCACATAATTATGCTGTCTGCACATGACCCGCCTGCACATGGTGTGCTGTATGAGGACAATATACTATCAGTGTCGGGCCATGCCCCTGCTTCCTCTCCATCTCTGCTCTTAACCACCGCCCCATGAACAATTTCTCATAATGCCACCGCATGATTCAAGGGCGGATCCAGAACACAATTCTTTGGGGGGCCAAAAAGAATTTTGGTGCCCCCAAAAAGTGGGTTCAAAAATTTTTGGATTCTAGATGCTCTGTGGTGCGATCTGAGGCAATTTCTGACCACTTTAACCAATGTTTTTTTGAGGAAAAGATGGTGGTGTACTCATTGCCTGCCTTTATTGCGATGTGTCACATAAAAAAAAAAAAAAATTGGTTTTGTTTTGGGGGGGCCATGGCCCCCTTTGGCCCCCCCCCTGGATCCGCCCTTGGCATGATTGTGATTGATATGGTACTACAGAGCCATGCCACAAAGTGTTTTCACACTCAACTTTTTGTTAATTAAAAGAGAATGTGCCATTGATTAAACTTACAGGCATTGTTCAAACTATATTGTATACCCATCCCTGTAATTAACCCACCCCATCCACCTCAACCAAGTCCTGAGTAGAACTCTATTTTTCAATACAGGAGAATCACGTAGTCTTTCTTACCTAGACAAACTGGGACAGTTCCGTTCACTTGACCATTATCGCAGGCCAGGGTAGCATTGGCTGGGTCCAGCAAATAGCCAGCTTCACAGGAGAAGCCAATTACGTCACTGTGGTTGAAAGCCATGGCATCCACAAAGCCATGGAATGGCGGTACAGGAATAATGCAATTTTCTGTAAAGAACAAAATATTGTAACTTAAGAATCACAAATTAACAAGACGTTTGCAATGAAAATTTCCAAATCATAATATACTTCAAATAACACCATTTTCAACATTTAGTTTGAAAGTTTAAGTAATAAAAGTTTAAGGAAAATGAATGAATGAATTTTCTATTTCTTCTTTTGAAATAAGGGTAATAACATTTTTCTGTTGTTGTGTTTTAGGTAACTTGGAAGAATTTTGCCAAAACACCATGTGCTAAAAACGGAATAAAGCCTCCCACTCCTAGTAGAAAAAAATCCTTTTCCTCATTTTCAACATACCATAGCAGGTGGGTAAGTCATCGGACCATACAGTATTGTTGCACATTATCTCTGTAGGTCCGATTCTTGTGTACCCACTGAAGCATTGGAAGAACACACTCTCTCCGTCTCGATACCGAAACTTTTGAGGGCCCACACGTCCATTTGTCAGGTCCCCTGGATATATGCAAGCCCCTGTGCAAATAAAAGATCAAAATAGAACTTAACAAGAAGTTTGCAAAAGTTATCAAACACTATTTACAATTTGGAAATTTTCGCACTAAATATTTATGCAATTTCTCACAGAACACTGTTGGGCCGAGTTTCAGCAACTTTGTTTAATTTCAAAATCACTTTTTTGGAAACTGATAGCAACATAGGTGTTCAGAAATTTCATTCTCAATGTCAAAATCTCATGGAAACATATACATGTACACACCATTATAACCATCATAGTAATCAACCTTGGGCAGTTTTGGTTGGTATACTGGAACTCGCCGAACAAAATTTGAAGCCATTTTTTTAGGTTGTGCCATGCCTGCACACATTCTTAAAGGCAAGGGGTGCACTGCAGAAAATGGCTGTTGCCAAATTAGTATTACAGGGAGCATCAGGCATGGCTTTTTAGGTCGGTATATGGACAAATGGGTTGGCAAGATTACAAAGCAAATGTTACACTGCGAATACTCATTTATCAAGTTCATACCGCTGCAAACTTCTTCTGACTCATCCATGTTGTTGCCACAGTCATACGGAATGTCGTCACACAAGTAGCTTTCTGGTATGTAGACACCATCTGGACATCGGTAATGGTTTGGCTTGGGGCAGTGAGAGGTTACATTCATAACATCTGCAAATATTGGAACATACAACGAAATAATATATTGACTATTATTACTATATTATTAGAATTTTTATTTCAGAAAGACTGGTAAGTAAGGAGACCAACGTTGAAATGCTGTGAAATACCAAGTATAACTCTTGAATCAGTTTACAGACCCATTTTGATGAACAATTTTACAATTGAAATGTCATTCGTATAAGGTCTATTTTCCATTAAAAAATATCATACTTTGCAGTATGCCAAACATTAAAGACTACATAAGTATGCAGAGATCTAAAAGATTTATCAATTGAAGCTTCCGATGATGAATAATTATCAAGTTTGTTTTCATGAAATGGTCCCCGGAGGTGGTAGGGTTGCCGGTTTAGTACATTTTTGCTGGGACAAATGGGATAGGAATAAAGTGATTCACATACCACAGCAGAGCATTTCATCCTCATCGTAGAAGTCAATACAGTCTCCAGGAAAACCATCACAGATCCATTCTGCTGGCACGCAGGTTCCCTCAGGACATTTGTACTGATAGGATTCGCATGTACCTACAAGGAAATTTTATCTCTTGAATATGTTTGTTCAAAGCAGAGATAGTAATCTACTCTCATTAAAAAAAATTGCAGAATAAAATGTCAGAAGTTTCACTGTTATGATTTCCTATATTGTTACAACTTGTCTGTTTGTATTACACACTATAGTAAAACAATGAGTAAATGTATCGTTCATTACAGAGAAGAAATAGAAACTGCATGGTACAGTATTAATGGCCAGGTAATATCATCAGAAATACCATCAGGTTTGAAGAGTGCTACACACTAGCCTTAGTTTGCATGTTTTGAACTTTCTCCTCTGTATATTCTGATATATGCTGGTAACAATTAAAAAAAGGATGTGTATCAAAACGAGCTCAATTCGTTGACCACGAACAATTCTTTGACTTTGAAGAAACTACTCACTCTAGTTGACATGGCGCTTTTAGCAATTTCAATTCTAAATTATCAAAAACTAATTTTTAATTAATTCAAATAGAAGATACGTTTTTGTCCCAAACAATTTTTTTTCTACAAAGAAAGCCTTGAAATTCTTACGTTCGCAGGTATAACCATCTCCATCATAGCTTTCTCTGCAGACGCAGGCATAAGCATTGTTGATGATCTGGCACACAGAGTTCACACTGCAGTTGCTTTTCTCGCAGGTGGTCACTCCACCTGCTCCGCATGTGCAGGTATTCTCACATCCCTCCGTCAAAAAGGTTTGGTTCAGCTGTTAAGTAAAAGCAACCAATATTGTTGTGTCAAATCTTAGCATTTCAATAAATGAATATCAACATTCTGAAATTAGAAGAGGGATTTACATGTGTTACGAAATCACTTTGAACTTGGAACTTCCTATATCAGTAAAAACATTTTTTAATAAAGCCAACAGAAAATAGATTTGTATTATACAAATTGTGACTTGAATTTTCATGGATTAAGATTCATATAGTTAAATAAGGAGACCGATTTGAGGGGACTCATCCAAACATTTCAGTGAACTACTTTGAATTTGAAATTACAAATATAAAACCTGCAGCTACCATAAAAAGGAAAACTTTGCCATGGTCTTTATGCCCACTTAACACAAGGCATCACTGTAATATAGGACTTGGAAGAAAAAAATCATTATATAGGTCTTATTTTCAAGATGGTCAACCTTTTTCACTATCAGATCCTAATCTTTTCAAGTCTCTAAATGCTTTATCCATCTTAGAGAGCAGATCCACAGATGGCTAAGCTTTGCTAAATCAGATCAGGTCTAAAGAAAAGAAAGTGTCGGCAGTGTGTTTACTTCCTCATATATCAAGGAAGCACAATCAATTTTGACATTCCAAAAAAAAAACACCTAAAAAGTTGCATCTTAACATTTCTGTTTGTAAAAAATTGAATATTGTATAAACACCCAGGTTTCAACAATCAGCGAGTAATTTGTAAGGATATGCAAATTTTAGTCAGTAAATATTTCTCAAAAGAATAAATAGGGTCCAATGAACCTAAAATCACATTTCAATCTCAGTAGTTATATTTGCCAAAAAAACACACAACCAAAACACAAGTCTTACATAGTAATAGTTGCTATTGTAGACACATCCGCAATCCTCTGGTAGAACACAGCTGTCTCCATCCTGGTAGTAACCGTCATTACAAACGCAGCCTTCAACGCAAGGCAGTGCATCGCATGCAGACTCCAATTGGCCACCACGGCGGTAGTCAGCGCAGGTAAACTCACAATCGTTGCTACACGTGCTGTATGCAGCGTTTGCTGGGCATGTAAGCGCTGAAAAAGCCAATGAAAAAGCTCATTAGATTCTGAATAACACATTCATATGATTCAATGTAGTTTATATGATACAACCCCATTGGTGAGAACATTTTGCCATTACATGTAACTACAAGAATGTGGTATTTTTTGTGAAGTATTTATTTGAAAACTAATTCTATTGTGATTACGTAAAAACATTCATGACATTATTAAATTAAACCAAAACATATTTAACATCTATCAAAACTGAAATGATGAAGATAAAAATGTTAAAGTCTAAAATGAGATACTTATGTCACAACAATGAAAGTAAAGAGCATGTAATAAATCATTATTCACTCAAGTTTTAAAGTTTTGGAATAAAATATTTTTCAGAACTTTTTCCCCCAAGGTCTTTCAAATATAATAAAAAGTGTGTATTTGTTCCAGGTATTCACTTTGCAAGGTCTCGCCAACAATTTACAAGTCTTTGTTGAGGCTTCCCACATACTGGTTTCTATTCCACAGGAAAATTTATCAGAATACATGTAGTGAGTTACTGATGATTAAAGGATTATCCACCACAAGCAATGCCATAAAGACCTCCATAGACCAACGATGGGAACCCAGTCCACACCCAAAATACAAAGGCTGTGGACAAAAGGTGCATTAAATACTACATTATGTTGCCGAACAAAGATGTGGGATGAAAAGGTCCTACAACTTAACTATAAAACTGTTTTTAACAATTGTAAGTAAATGCTGATATGGTTCAACAAACTGAGTAAACAAGGACATTATCAGGTGCCTATGTGACCACTATTTCAAACTTATTCCAATTTATGAATGAAGTAATATGTAGGCCACCAAAGAAGTTGTTATGAGATCCTAAACACACCTAGTTACAGTTGTCTTCTTTAAAAACATAAATAAGTATGTTGGATCATTTAATCTTCTATAGAAACACCCCGCAAGAGTATAGGTGTGAAAACTGATTCCAACAAGATTGCTCAATACCAACACTTGCACAGCCAACTAAATTTCACGTAAAATGCAAAGGATTCAAATAACCAAATAAACAAGTCCATTATGATAACTCTGGAGTAATAAAACTACCACAAATCTTTTAAGCTTCAAGTGCTTATAAAGGCCAAAATGTGTACATGAAAATAACTCTATTTTAGGAATGCTGTTAAAACAGATACATGTTCGTCTAAATTTCAACCACCAAAGTATTTAAATAATAGCTCTGAACCAACCCTAACAGTCCTGAATCCTCTATAACCCCCTAGCGAGTTATAGGGTTAAGACCTGAATCAATTTGTCAACAATTAAAAAATAAAATGTTTGGAAGATTCACATGACATAAACAAAATGTTTTGGACTGCAACTTTAAAAACAAGAAAACTTCTTAGTGGTGCAGTTAATGCTGAAGTACATGCAGTTTGTTTTCTTCAAAAGACACACCAAAGACTACCACATAGTGATCCTGACAAGAGTAGGTGACTGAAATACCATTATTACTTGAGGGAACAGAGAAAAACTGTAGTTTGAAATTCAATGCAACCTGGGCTGGGTGTGTAGGTGGCACTTGTCCTTCAATAATAGAGTCTTTGAAAATGTGGTTAAGATAAACACAATACCGATTTGCCTTCAGCTTCCTGCTTTCTCTTTGAGCTATTCAGATCAGAATGAGAGTGTGAAAAGAAGTCGCCCAAGTGTCTGGAGCCTTAGTGCCTCAGGCATAAAGCAAAGTAATTACTTTCTCGTCTCTACCCAAAAGCTCATAGAAAAATCTGATCCATGCAAAACTTTCTTTCTAAAATCTATGTAGCCAAAAACTTGACGGCACACCAGATTTCATATCACTAAGGATGCTATCATGACAGAAACAACTTTAATTTCGAAAGATAATTTAGCCCTTTGAATTATACAATACTAAAAAAGCATTCTCAATTGATGAAAATAAAGGCAACTCATTCAAAAGTACATGTACGTTTAGTTGGCTGAAATGTGTTCAGATGTCCTAAGATCATCAGGATCAGATCCAGATGTTTTGTCTGAATTATCGTTTGACTGAAACAAAGTTTGGGAAAACTTACAGCAAAGGTCTGATGACCGCCAATCGGACGGTGGGTAGCCTCGGGCATTGCAGGTGTCTACAAATGCTGCAAAGATGTCACAAGCTCCAGATGTGTCGGGATATAAAGCACATATATCATATTGACAATCACTGTAGAAATTACTTGCATCTGTTGGCATTGCTGCTACGCATGCAGCAAATGGACCTGAGAGAGAAAAAAAAATCATTAGTTTATAAAGATGTCTCTACCTCTTCATGCATTCTAAGAGACTATGCCCCAAGAGTAACCAAACTGATGCAGGGAACATTTGACATCAAGTATCTCAGTTGTATACTGAAACATTTCTCACCATCAGATCTGATGATGTCATTGCAGATTGTTGCTGCAATTGCAGCAATTGTTGAGTTGTTGTCACAAGGACTTGGAACACTGGTCGATGTTTCAGGGCATTCTGCTGTGTTGACAATGTAGCTATTGGCAAATGCCAACAATGATGTCTGCAAAATAAAAAAAACAAATCAATACAAACATCAATACAAGAAGAATTGAATTAAAGATCACAAGAACATTACATAAGATGCTAACAATTAAACTTTTGGACTTCCTTAGATAGCAGTTATCATGAACATGATCACAAAATTATGATCTCCCCAAATTTTCGATTTGAAAAAAAAAAGAATCCTCATCAAATCTTACAGGTGATCCAGAAATTGAAGTAAAGTCATCATCAGGGTCTCCATCGTTGTTTCCTCCAAGGCCGCAGACCATCGTCCTGTAGGTAGTTCCATTCAGAAGAACCTTCACTCCAGTAGAGCCGTCCCACTTCACTCGCAGTCCAAGAGGGGTCAGAATAGACTGCAATCAGAAACGAAGTTGAAATTCTTCATTTCTAAATTCTTATAACTTAATTTTATCATAAACGAAGTTGAAATTCTTCATTTTTAAATTCTTATAACCTATTACTTTTTCCACTTCTTTCTTATCGCAAACACATAACCATCATACCATAATTCCAAAGTAAAAGGAATGTACAATATAAGCATTGAAAGAATTGGCCAAAATTGCAATAATGACAGTGTCAGTATTCAATCTTTTGAAAGTTTCACCTCTAATAATCTATTTCAATGTTTCTTTTTTTAATATAACAGTTTATTTCACATTTAGAAACTCTCAACCACTCCTCAAATTCTGCGTGGGTATTTCAAAAAAATTGTTGATTAATTACAAATTGATGGGCTAAAAAATGTTCCTAATTGGAAAGATGCAATAATTTCAATAACTGTATGGGCTTGCTAGTAATAGTTCAATTTAAAAATCTTAATTGGTACAAAGCTGAAATGGAATACACACCGTCTGCAGACCAGTTCTCCTGATGCTGATGTCATTTCCTAGGAACGCCGGAGTGTTGACTGCGATGTCATTCACAATCTGCCGTCTTCCTCGTTGGAGTTGAATTATCTATTTGAATGGTCATAACACCACTTATTAATCAAACAAAAGAAACATTTGCAGCAAAATGCCGTGTTGTTATAGTATAGACCTTACCACCATCAACTCAAATATATATGTACAGGGTGCCCCCCCCCCAAAAAAAACCCCTCAAACATTACAAATATCAGTATATATTTGGAGAAGAAAGTTCATTAGCTTTTCAAAAAAAAACCCAAAAACTTTCCAATTGGGTCAATATTTATTGAGTTCTGGCCAATTAAACATAAGGGGCCGATTTTTCATTTTTTTCAACGGTTTTAATTGCCATCTGAATTTGTTTAATCGTTAAGGATGGAGGAAGACAAGGTATGGATGATTGATTCCAAAACCTACCGTGTCACCCAAAGTGATGCGCACTGACTGAGTAACTGCCGTCTGGAAACTACTGGTGCTTTGCTGGTTGACAGTCACCACTTCAAACTGCGAGTTATCTGCAATGCAATCTGAGGCAAGCAGATACTCGCAGTCACCTTGGAAGGTGAAGTGGCGGCCGTCAAAGGTGGTGTAATGAGGATCGCCAACGGCAATAGCCTCAACTTCTGTGTATCAGGAGGGAAGCATTGGAAAGAAGGATTAAGAGCATCGTTCTCATCGGCTAAGCTACGTCAAAAAATAATGCAATGATGTGGTGATTGTGAAAATTGAGACAGACGGGACAGACGGGACTGACGGGACAGACAGACTTGCGACAATCCCTACAAAAAAGCAACCCATTGTGAAACGAGCTCAGTCCAAACTCTAACACCTAAGTTAAAACCTCATTTACTCCTGACTAATCAATAATACTTACTTCTTGGGTCGGCGAAATGAGGCAAGAACACAAGCAACAAGAAAAACAATACCCGAGTCACACGCCCACCCTGACAGAAGTGGAGATTCTAAGGTTTAGGAACACGGGTTAGTGTTAGTGAGAGTTTGATCCTATACCTTAAATTTGCACTTCCTAAAGGCGATTGCGGATCCTGGTCCCGTTTTTCAAGTATATTGCTTGTGTTTGCAACAAATAACTTGACCGGTATTTAAGCCTATGTAAAAGCTCTTAATTACGTTTAGTTGAACCTCACTGTTGTTGGAGTGAGCTCGCTTTACTGGGTTGCTATCAACCTTTTTATAATGTCCTACATAAACCTGAAGTGATTCTTGAAGTGTAGCTTAATTAAAATGATTACAACTAACTTTTCCTAAACAACTTACAAAAAATCTGAAATATCCTAAATTTGCATTAACTTCCGAAAAAAAATGAACCCGAAATCTTAACGACTCTTTAAAGATGTTTAACTGATAAAAAAGCAAAAAAGCAAAAAAAAAAAAAAAGTCTAAGAGATTAAGATAGAAATTAAAACCCTGCACTTATTTTGTGTGGTTCCTAAAGTTGTACCCATTTACCTCCCAAAAAGTTTGTTCCTTTACCTAATAAAGTGTTCAAGTTGAACAACAAACATTAGGTCATACAGCCCAACAAATAAAGACTTCCTTTTTTTCCTGCTAAATTAAGATCTCGGCTACATTGACAATTGACTTTTTAACCAAAAATCTCCGTATGGGCTGTCCCATGCGAAAACGGCAGCAACTAAAGTTTGACTACCTGTAATGTAACAGAACCTTCACCTAATATACATTCATCTATAGTCTTATGCAGATACCAAAGAAAAGAGTTATATACCAGTTTGTCTAATTCCTGAAGCAAAAACCTTTTCGATCTTATTACACCAACGCTACATATATCTACGCTAAACTCAGTCAACATCCTAATCTATCCAGGCAGACATGTGTCATAAAGAACACTGCCTGCCGGGCACTCCAAGATGAAGCCAATCCAACAAAACGGTGTGGCAAGTGCCCTGCGACAAGAATTGGCCCTCAAGTATTCAGCAAACACGGCCCATCCTTCTCTGGAATGTCTGAATGGAGGTGTTGTTTGAACAGTGCCGAGTTGGAGTTTGTCAACTGGGAGGTGTCCCATCGCCCATCAGGTCGAGTCGATACTGAACTCCGGTTTCATAACAGGTTGAAAGTTTAATTAAATAAGCCCATTTCGTCTGTCAAGCTAGTCGAAGTCATCAAAATTATCCTTATTCGATGCCATCAGATCACGCTCTCTTGAATCATCCATTGGGAGTTTTTTTTCCTTCACAGTTTCAGCTTCCAACTCCACGTAGTTCAATTATTAATGAAAGCGTAACCTCCAAGAAAAGTGTCTCAATGATTAGAAACATCTGAGAATGGTCTGAAATTATTCTAAAGCTTCTAGTGAAAAGGAGTTGTGTCCTCGCCTACTCGTCAACGTAACGAGTTATGATTGAATATATTCCATTTTATAATCGCGGGGTCAATGGCCATTGTGGCCACCGAATATCAAGAGAAAGAATACTTGACATCAAGATACATTGTCAGCGGCGACCATTCAACTCAAGGTTCTTTTCCCTCTTTTCAACTCCAACCGTCTGGTACAGAAAGTGTGAAAAAAGCGAGTGCTATCTAAGTCAGTCATCAAAATCGCCGTCCGTCCACTCTGCCGCCGTCGAAAGTTTCCAATGGCGAGAAAACATTTTGGCAACACATTCCAACTATGTGATGTTTTTTTCCTGTTGTTATCCGAACAAAACCATCACGGATCCACCATGAAATTCCAACTCCAGTGCGAGAAATACAACCAGCAGCCTGAGAGAGTCTCCAATGGCGGTCGGTCGATCGATGCGACGATGCCCAAGCCAAGAGCCGAAATGTGCATCGCGCTAAGCCCACAACGGTTCCCATAACGTGCGTACCAAGCAACGGTCCCTCTGCTTTTGTTCTGTGTCACTGTGTGATACCAATAGTACACAAAGCTAAACCCGACACACCCAGTATTCACATGCAACGTCCTTTCATGCTTGAAAGCAGGACAAAAGATACTACTTATCCTTCTTAATACCCCGGTACTCGTCCAGCATATGTAGACCCACCCTGTTACGTAAGTCCATGCAGATTTAGGCGCAAATTAGAAACTTCTTATACAAGAACTGATTTCCAATGACGCATGTCCACGAGCTTTGAAATGATGACGCTGCAGGTAGACATTTTATCTCAGCTTCATCAGTTGTGGATACAAATAAAGCAAACATCAGAAATGTATACCTCATCTTTAACGCATGTAATTTGTTTACATATAAAGACAACGAAATCTACAAATAAACCTATATCGTGTCATTAATTTTGTTAATGAAAGTGGAAAACCTTTGTAGTTACAGTAATATATCTAGTCCCTATTTAGAAAAGTCATCTATTTTCGGGATGAAACTCGAAAATACAAACTTTCGGGGTAGATTCTTTTTTTTTCGGAGACAGGGTCTCACCAAGATTTTCTGAGACCATTTTGAAATCCAGATTTCCCCCTAAAATGTTATTTCAAATCAAACTTTTAACCTTCTTAAAGCTTTCAATAAGGTTGCTCCTGTGTCTCCAAGCACAAAGGACATGCCTGCATTACTGTCGGGCCGCAAATAATTGGAAAATTATACATTTAATATTCCACAATTCAACATGGCGAACCTTTCCTTTGGTGTCCCATTAATAACTTTTGTGTCGCCAAAAGAAATCCAAACAAATATTTCAAGTCCCGTTGCAACTCCTAAATAGCACGTACATTACATGTTTATGCCACTAAGAGGAGAAATAATGCAGATAATATAAGTTAGAACGTACATGCCAGGTGTCGGATTATACTGCATGCATTATGAATTACATAATTTAAAAAGATCAACAACAAAAAAAGGAAAGGGAAAATGGGAATAATTCGCTGAGTTTAAAAATATCACGGCATTAAAAATTATCGAAGGAAAGAAGTTAATACTACCTGATCCGTTTTCCAGTAAATTTGACACTGTGACTAGTCTCATGTTCGTGATCTTTTCAGTAAGTTTCCTAATTGCGTACCCTTTGTAAATTACAAACCGGATTCAGATTTACACTGCCTCAATCATAGAAAAATTACGAATTATACATGAAAATAAAAATTGGCCAAACTTGAGAAAAGTGAGTTATATGATAAAAGCTCCCAAATCGTCCTCTTTATAGAATGGCTTTTGAGGAGAATAAACGGAGATTTTAAAGTAAAGAGCTTGGCCTCCTTTTGCCTTCGAATCAAACTGGAGTTTTGCTTTGTCAACGGCAAGCAAAGTCCGGGACATGACGCCACATACATTGTAAAAATGTATTCTTTAGTGAATATTTTTGTGGATCTTGTAAGAAGTAACAGCTTATTCTGTAAACAGAATAAGCTTCTTACGGCACCTTCAGGATGATAAGTGTTTACAGAAAGATACGTTGATGTTGATTCAACACGAAAGGAGATGACCAGTTTCACGATTTCTTTCAAATATACATAAAGTCGCCATTGGAATGTACGGCTTAAATATATCTACGCCCGAAGATCAAACTCCCTTTACGGGAAGAATTAATGTGACATTCTTAGCCTGGGGATGGGCGTATAGAGAAGACTGATAATCTGGACTTCTTAAAGCTTAAGCTTTTCTGGCCTTCTTTTTCGATACAAAACCTATCCAACACGCCAGCGGTAAATATAATTGGGTGCTTGTTACAAACGATCGGTATGCACTTTCTCCGTGACTGATTCGAGATGGTGTAAAAAAAGATTGTGATGTAAATAAAGGGTTCTGTCGCAGACGCCTCTTAATAGAATCAGGATCTTTATCGGGATTTTTGATCAAACAAATTCTATAGCGCGAGGTGGATAAGCAAAACAGGGACCATTAGAAATGGTTCGGGTACGGGATACGTGTGCGGCTGGCGAACAAATAGAGGGCTATATCACAATTCCGTGAAGTTATTTCAACAAACTCATATATTTCTTCACATTATGATGTGGAAGGTACATTGCTCACATGTTTTTTTTGTGTCAGATGAAAATAACCACGCAAATAGTAATTTAAAAAGGAACTTTTCCCGAGCTGCATACGTGTCCCCCGTACGCATGCAATTTCTTACCATACCATTATGGTCCCTATAGGACCTTGATCATGCTGCCACCATTTCAGTCATGTTCCCGGTATCCAATTACAGTACTGAATGATAATGTGCAAACAAGAGAAACAGGCTTTCCTTCCAGCCTCGCTTTGGTTACTTTGATTTGAATGGAAAAAATCAAGATGGCCGCAACATGATAATTGTGTCTTATACAAAGGGAACAACCCGCAGTATTGCTCACCTTCCTCACCACTCATATACATGTAGGTCTAACTTATGTCCGTAATTTCGCAATAGCGCCTCCAGCGACAGCCTCTTTCGTATTAAATTCAATGCTAAATATTAAATGTATACATTCGTCCGGACATATTTATTAACCATATTTTACACTTCTGGGTGGCCGAAAAATCCACATAATGTTTTGCATTTAAGGAGATAATGTTGAAAAGTGCCATGTTTATACCTGACAAGGCAGCGATTTTTGCGTTATCTTTAATACGTAGGCCTATTTTCAGCAGTGCATAAATTCCATCGAGTTGGAGCCAAACTGTCAAAATTAACACAGGACTGGCGCCGCTATAAAATACATACCGGGTGATAGTATGAGATCGGGTCTTGAGATAGTCAGATTTAAGAACATGGTTAAAGCATCTTCCTAAATGTTAATTGCTTCAAACAAGTTTTTGCGATGTTATCAAAAGGGCGCATACCGGCCGAGGGTACACCATAAATCATAAAGGTCTTTGCTAATTCGCTATTACTAAAAACCTGAGACCGCGTCCGACGGAATCGTCTATTAATGGTATAATCACGATGAACTTTCTTTCAATAGTCCATTAATGGCCTGCTTGTAAATCTAAGTGTAATAGAAAAAAAACTGCATCTACCGTCAGTCTTCTTTTTTTAAGACGTGATGCCGTTTCTTTGTGAGTTCAGTATTTGCTGGATTAGATAAAATAATAGGCGATGTGGACTGAAAGTATATAGGTAAGCTTCCACGAGTACGGGGATTCGGGGTAAGTGGGAAGGCAATGTTTATATACAAGCAGTGTCACTTTCTATAAACACCTCTTCTATTATCTTGTTAGGCCTACTTTCGTGAAATCTCCAGGAAAAGCATGTAGCTCTCGGCTGTTATCTAACTACACGTATTTCAAAGACGCATCATGACCCTTTTCGAGCGTGTATTTGCTTCACGAAGGACATAAATCCCGCCTAATTTCAAGACTGTTCAGCTGGGTTAAACTATAATTTTGAACGGGACGGTAACTTTTTTTTAAAATCTAAAATACATTCTTCTTCACTCAGACTCCATTGTAACTCTTATAGGTTTGCCAACATTTTTTGATGCATGTTTGAAGAAAAACCCAAGCACTAAGAAATCGATACTGTTTGTTGGATAATAATACCCCCTGCCGTTACAGACGCTCTTGTTTTGTTTTTCTAACGGGTTAAATCGATCGGACTGCAAGAGCTTAGACACTTGTGTTACTTCACACTGTTTTCAAGCACCGGGGACATAATATTTCTTGTCAGCCAAACAAGAAAACACAAAAGGCCCGGCCCACAGCACTGAAAAATAGAATCGATATCCTGCTAAAATTTACTGAAGTCTGTTCCCTGTAAATACGGGTTTAGCTGTATGTGCACGTCAAGGTCGCAAGGAGTGCGTGCACTCCTTTTATGGGATAGAATCATGAAATACATGCAACTCAACAGGTTAAAAGTATTCCAAGATGTGTAATTTACCGCGTGAAATGTACTGGGCCATAAGCCATGAACCGTTCTTTAATGGATCATTTTATCATTGAAATAATGTTCCTGTAATCAAAATTAATCTGATGGAAAACGGTGAGCGCCCATGTCCGTACCTGAAATGCAGAAATCGATGTGAATTCAACATATATCAACGTTTGAGAGGAATGGTTTATAAGCCTAGTGAATTTTCCGAAAGACAATCCCCACCCCTATTAAAAAAAAAATTTACAAAAAATCAATTTTCACAATGTATACAGGGTGAGTAACAGAAAAGGCCCCTTGGATAATTCCTTGTCTCCCACAAAAACGGGAAAGGTTACCAGTTTTTTTTTCTCTTCAGCCAACATTCGATCTGGGTATTGACCACATTCAGTACAAATTTCACTGATATTCATCCATGCACGCAAAGGATGTGTAAGCGTTCAATCAATGGCTGCCTTTGGACTTCGAATCTGAAACAGAGACATATTATTTCTGACGAAGGGAAAAGGACTTGGGAAAAACTCCCTTAGTTTCTTCTTTTTTTACATTACGAACAATCATTTCTTGTACCCTGACAACCTACAACTATGATTGAGACCCATATGGTAAATGCATGAAAACTGGTCTTGGGGTTAATAGTTCAAGTTAGTAAAAAACAACAGACTGAGACCAAAAGTACAGAACGACATGCAACAACATCCTACCAACTTCAATAACTGTTTAACCACTTTGTAATTACCGTAAGGTGCTGAGCAGCAGGTCATTCGAGGAAAGTTATTCATTCCAGACAAGTTTAAGGAAAGTTATCTTATATAAGAGTTCAAGGAAAATTGTCATCTGGAGCGAGGTATATACCTCTCTCCAGAAAGTGAAGACTAGTCACTGAAATTTGAAGCTTAAGATCCGACTAGTGAATGTCCGTATTTTTGTAACTTTAAAAGATCGACCATTGAAAAGTCTGGGTCTGGTGGAATGACTTTTCAAAAAAATGTCATGCCATATTTATAAGTGTTTCCATGCGCATTCCACGCATGTTGCTTGTTTCAATGTTTTATAGCTAAACCCATTGATTTTCTACATGCAATCTGATACATCGGACTTAATTTTTGGGAAGACAGTAGCTTCAGATGCAACAACAAAACAAACAAACAAACAACACAACAACCCAACAAACAAAAACAATTTTTTTTTTAATTAACAAAAACAGCAATCAAGTGGCATGAGTACACTAGCACTGCCGAAAACACAAATGAATCGTCAGTGAAGGGAAATGTCTGGCATCAAATTTCATTTCTAAAAGACAACTCATAACACATCATTGAAAAACGTAATCTAAGCGTACACTAAACAAATCGACAAGAATAAGACCTATGCCTACAAGTTGATCAATCTAAAGACCGGTATTCAAAGTACAGAGAAATAAAGTACACCACAACATTGGCCAGAATGAAATTCAGACTTAAACTCCCCACAATCATCTGAATAATATATAAATTCATGAAACGAAGCACGCAATAAGCAGGTATCTGCGTTGACTGACTGTACCATATCATGAAACCCCACAAACACAGACCATCCACCACAGAAGAGCTGACAACATTATCTCTGCACATGTTTTGATTTTAACAATGCATGGAGTCCCAATTTTAGAGTTTTGAAAATGAAAATAAGAAACCGTCCTACCTCCAATTTCAGCAACTTTTGTAGTTTCCGGGAAACTTGTCACATGTGGAGCTGTTGGGTTCACTGGAGAGGTAATGTTGCTAATTGTGCTAAGAGATTCTGTTGTAATACTTTCTTCGGAGGTGCCAGAAATGGTTATCTGCCCAAGGGTGGTCAATTTCAATGTCTCATGGAGGTCAGTAACTGTTTCTGTTGTTATTTTGGCAGGAGCAGTTGTCTGTACCTTTGTGCTCCCTGCATCGACAGTTAAGGTTTCTGTAAAGACAACAGTTTGTGGGAAGATCGTTTGCTGAAGAGTAGCAGGCGATGGTGTAGTGGACTGTGCGAAAGATGTATGATCCCCTGTCACCAATGAAGTAATTTCTGGCGGGGTTCCCAGAGGTGTAGATGTTTGGGGGAATTGTGTATGTTCTAGAGAATCCGTCGTCTGCCCAAAAGTACCAACTTTAGCAGTAGTAAGTTCTGAAGGGGTAAACTCAGTCATTGTTTTTCCTTCAGATGTAGTCTGTGCAACGGTTTTGCTTCTCTTCGATTCTGTTATCTGAGTCTGGGCTGGTGTATTCTGGCTTGCTGTAGTCTGCTCTGTTGTTTTATAGGTAGCTGTCACAAACAGAGTTGTTCCTGTGGTTGCAGCTTCGGTGGTAGTTGTAAACTCTTCGGTTGTTGTTTCAACTGGAGTTGAAATCTCTGCCATTGTAGTAGCTTCGGTTGCTGATGTTTGCTCCACAATGGTGCTTGATTTGGCAGTACTACTCTGCCCTGAAGCACTAACCTGAACTGTTGTCTGTGCTGGAGTTGTAGTTTCAGCCAAAGTGCTTAATTGGGAACTGGTTGTATCCTCTTTTGTCGTTGCTACAGTTGTCTCACCAACAGTTGTACTTTCAGATGCAGTGCTGACCTCAGCTTCAGTCTGCTCAACTGATGTTGATTTCTCCAGGGTGGTCGTTGCTTGGCTTACTGTCGTTTCGACAGGTGTAGTGACAACACTTCTCTCAGCGCTAGTTGTATCAGCAACCGAAGTTGTATTTTCAGAAACAGTGGTTAAAATCTTTGTCGTGGTAACCTCAACAGTGCTTTCCTGGCCTGCTGCGGTAGTACCATTTATAGCAGCTGTCGCAACATCTGTTGTAGAGTGAGCTACAGTGCTGGCCTCAGCAGTGCCGGTTTCCTGACCTGTTGTCTGAACAGCGGCTGTGGTCGTCTCTGCAGCAGTTGTTGTCTGAGACACCTTTGTTGTCTCTGTTGCAGATGTGCTCTCAATATCAAATGTTGTCTGTGCTGGAGTTGTACTTTCAGAAACAGAGATTAATCTCTTTGTCATGGTAACCTCAACACTGTTTGTTTGGCCCGGTGCGGTAGTACCATCTCTAGCAGTTGTCGCAACATCGGCTGTGGTTTTCTCTGAAGCAGTTGCTGTCTGAGATACTTTTGTTTCCCCTGCTGCGGCTGTGCTCTCAATATCAAATGTTGTCTGTGCTGGAGTTGTGAACTCGGGCAATGTAGTCACTTTGCCTAAAGTACCTACTCCCAGAGTAGTTGTTGGACCTTCGATGGTGGTTACATCTGCAACAGTTGTCTCAGCAACAAATGTGCTTTGAACAACTGTGCTGGCCCCAGCAGATGTCGTTTCCGGACTAGATGTTTCATAAGCTTTTGTTGTTGCTTCTGAAACCATTGAAACGCGGTCCGATGTGGTTTCCAAAACAGTGGGACCAAGACTAGTTGTGCTTGCTGCAGATGTGGTCTCAGCAGCCTCTATTGTATGTGCTGCAGTGGTGGTCTCGGCAGCAACTGCTGTCTGTGCAGGAGTTGTAGTTTCAGCGAAAGTACTTTCTTGGGCACTGGTTGTATACTCTTTTGTCGTTGCTACAGTTGTCTCACCAACAGTTGTACTTTCAGATGCAGTGCTGATCTCAGGTTCAGTCTGTTCAACTGTTGTTGATTTTTCCAGGGTGGTAGGTGATTGGCTTACTGTCGATTCGACATGTGTAGTAACAACAGTTCTCTCAGCGCTAGTCGTATCGGCAACTAATGTTGTCTTTGCTGAAGTTGTACTGTCAGAAACAGGGGTTAATCTATCTGTTGTGGTAACCTCAGCAGTGCTTGTCTGACCTGGTAAGGTGGTACCATCTCCATAAGTTGTAGCAGGGTCTGTTGTAGAGTGAGTTACAGTGGTGACCTCAGCAGTGGCAGGTTCCTGATCCGTTGTGGTCGCCTCTGCACCAGTTGTCTTAGCAGATGTGCTGATAGCAGCTGATGTCTCAGAAGCTGTAGTTGTTACCTGATCTGTTGTGATACCTTCAGAGACAGTTGTTTCAAGAGATGTAGTCACACCCTGTGTGGTAGTCTCGACGTCAACAGTAGTATCAGCCACAGTGGTACTTCTGCCGGTTGTGGCAACCTCTGGAGTTGTCTGGGATGTTCTGGTGGATAAAGCTCCTGTACTGCTCTTTGCTAGAGTAGTCTCAGTACCAGTGGTTATTCCAAGGGATGTGCTCGCACCAGCTGATGTCTGTGCAGCTGTGGTTATTCCCTCCTCTGTGGTCGTACCTACAGCAATAGTAGTTTCCACAGGTGTAGTCACAATTGAAGTTGTTGCCTCTGCTACAATTGTAGTTTCAGCCACAGTTGTAGCTCTATAGGTTGAGGCTATTTCTGGAATGGTTGTCTCAGATGTTATGTGAGTTACAGCTTCTGTGCTTCTCTCTGCCAAAGTAGTCTCAATACCAGAGGTTATTCCTACAGTTGTGCTAATACCAGCTGACGTCTGTGCAGCTGTAGTTGATCTCTGCTCTGTGGTGGTACTTTCAACAAAAGTAGTTTCAGCAGATGTAGTCACTGCTGGTGTTGTTGTCTCTGCCACAACTGTGGTTTCAACCAGAGTTGTATCTCTCCTGGTCTTGGCTTCCTCATCAGTTATTGTCTGGGATATCATGCTTGTAACAGCTTCTGTAGTTCTGTCTGGAACAGTTGTCTCAATCCCAGTGGTTAAAACAGAAGTTGTGCCAATATCAGATGTTTGAGCAGCTGTGGTTGTTGCGGGAGCTATTGTACTACCTTCATCAACAGTGGTGTGTGCAGGTGAAGTGGTGTGTGCAGTTGTCTCTGCTGCAATGGTTGTCCCGATCACGGTTGAGGCACCGACTGTTGTGACCTTATCCTCAAAAGTTGTCTCGGCTGCTGTTGATGTACCAGCTGCTGCAGTTGTCTCTGCACCTGCAGTAGTGGTCTTGGTAGATGTGCTGATAGCAGCTGATGTCTGAGGAACTGTAGTTGTTACCTGATCTGTTGTGATACCTTCAGCGACGGTTGTTTCAACAGATGTAGTCACAGTAGTATCAGCAACAGTGGTACTTCTGCCGGTTGTGGCCACCTCTGGAGTTGTCTGGGATGTTCTGGTGGATAAAGCTTCTGTACTGCTCTCTGCTAGAGTAGTCTCAGTACCAGTGGTTATTCCTAGGGATGTGCTCGCACCAGCTGATGTCTGTGCAGCTGTGGTTATTCCCTCCTCTGTGGTCGTACCTACAACAATAGTAGTTTCCACAGGTGTAGTCACAATTGAAGTTGTTGCCTCTGCTACAATTGTAGTTTCAACCACAGTTGTCGCTCTATAGGTTGAGGCTATTTCTGGAATGGTTGTCTCAGATGTTATGTGATTTACAGCTTCTGTGCTTCTCTCTGCCAAAGTAGTCTCAATACCAGAGGTTATTCCTACAGTTGTGCTAATACCAGCTGACGTCTGTGCAGCTGTAGTTGATCTCTGCTCTGTGGTGGTACTTTCAGCAAAAGTAGTTTCAGCAGATGTAGTCACTGCTGGTGTTGTTGTCTCTGCCACAACTGTGGTTTCAACCAGAGTTGTATATCTCCTGGTCGTGGCTTCCTCATCAGTTATTGTCTGGGATATCATGTTTGTAACAGCTTCTGTAGTTCTGTCTGGAACAGTTGTCTCAATCCCAGTGGTTAAAACAGAAGTTGTGCCAATATCAGATGTTTGAGCAGCTGTGGTTGTTGCGGGAGCTATTGTACTACCTTCATCAACAGTGGTGTGTGCAGGTGAAGTGGTGTGTGCAGTTGTCTCTGCTGCAATGGTTGTCCCGATCACGGTTGAGGCACCGACTGTTGTGACCTTATCCTCAGAAGTTGTCTCGGCTGCTGTTGATGTACCAGCTGCTGCAGTTGTCTCTGCACCTGTAGTAGTGGTCTTGGTAGATGTGCTGATAGCAGCTGATGTCTGAGGAACTGTAGTTGTTACCTGATCTGTTGTGATACCTTCAGCGACGGTTGTTTCAACAGATGTAGTCACACCCTGTGTGGTAGTCTCGACGTCAACAGTAGTATCAGCAACAGTGGTACTTCTGCCGGTTGTGGCAACCTCTGGAGTTGTCTGGGATGTTCTGGTGGATAAAGCTTCTGTACTGCTCTCTGCTAGAGTAGTCTCAGTACCAGTGGTTATTCCCTGGGATGTGCTCGCACCAGCTGATGTCTGTGCAGCTGTGGTTATTCCCTCCTCTGTGGTCGTACCTACAGCAATAGTAGTTTCCACAGGTGTAGTCACAATTGAAGTTGTTGCCTCTGCTACAATTGTAGTTTCAGCCACAGTTGTAGCTCTATAGGTTGAGGCTATTTCTGGAATGGTTGTCTCAGATGTTATTTGAGTTACAGCTTCTGTGCTTCTCTCTGCCAAAGTAGTCTCAATACCAGAGGTTATTCCTACAGTTGTGCTAATACCAGCTGACGTCTGTGCAGCTGTAGTTGATCTCTGCTCTGTGGTGGTACTTTCAGCAAAAGTAGTTTCAGCAGATGTAGTCACTGCTGGTGTTGTTGTCTCTGCCACAACTGTGGTTACTAACAGAGTTGTATCTCTCCTGGTCGTGGCTTCCTCATCAGTTATTGTCTGGGATATCATGCTTGTAACAGCTTCTGTAGTTCTGTCTGGAACAGTTGTCTCAATCCCAGTGGTTAAAACAGAAGTTGTGCCAATATCAGATGTTTGAGCAGCTGTGGTTGTTGCGGGAGCTATTGTACTACCTTCATCAACAGTGGTGTGTGCAGGTGAAGTGGTGTGTGCAGTTGTCTCTGCTGCAATGGTTGTCCCGATCACGGTTGAGGCACCGACTGTTGTGACCTTATCCTCAGAAGTTGTCTCGGCTGCTGTTGATGTACCAGCTGCTGCAGTTGTCTCTGCACCTGCAGTAGTAGTCTTGGTAGATGTGCTGATAGCAGCTGATGTCTGAGGAACTGTAGTTGTTACCTGATCTGTTGTGATACCTTCAGCGACGGTTGTTTCAAGAAATGTAATCACACCCTGTGTGGTAGTCTCGACGTCAACAGTAGTATCAGCCACAGTGGTACTTCTGCCGGTTGTGGCCACCTCTGGAGTTGTCTGGGATGTTCTGGTGGATAAAGCTTCTGTACTGCTCTTTGCTAGAGTAGTCTCAGTACCAGTGGTTATTCCTAGGGATGTGCTCGCACCAGCTGATGTCTGTGCAGCTGTGGTGATTCCCTCCTCTGTGGTCGTACCTACAGCAATAGTAGTTTCCACAGGTGTAGTCACAATTGAAGTTGTTGCCTCTGCTACAATTGTAGTTTCAGCCACAGTTGTAGCTCTATAGGTTGAGGCTATTTCTGGAATGGTTGTCTCAGATGTTATGTGAGTTGCAGCTTCTGTGCTTCTCTCTGCCAAAGTAGTCTCAATACCAGAGGTTATTCCTACAGTTGTGCTAATACCAGCTGACGTCTGTGCAGCTGTAGTTGATCTCTGCTCTGTGGTGGTACTTTCAGCAAAAGTAGTTTCAGCAAATGTAGTCACTGCTGGTGTTGTTGTCTCTGCCACAACTGTGGTTTCAACCAGAGTTGTATCTCTCCTGGTCGTGGCTTCCTCATCAGTTATTGTCTGGGATATCATGCTTGTAACAGCTTCTGTAGTTCTGTCTGGAACAGTTGTCTCAATCCCAGTGGTTAAAACAGAAGTTGTGCCAATATCAGATGTTTGAGCAGCTGTGGTTGTTGCGGGAGCTTTTGTACTACCTTCATCAACAGTGGTGTGTGCAAGTGAAGTGGTGTGTGCAGTTGTCTCTGCTGCAATGGTTGTCCAGATCACGGTTGAGGCACCGACTGTTGTGACCTTATCCTCAGAAGTTGTCTCGGCTGCTGTTGATGTACCAGCTGCTGCAGTTGTCTCTGCACCTGCAGTAGTGGTCTTGGTAGATGTGCTGATAGCAGCTGATGTCGGAGGAACTGTAGTTGTTACCTGATCTGTTGTGATACCTTCAGCGACGGTTGTTTCAACAGATGTAGTCACACCCTGTGTGGTAGTCTCGACGTCAACAGTAGTATCAGCAACAGTGGTACTTCTGCCGGTTGTGGCAACCTCTGGAGTTGTCTGGGATGTTCTGGTGGATAAAGCTTCTGTACTGCTCTTTGCTAGAGTAGTCTCAGTACCAGTGGTTATTCCTAGGGATGTGCTCGCACCAGCTGATGTCTGTGCAGCTGTGGTTATTCCCTCCTCTGTGGTCGTACCTACAGCAATAGTAGTTTCCACAGGTGTAGTCACAATTGAAGTTGTTGCCTCTGCTACAATTGTAGTTTCAGCCACAGTTGTCGCTCTATAGGTTGAGGCTATTTCTGGAATGGTTGTCTCAGATGTTATGTGAGTTACAGCTTCTGTGCTTCTCTCTGCCAAAGTAGTCTCAATACCAGAGGTTATTCCTACAGTTGTGCTAATACCAGCTGACGTCTGTGCAGCTGTAGTTGATCTCTGCTCTGTGGTGGTACTTTCAGCAAAAGTAGTTTCAGCAGATGTAGTCACTGCTGGTGTTGTTGTCTCTGCCACAACTGTGGTTTCAACCAGAGTTGTATCTCTCCTGGTCGTGGCTTCCTCATCAGTTATTGTCTGGGATATCATGCTTGTAACAGCTTCTGTAGTTCTGTCTGGAACAGTTGTCTCAATCTCAGTGGTTAAAACAGAAGTTGTGCCAATATCAGATGTTTGAGCAGCTGTGGTTGTTGCGGGAGCTTTTGTACTACCTTCATCAACAGTGGTGTGTGCAGGTGAAGTGGTGTGTGCAGATGTCTCTGCTGCAATGGTTGTCCCGATCACGGTTGAGGCACCGACTGTTGTGACCTTATCCTCAGAAGTTGTCTCGGCTGCTGTTGATGTACCAGCTGCTGCAGTTGTCTCTGCACCTGCAGTAGTGGTCTTGGTAGATGTGCTGATAGCAGCTGATGTCTGAGGAACTGTAGTTGTTACCTGATCTGTTGTGATACCTTCAGCGACAGTTGTTTCAACAGATGTAGTCACACCCTGTGTGGTAGTCTCGACGTCAACAGTAGTATCAGCCACAGTGGTACTTCTGCCGGTTGTGGCAACCTCTGGAGTTGTCTGGGATGTTCTGGTGGATAAAGCTTCTGTACTGCTCTTTGCTAGAGTAGTCTCAGTACCAGTGGTTATTCCAAGGGATGTGCTCGCACCAGCTGATGTCTGTGCAGCTGTGGTTATTCCCTCCTCTGTGGTCGTACCTACAGCAATAGTAGTTTCCACAGGTGTAGAAACAATTGAAGTTGTTGCCTCTGCTACAATTGTAGTTTCAGCCACAGTTGTAGCTCTATAGGTTGAGGCTATTTCTGGAATGGTTGTCTCAGATGTTATGTGAGTTACAGCTTCTGTGCTTCTCTCTGCCAAAGTAGTCTCAATACCAGAGGTTTTTCCTACAGTTGTGCTAATACCAGCTGACGTCTGTGCAGCTGTAGTTGATCTCTGCTCTGTGGTGGTACTTTCAGCAAAAGTAGTTTCAGCAGATGTAGTCACTGCTGGTGTTGTTGTCTCTGCCACAACTGTGGTTTCAACCAGAGTTGTATCTCTCCTGGTCGTGGCTTCCTCATCAGTTATTGTCTGGGATATCATGCTTGTAACAGCTTCTGTAGTTCTGTCTGGAACAGTTGTCTCAATCCCAGTGGTTAAAACAGAAGTTGTGCCAATATCAGATGTTTGAGCAGCTGTGGTTGCGGGAGCTATTGTACTACCTTCATCAACAGTGGTGTGTGCAGGTGAAGTGGTGTGTGCAGATTTCTCTGCTGCAATGGTTGTCCCGATCACGGTTGAGGCACCGACTGTTGTGACCTTATCCTCAGAAGTTGTCTCGGCTGCTGTTGATGTACCAGCTGCTGCAGTTGTCTCTGCACCTGCAGTAGTGGTCTTGGTAGATGTGCTGATAGCAGCTGATGTCTGAGGAACTGTAGTTGTTACCTGATCTGTTGTGATACCTTCAGCGACGGTTGTTTCAACAGATGTAGTCACACCCTGTGTGGTAGTCTCGACGTCAACAGTAGTATCAGCAACAGTGGTACTTCTGCCGGTTGTGGCAACCTCTGGAGTTGTCTGGGATGTTCTGGTGGATAAAGCTTCTGTACTGCTCTTTGCTAGAGTAGTCTCAGTACCAGTGGTTATTCCAAGGGATGTGCTCGCACCAGCTGATGTCTGTGCAGCTGTGGTTATTCCCTCCTCTGTGGTCGTACCTACAGCAATAGTAGTTTCCACAGGTGTAGTCACAATTGAAGTTGTTGCCTCTGCTACAATTGTAGTTTCAGCCACAGTTGTAGCTCTATAGGTTGAGGCTATTTCTGGAATGGTTGTCTCAGATGTTATGTGAGTTACAGCTTCTGTGCTTCTCTCTGCCAAAGTAGTCTCAATACCAGAGGTTATTCCTACAGTTGTGCTAATACCAGCTGACGTCTGTGCAGCTGTAGTTGATCTCTGCTCTGTGGTGGTACTTTCAGCAAAAGTAGTTTCAGCAGATGTAGTCACTGCTGGTGTTGTTGTCTCTGCCACAACTGTGGTTTCAACCAGAGTTGTATCTCTCCTGGTCGTGGCTTCCTCATCAGTTATTGTCTGGGATATCATGCTTGTAACAGCTTCTGTAGTTCTGTCTGGAACAGTTGTCTCAATCCCAGTGGTTAAAACAGAAGTTGTGCCAATATCAGATGTTTGAGCAGCTTTGGTTGTTGCGGGAGCTATTGTACTACCTTCATCAACAGTGGTGTGTGCAGGTGAAGTGGTGTGTGCAGTTGTCTCTGCTGCAATGGTTGTCCCGATCACGGTTGAGGCACCGACTGTTGTGACCTTATCCTCAGAAGTTGTCTCGGCTGCTGTTGATGTACCAGCTGCTGCAGTTGTCTCTGCACCTGCAGTAGTGGTCTTGGTAGATGTGCTGATAGCAGCTGATGTCTGAGGAACTGTAGTTGTTACCTGATCTGTTGTGATACCTTCAGCGACGGTTGTTTCAACAGATGTAGTCACACCCTGTGTGGTAGTCTCGACGTCAACAGTAGTATCAGCAACAGTGGTACTTCTGCCGGTTGTGGCAACCTCTGGAGTTGTCTGGGATGTTCTGGTGGATAAAGCTTCTGTACTGCTCTTTGCTAGAGTAGTCTCAGTACCAGTGGTTATTCCAAGGGATGTGCTCGCACCAGCTGATGTCTGTGCAGCTGTGGTTATTCCCTCCTCTGTGGTCGTACCTACAGCAATAGTAGTTTCCACAGGTGTAGTCACAATTGAAGTTGTTGCCTCTGCTACAATTGTAGTTTCAGCCACAGTTGTAGCTCTATAGGTTGAGGCTATTTCTGGAATGGTTGTCTCAGATGTTATTTGAGTTACAGCTTCTGTGCTTCTCTCTGCCAAAGTAGTCTCAATACCAGAGGTTATTCCTACAGTTGTGCTAATACCAGCTGACGTCTGTGCAGCTGTAGTTGATCTCTGCTCTGTGGTGGTACTTTCAGCAAAAGTAGTTTCAGCAGATGTAGTCACTGCTGGTGTTGTTGTCTCTGCCACAACTGTGGTTTCAACCAGAGTTGTATCTCTCCTGGTCGTGGCTTCCTCATCAGTTATTGTCTGGGATATCATGCTTGTAACAGCTTCTGTAGTTCTGTCTGGAACAGTTGTCTCAATCCCAGTGGTTAAAACAGAAGTTGTGCCAATATCAGATGTTTGAGCAGCTGTGGTTGTTGCGGGAGCTATTGTACTACCTTCATCAACAGTGGTGTGTGCAGGTGAAGTGGTGTGTGCAGTTGTCTCTGCTGCAATGGTTGTCCCGATCACGGTTGAGGCACCGACTGTTGTGACCTTATCCTCAGAAGTTGTCTCGGCTGCTGTTGATGTACCAGCTGCTGCAGTTGTCTCTGCACCTGCAGTAGTGGTCTTGGTAGATGTGCTGATAGCAGCTGATGTCGGAGGAACTGTAGTTGTTACCTGATCTGTTGTGATACCTTCAGCGACGGTTGTTTCAACAGATGTAGTCACACCCTGTGTGGTAGTCTCGACGTCAACAGTAGTATCAGCAACAGTGGTACTTCTGCCGGTTGTGGCAACCTCTGGAGTTGTCTGGGATGTTCTGGTGGATAAAGCTTCTGTACTGCTCTCTGCTAGAGTAGTCTCAGTACCAGTGGTTATTCCTAGGGATGTGCTCGCACCAGCTGATGTCTGTGCAGCTGTGGTTATTCCCTCCTCTGTGGTCGTACCTACAGCAATAGTAGTTTCCACAGGTGTAGTCACAATTGAAGTTGTTGCCTCTGCTACAATTGTAGTTTCAGCCACAGTTGTAGCTCTATAGGTTGAGGCTATTTCTGGAATTGTTGTCTCAGATGTTATTTGAGTTACAGCTTCTGTGCTTCTCTCTGCCAAAGTAGTCTCAATACCAGAGGTTATTCCTACAGTTGTGCTAATACCAGCTGACGTCTGTGCAGCTGTAGTTGATCTCTGCTCTGTGGTGGTACTTTCAGCAAAAGTAGTTTCAGCAGATGTAGTCACTGCTGGTGTTGTTGTCTCTGCCACAACTGTGGTTTCAACCAGAGTTGTATCTCTCCTGGTCGTGGCTTCCTCATCAGTTATTGTCTGGGATATCATGCTTGTAACAGCTTCTGTAGTTCTGTCTGGAACAGTTGTCTCAATCCCAGTGGTTAAAACAGAAGTTGTGCCAATATCAGATGTTTGAGCAGCTGTGGTTGTTGCGGGAGCTATTGTACTACCTTCATCAACAGTGGTGTGTGCAGGTGAAGTGGTGTGTGCAGTTGTCTCTGCTGCAATGGTTGTCCCGATCACGGTTGAGGCACCGACTGTTGTGACCTTATCCTCAGAAGTTGTCTCGGCTGCTGTTGATGTACCAGCTGCTGCAGTTGTCTCTGCACCTGCAGTAGTGGTCTTGGTAGATGTGCTGATAGCAGCTGATGTCTGAGGAACTGTAGTTGTTACCTGATCTGTTGTGATACCTTCAGCGACAGTTGTTTCAACAGATGTAGTCACACCCTGTGTGGTAGTCTCGACGTCAACAGTAGTATCAGCCACAGTGGTACTTCTGCCGGTTGTGGCAACCTCTGGAGTTGTCTGGGATGTTCTGGTGGATAAAGCTTCTGTACTGCTCTCTGCTAGAGTAGTCTCAGTACCAGTGGTTATTCCTAGGGATGTGCTCGCACCAGCTGATGTCTGTGCAGCTGTGGTTATTCCCTCCTCTGTGGTCGTACCTACAGCAATAGTAGTTTCCACAGGTGTAGTCACAATTGAAGTTGTTGCCTCTGCTACAATTGTAGTTTCAGCCACAGTTGTAGCTCTATAGGTTGAGGCTATTTCTGGAATGGTTGTCTCAGATGTTATGTGAGTTACAGCTTCTGTGCTTCTCTCTGCCAAAGTAGTCTCAATACCAGAGGTTATTCCTACAGTTGTGCTAATACCAGCTGACGTCTGTGCAGCTGTAGTTGATCTCTGCTCTGTGGTGGTACTTTCAGCAAAAGTAGTTTCAGCAGATGTAGTCACTGCTGGTGTTGTTGTCTCTGCCACAACTGTGGTTTCAACCAGAGTTGTATCTCTCCTGGTCGTGGCTTCCTCATCAGTTATTGTCTGGGATATCATGCTTGTAACAGCTTCTGTAGTTCTGTCTGGAACAGTTGTCTCAATCCCAGTGGTTAAAACAGAAGTTGTGCCAATATCAGATGTTTGAGCAGCTGTGGTTGTTGCGGGAGCTATTGTACTACCTTCATCAACAGTGGTGTGTGCAGGTGAAGTGGTGTGTGCAGTTGTCTCTGCTGCAATGGTTGTCCCGATCACGGTTGAGGCACCGACTGTTGTGACCTTATCCTCAGAAGTTGTCTCGGCTGCTGTTGATGTACCAGCTGCTGCAGTTGTCTCTGCACCTGCAGTAGTGGTCTTGGTAGATGTGCTGATAGCAGCTGATGTCTGAGGAACTGTAGTTGTTACCTGATCTGTTGTGATACCTTCAGCGACGGTTGTTTCAACAGATGTAGTCACACCCTGTGTGGTAGTCTCGACGTCAACAGTAGTATCAGCCACAGTGGTACTTCTGCCGGTTGTGGCAACCTCTGGAGTTGTCTGGGATGTTCTGGTGGATAAAGCTTCTGTACTGCTCTTTGCTAGAGTAGTCTCAGTACCAGTGGTTATTCCTAGGGATGTGCTCGCACCAGCTGATGTCTGTGCAGCTGTGGTTATTCCCTCCTCTGTGGTCGTACCTACAGCAATAGTAGTTTCCACAGGTGTAGTCACAATTGAAGTTGTTGCCTCTGCTACAATTGTAGTTTCAGCCACAGTTGTAGCTCTATAGGTTGAGGCTATTTCTGGAATGGTTGTCTCAGATGTTATTTGAGTTACAGCTTCTGTGCTTCTCTCTGCCAAAGTAGTCTCAATACCAGAGGTTATTCCTACAGTTGTGCTAATACCAGCTGACGTCTGTGCAGCTGTAGTTGATCTCTGCTCTGTGGTGGTACTTTCAGCAAAAGTAGTTTCAGCAGATGTAGTCACTGCTGGTGTTGTTGTCTCTGCCACAACTGTGGTTTCAACCAGAGTTGTATCTCTCCTGGTCGTGGCTTCCTCATCAGTTATTGTCTGGGATATCATGCTTGTAACAGCTTCTGTAGTTCTGTCTGGAACAGTTGTCTCAATCCCAGTGGTTAAAACAGAAGTTGTGCCAATATCAGATGTTTGAGCAGCTGTGGTTGTTGCGGGAGCTTTTGTACTACCTTCATCAACAGTGGTGTGTGCAGGTGAAGTGGTGTGTGCAGTTGTCTCTGCTGCAATGGTTGTCCCGATCACGGTTGAGGCACCGACTGTTGTGACCTTATCCTCAGAAGTTGTCTCGGCTGCTGTTGATGTACCAGCTGCTGCAGTTGTCTCTGCACCTGCAGTAGTGGTCTTGGTAGATGTGCTGATAGCAGCTGATGTCTGAGGAACTGTAGTTGTTACCTGATCTGTTGTGATACCTTCAGCGACAGTTGTTTCAACAGATGTAGTCACACCCTGTGTGGTAGTCTCGACGTCAACAGTAGTATCAGCCACAGTGGTACTTCTGCCGGTTGTGGCAACCTCTGGAGTTGTCTGGGATGTTCTGGTGGATAAAGCTTCTGTACTGCTCTTTGCTAGAGTAGTCTCAGTACCAGTGGTTATTCCTAGGGATGTGCTCGCACCAGCTGATGTCTGTGCAGCTGTGGTTATTCCCTCCTCTGTGGTCGTACCTACAGCAATAGTAGTTTCCACAGGTGTAGTCACAATTGAAGTTGTTGCCTCTGCTACAATTGTAGTTTCAGCCACAGTTGTAGCTCTATAGGTTGAGGCTATTTCTGGAATGGTTGTCTCAGATGTTATTTGAGTTACAGCTTCTGTGCTTCTCTCTGCCAAAGTAGTCTCAATACCAGAGGTTATTCCTACAGTTGTGCTAATACCAGCTGACGTCTGTGCAGCTGTAGTTGATCTCTGCTCTGTGGTGGTACTTTCAGCAAAAGTAGTTTCAGCAGATGTAGTCACTGCTGGTGTTGTTGTCTCTGCCACAACTGTGGTTTCAACCAGAGTTGTATCTCTCCTGGTCGTGGCTTCCTCATCAGTTATTGTCTGGGATATCATGCTTGTAACAGCTTCTGTAGTTCTGTCTGGAACAGTTGTCTCAATCCCAGTGGTTAAAACAGAAGTTGTGCCAATATCAGATGTTTGAGCAGCTGTGGTTGTTGCGGGAGCTATTGTACTACCTTCATCAACAGTGGTGTGTGCAGGTGAAGTGGTGTGTGCAGTTGTCTCTGCTGCAATGGTTGTCCCGATCACGGTTGAGGCACCGACTGTTGTGACCTTATCCTCAGAAGTTGTCTCGGCTGCTGTTGATGTACCAGCTGCTGCAGTTGTCTCTGCACCTGCAGTAGTGGTCTTGGTAGATGTGCTGATAGCAGCTGATGTCTGAGGAACTGTAGTTGTTACCTGATCTGTTGTGATACCTTCAGCGACGGTTGTTTCAACAGATGTAGTCACACCCTGTGTGGTAGTCTCGACGTCAACAGTAGTATCAGCCACAGTGGTACTTCTGCCGGTTGTGGCAACCTCTGGAGTTGTCTGGGATGTTCTGGTGGATAAAGCTTCTGTACTGCTCTTTGCTAGAGTAGTCTCAGTACCAGTGGTTATTCCTAGGGATGTGCTCGCACCAGCTGATGTCTGTGCAGCTGTGGTTATTCCCTCCTCTGTGGTCGTACCTACAGCAATAGTAGTTTCCACAGGTGTAGTCACAATTGAAGTTGTTGCCTCTGCTACAATTGTAGTTTCAGCCACAGTTGTAGCTCTATAGGTTGAGGCTATTTCTGGAATGGTTGTCTCAGATGTTATGTGAGTTACAGCTTCTGTGCTTCTCTCTGCCAAAGTAGTCTCAATACCAGAGGTTATTCCTACAGTTGTGCTAATACCAGCTGACGTCTGTGCAGCTGTAGTTGATCTCTGCTCTGTGGTGGTACTTTCAGCAAAAGTAGTTTCAGCAGATGTAGTCACTGCTGGTGTTGTTGTCTCTGCCACAACTGTGGTTTCAACCAGAGTTGTATCTCTCCTGGTCGTGGCTTCCTCATCAGTTATTGTCTGGGATATCATGCTTGTAACAGCTTCTGTAGTTCTGTCTGGAACAGTTGTCTCAATCCCAGTGGTTAAAACAGAAGTTGTGCCAATATCAGATGTTTGAGCAGCTGTGGTTGTTGCGGGAGCTATTGTACTACCTTCATCAACAGTGGTGTGTGCAGGTGAAGTGGTGTGTGCAGTTGTCTCTGCTGCAATGGTTGTCCCGATCACGGTTGAGGCACCGACTGTTGTGACCTTATCCTCAGAAGTTGTCTCGGCTGCTGTTGATGTACCAGCTGCTGCAGTTGTCTCTGCACCTGCAGTAGTGGTCTTGGTAGATGTGCTGATAGCAGCTGATGTCTGAGGAACTGTAGTTGTTACCTGATCTGTTGTGATACCTTCAGCGACAGTTGTTTCAACAGATGTAGTCACACCCTGTGTGGTAGTCTCGACGTCAACAGTAGTATCAGCCACAGTGGTACTTCTGCCGGTTGTGGCAACCTCTGGAGTTGTCTGGGATGTTCTGGTGGATAAAGCTTCTGTACTGCTCTTTGCTAGAGTAGTCTCAGTACCAGTGGTTATTCCTAGGGATGTGCTCGCACCAGCTGATGTCTGTGCAGCTGTGGTTATTCCCTCCTCTGTGGTCGTACCTACAGCAATAGTAGTTTCCACAGGTGTAGTCACAATTGAAGTTGTTGCCTCTGCTACAATTGTAGTTTCAGCCACAGTTGTAGCTCTATAGGTTGAGGCTATTTCTGGAATGGTTGTCTCAGATGTTATTTGAGTTACAGCTTCTGTGCTTCTCTCTGCCAAAGTAGTCTCAATACCAGAGGTTATTCCTACAGTTGTGCTAATACCAGCTGACGTCTGTGCAGCTGTAGTTGATCTCTGCTCTGTGGTGGTACTTTCAGCAAAAGTAGTTTCAGCAGATGTAGTCACTGCTGGTGTTGTTGTCTCTGCCACAACTGTGGTTTCAACCAGAGTTGTATCTCTCCTGGTCGTGGCTTCCTCATCAGTTATTGTCTGGGATATCATGCTTGTAACAGCTTCTGTAGTTCTGTCTGGAACAGTTGTCTCAATCCCAGTGGTTAAAACAGAAGTTGTGCCAATATCAGATGTTTGAGCAGCTGTGGTTGTTGCGGGAGCTATTGTACTACCTTCATCAACAGTGGTGTGTGCAGGTGAAGTGGTGTGTGCAGTTGTCTCTGCTGCAATGGTTGTCCCGATCACGGTTGAGGCACCGACTGTTGTGACCTTATCCTCAGAAGTTGTCTCGGCTGCTGTTGATGTACCAGCTGCTGCAGTTGTCTCTGCACCTGCAGTAGTGGTCTTGGTAGATGTGCTGATAGCAGCTGATGTCTGAGGAACTGTAGTTGTTACCTGATCTGTTGTGATACCTTCAGCGACGGTTGTTTCAACAGATGTAGTCACACCCTGTGTGGTAGTCTCGACGTCAACAGTAGTATCAGCCACAGTGGTACTTCTGCCGGTTGTGGCAACCTCTGGAGTTGTCTGGGATGTTCTGGTGGATAAAGCTTCTGTACTGCTCTTTGCTAGAGTAGTCTCAGTACCAGTGGTTATTCCTAGGGATGTGCTCGCACCAGCTGATGTCTGTGCAGCTGTGGTTATTCCCTCCTCTGTGGTCGTACCTACAGCAATAGTAGTTTCCACAGGTGTAGTCACAATTGAAGTTGTTGCCTCTGCTACAATTGTAGTTTCAGCCACAGTTGTAGCTCTATAGGTTGAGGCTATTTCTGGAATGGTTGTCTCAGATGTTATTTGAGTTACAGCTTCTGTGCTTCTCTCTGCCAAAGTAGTCTCAATACCAGAGGTTATTCCTACAGTTGTGCTAATACCAGCTGACGTCTGTGCAGCTGTAGTTGATCTCTGCTCTGTGGTGGTACTTTCAGCAAAAGTAGTTTCAGCAGATGTAGTCACTGCTGGTGTTGTTGTCTCTGCCACAACTGTGGTTTCAACCAGAGTTGTATCTCTCCTGGTCGTGGCTTCCTCATCAGTTATTGTCTGGGATATCATGCTTGTAACAGCTTCTGTAGTTCTGTCTGGAACAGTTGTCTCAATCCCAGTGGTTAAAACAGAAGTTGTGCCAATATCAGATGTTTGAGCAGCTGTGGTTGTTGCGGGAGCTATTGTACTACCTTCATCAACAGTGGTGTGTGCAGGTGAAGTGGTGTGTGCAGTTGTCTCTGCTGCAATGGTTGTCCCGATCACGGTTGAGGCACCGACTGTTGTGACCTTATCCTCAGAAGTTGTCTCGGCTGCTGTTGATGTACCAGCTGCTGCAGTTGTCTCTGCACCTGCAGTAGTGGTCTTGGTAGATGTGCTGATAGCAGCTGATGTCTGAGGAACTGTAGTTGTTACCTGATCTGTTGTGATACCTTCAGCGACAGTTGTTTCAACAGATGTAGTCACACCCTGTGTGGTAGTCTCGACGTCAACAGTAGTATCAGCCACAGTGGTACTTCTGCCGGTTGTGGCAACCTCTGGAGTTGTCTGGGATGTTCTGGTGGATAAAGCTTCTGTACTGCTCTCTGCTAGAGTAGTCTCAGTACCAGTGGTTATTCCTAGGGATGTGCTCGCACCAGCTGATGTCTGTGCAGCTGTGGTTATTCCCTCCTCTGTGGTCGTACCTACAGCAATAGTAGTTTCCACAGGTGTAGTCACAATTGAAGTTGTTGCCTCTGCTACAATTGTAGTTTCAGCCACAGTTGTAGCTCTATAGGTTGAGGCTATTTCTGGAATGGTTGTCTCAGATGTTATTTGAGTTACAGCTTCTGTGCTTCTCTCTGCCAAAGTAGTCTCAATACCAGAGGTTATTCCTACAGTTGTGCTAATACCAGCTGACGTCTGTGCAGCTGTAGTTGATCTCTGCTCTGTGGTGGTACTTTCAGCAAAAGTAGTTTCAGCAGATGTAGTCACTGCTGGTGTTGTTGTCTCTGCCACAACTGTGGTTTCAACCAGAGTTGTATCTCTCCTGGTCGTGGCTTCCTCATCAGTTATTGTCTGGGATATCATGCTTGTAACAGCTTCTGTAGTTCTGTCTGGAACAGTTGTCTCAATCCCAGTGGTTAAAACAGAAGTTGTGCCAATATCAGATGTTTGAGCAGCTGTGGTTGTTGCGGGAGCTATTGTACTACCTTCATCAACAGTGGTGTGTGCAGGTGAAGTGGTGTGTGCAGTTGTCTCTGCTGCAATGGTTGTCCCGATCACGGTTGAGGCACCGACTGTTGTGACCTTATCCTCAGAAGTTGTCTCGGCTGCTGTTGATGTACCAGCTGCTGCAGTTGTCTCTGCACCTGCAGTAGTGGTCTTGGTAGATGTGCTGATAGCAGCTGATGTCTGAGGAACTGTAGTTGTTACCTGATCTGTTGTGATACCTTCAGCGACGGTTGTTTCAACAGATGTAGTCACACCCTGTGTGGTAGTCTCGACGTCAACAGTAGTATCAGCCACAGTGGTACTTCTGCCGGTTGTGGCAACCTCTGGAGTTGTCTGGGATGTTCTGGTGGATAAAGCTTCTGTACTGCTCTTTGCTAGAGTAGTCTCAGTACCAGTGGTTATTCCTAGGGATGTGCTCGCACCAGCTGATGTCTGTGCAGCTGTGGTTATTCCCTCCTCTGTGGTCGTACCTACAGCAATAGTAGTTTCCACAGGTGTAGTCACAATTGAAGTTGTTGCCTCTGCTACAATTGTAGTTTCAGCCACAGTTGTAGCTCTATAGGTTGAGGCTATTTCTGGAATGGTTGTCTCAGATGTTATTTGAGTTACAGCTTCTGTGCTTCTCTCTGCCAAAGTAGTCTCAATACCAGAGGTTATTCCTACAGTTGTGCTAATACCAGCTGACGTCTGTGCAGCTGTAGTTGATCTCTGCTCTGTGGTGGTACTTTCAGCAAAAGTAGTTTCAGCAGATGTAGTCACTGCTGGTGTTGTTGTCTCTGCCACAACTGTGGTTTCAACCAGAGTTGTATCTCTCCTGGTCGTGGCTTCCTCATCAGTTATTGTCTGGGATATCATGCTTGTAACAGCTTCTGTAGTTCTGTCTGGAACAGTTGTCTCAATCCCAGTGGTTAAAACAGAAGTTGTGCCAATATCAGATGTTTGAGCAGCTGTGGTTGTTGCGGGAGCTTTTGTACTACCTTCATCAACAGTGGTGTGTGCAGGTGAAGTGGTGTGTGCAGTTGTCTCTGCTGCAATGGTTGTCCCGATCACGGTTGAGGCACCGACTGTTGTGACCTTATCCTCAGAAGTTGTCTCGGCTGCTGTTGATGTACCAGCTGCTGCAGTTGTCTCTGCACCTGCAGTAGTGGTCTTGGTAGATGTGCTGATAGCAGCTGATGTCTGAGGAACTGTAGTTGTTACCTGATCTGTTGTGATACCTTCAGCGACAGTTGTTTCAACAGATGTAGTCACACCCTGTGTGGTAGTCTCGACGTCAACAGTAGTATCAGCCACAGTGGTACTTCTGCCGGTTGTGGCAACCTCTGGAGTTGTCTGGGATGTTCTGGTGGATAAAGCTTCTGTACTGCTCTTTGCTAGAGTAGTCTCAGTACCAGTGGTTATTCCAAGGGATGTGCTCGCACCAGCTGATGTCTGTGCAGCTGTGGTTATTCCCTCCTCTGTGGTCGTACCTACAGCAATAGTAGTTTCCACAGGTGTAGTCACAATTGAAGTTGTTGCCTCTGCTACAATTGTAGTTTCAGCCACAGTTGTAGCTCTATAGGTTGAGGCTATTTCTGGAATGGTTGTCTCAGATGTTATTTGAGTTACAGCTTCTGTGCTTCTCTCTGCCAAAGTAGTCTCAATACCAGAGGTTATTCCTACAGTTGTGCTAATACCAGCTGACGTCTGTGCAGCTGTAGTTGATCTCTGCTCTGTGGTGGTACTTTCAGCAAAAGTAGTTTCAGCAGATGTAGTCACTGCTGGTGTTGTTGTCTCTGCCACAACTGTGGTTTCAACCAGAGTTGTATCTCTCCTGGTCGTGGCTTCCTCATCAGTTATTGTCTGGGATATCATGCTTGTAACAGCTTCTGTAGTTCTGTCTGGAACAGTTGTCTCAATCCCAGTGGTTAAAACAGAAGTTGTGCCAATATCAGATGTTTGAGCAGCTGTGGTTGTTGCGGGAGCTATTGTACTACCTTCATCAACAGTGGTGTGTGCAGGTGAAGTGGTGTGTGCAGTTGTCTCTGCTGCAATGGTTGTCCCGATCACGGTTGAGGCACCGACTGTTGTGACCTTATCCTCAGAAGTTGTCTCGGCTGCTGTTGATGTACCAGCTGCTGCAGTTGTCTCTGCACCTGCAGTAGTGGTCTTGGTAGATGTGCTGATAGCAGCTGATGTCTGAGGAACTGTAGTTGTTACCTGATCTGTTGTGATACCTTCAGCGACGGTTGTTTCAACAGATGTAGTCACACCCTGTGTGGTAGTCTCGACGTCAACAGTAGTATCAGCCACAGTGGTACTTCTGCCGGTTGTGGCAACCTCTGGAGTTGTCTGGGATGTTCTGGTGG